ATATATATCACCGAAGTGGTAAACGTCTGAGACCTGCATCACTTCGGGCTTTCCTCCCACATTAACCTGACACGCCGTGATTTAACTGGAATACTGTTAAATGCGGCGTTAAACACAACTCACTCACTCACTCTAGCGTATACGTACATGGTCACATGACCAAGAACAAGTGTGAATGAGTGAGTAAACGATGTATGATGCACGTGGTATCATTAAAAGTTCCAGACGACGAATAAAACATAAAAATATACACAATAAAACAAATAAAAACATGAATCAAATGAACAGTCCGGAAACGGATTTTTTTGTGTTGTCTTAAAGGTTGTTCCGCGAAGTAAGTTGCGTTTTGGCGATGGAATAGAAGTGGCTGTGTTCTGATACTTGGGTTGAGGAGTGAAACAATTTTGACACAACAACATCTGATAGTATTATGGCGAGGACAAATTGACACAATTTGGAGAAAACAACATTTGCTAGAATTACAGCGAGGTTTCGGCACTTTACCGTTCTCAATTTCGACTGAATGGCGAGAACAACACTATGGATCGTGACTGGTCGCGTTATAGCGAGGCATGTGACGTCAAAGCTGTCGACTTGACACACAGACTTAACTTGTCAACATTGTTGCTGTCCCATTAGGGACTGGTCATTAATTATGATGAGGGATGGGCACTCATTTATTATGATGAGGGATGGGGATTGTTCTCAGGACGGAGTTGCTTAAGTAAGTGTCAGGCCAAGAAAAGTCGAGCCGAGCCGAGCCAGCGGATAATTTTCAAAATGAATTGCAGAATATTGAAAAAAAACGTGCGTGTCTGGACAAATATACCTCAAGTGTCCACAAATGTAGAGTTATCACCAACCAGGAATTTAAAGTACTGTCGGAAAGGCTAGAAAACGTTTTTTGGCCTAATAAAAAAGGATATGATGTTTGACAGACTGTTATTGAAATATCGAGTAACTACCGATCAACCTACCTGTGGTTTGACGTATTTCAGCCACACGGAGTCCTATCGACAAGTTTACAGGAGACAAATTCGAACGAAAACATGAAGTTCACATTTATTCCAAGTCCAATGATGGCAGTCTGAAACGGACTATAGAAATATGCGCACGTGACTATAATGATAATAATATAGTCTTAATAAAACATCTAATCAACATACAAAAAACATTTGAAAAAAATCTAGATGTGCATATTCTAAAATGACAGAATGACGCTGCAGGGTTTTTGGGGTTGTTTTTTTTACACCGCTCCCATGATGCATGTTACATTACACTTGCATAGCCATAACCATGGCACACGATTTGGAGTCTGTACTAGGAAATGTATACAAGTTGTTTACACTTTAGAGAGACAGAGGGAAACCATTTATTAATTTAGATGAATTACCGAACTGGCCAAACTCATACCATCAAGTCTACGGCATGATAAATAAAACAAAACGGGAATATGGGTGGTCTCAAAAAACTGGGACGTAAAAGGATATTGGACAGCTTTGACACAGGGTGATTAGGCGTATGGTGTACAAGCTTTATGAGCAGAAGGTAACCCTGACTTGTAGTTGAATTCGGGAGGAACGTAAGATACAAATGATGTTTTCGGGACTGTATAACTATTGCTCACCAAGAGATGGGATTTCTAAACACTGTGCGTGGCGATGACCGAGCCCTTTTCAGGGGAAAATATTCCCTATTCATATTACTCTATGAGGTCACATTATCTCCGAACCGTTCATAACTATCACAGTCAGGGCGTCCAGATAATCTACCTTAGTGAATCATTCCACTGACTACATGTGACTATCGACAGATGGACAAAAAGCACCCATGGTACCATCAGGTAAAGGTAATCGTGTCATTGTTTTGTACGCTGGATGTGTGCTGGGCGAAAAAAAACCTGGTGATTTTCATTATAGGAGGTGATGTGTTCGTAGTCTGGTTTGAACTTCAGCTATTGCCTATTTTAATCAACGCCAGTGTTATTGTCATGGATAACGCCAGTTTATATAACGTCTGGGAATCAGATACTGTCGCCCAAACCATGAGTTTGTTTGTTTGTTTTTTTACGCCGCACTCAGCAATATTCCAGCTATATGACGGCGGTCTGAAAATAATCGAGTCTGGACCAGACAATCCAGTGATTGACATCATGATCATCAATCCACCCAATTGGGATCGATGACATGCATCAACCAAGTCAGCGAGTCTGACCGCCCGATCCCGTTAGTCGCCTTTTACGATAAGCACAGTCGCCTTTTACGACAAGCATTGGTTGCTGAAGACCTATTCCACCCCGGAATCTTCACGGGTGCCAAACCATGAGTAGTCTGATGGCGACCATACAGGAATATATGACATTGTCGACTTCAGACCATATAAAACGAAAGTTTACTCATGGAGAAAATTCGCCTAAATAAGAAACCAGTAAAGTACAAGACATGTGCTGGCGGAACAACACGGTTACGTTGTCTTACGTACGGCAGACAGACATTGTGAGCTCAACACTGTTGTGTCTATCTTGGCTAAATGTACAGGGTTCTTGGCAAGACATAACACAACATTCAAAAGTACAGATTCATATACGTCATCAGCGGAGGTAAATGCTACCTCAAGAAACCATCTGTAGAACAACAAATACTTCTGGATTCCAAAACCGCTACCTTCCAATACTCATCCCGGTTCATAGCTCTTAACTATTCCATTATGTTTCTATGCAAATATGATGCATTACACATCCTAAATTGCTATCCATCAACGCATATTAATTAAGTACAATAACAGCAATATTTTGAGACCACCCCCGACTCGGTGACATTTGCACCTGGGAGAATGCACGGGACGGCGTGAGGTCATCACCTCAGGTTATAGGCCATTTCATCCATGCATGACAACACACGAATATTTTCTACGTTTATCATCATTTTACCTGTAAAAGTACATTTTAAGGGTAATCACAATGTCGTTTAGGACAGGCTAGATTAGGTCAATCCGCGTTATTTTGATATACCGTATTCGACGTAATAAGCGCCCAGGGCGCTCTCAAAATTATAAATCGGGGGCTCTTATTAGAATATTATTTTGATGGAAAAAACAGAGTTGAAAGATAAATTTCGTGGTTCATGCTGACAGCCTGAAATGTTTATATACGACAGATATATATTTCCAGATTTTAATTGCCCATAATTAAGGGTGCATATAACACACGAGTTCGTATTATACGCGAATAAATTAGTCTTGTGTACATTGATCAATCGGAAGGGGTGCTAACTGGGATTGTTCACTAGCCAATATGTTAGCAATTATCGTCGTGGGCGCTTATTAGAGCGGGGCGCTTATTACGTCGAATACGGTATGCTCTTTTTATAGTCCTATGACTCCTATTTATTACACGAAGACAGAAAAGCAGTTTTCTAGCATTTCCGACAGTACTTTAGTTTGAATCAAAACGTATATTTAAGAAGTTAATAAAGTGATAACTATGACCGCATAGAAAAGTCAGTGCTTTCTTTTATGTCTGTAAGTAAGAAGGTTTTTCTCGGACCTTCAGCGTGTGATGTCCAGGGCAGGACGCGGCAATATTTTGATTACATTTCTTTCATACTTAACGTGTTTTTCTCATTCATGTAAAACCAACACGGGATGTTTTTGTTTCTGAAAATGGATATTCGTGAATGTCAAAGGGACTGTTAAAGCAATCCCGTAGCCGAGATATTTCTGAATTATTGCTAAACGCGGCGTAAAACCTCACTCACTCACTCACTCACTCACTTACGCACGCACGCACGCACGCACGCACGCACGCACGCACGCACTCACTCATTCAAGCACTTCCAGGACTGTTAAAGTTCCGATTAAAGTTAAGAAACAATTAACCAAATAACATGTGTTATTATAAGTGTCTATGTATATAACATTTTTCCCAATTTCTCTATCAATACTGACAATTAAAGCATGTTTTTTCTTATTTTTGTCTGTTTGTTGTTTTACGCCGCACTCAGCAATATTCCAGCTATATGACGGCGGTCTGTAAATATTCGAGTCTGGACCAGACAATCCAGTGATTGACTTATGAATATGAAAGGGTTTGTCGCTTATATTTTGAAAATAGTTGAGTTGCACATGCTCCACCAAAGGTGTTGATTGCTTGGGCACGCGTGGCCAAGTCGTCTAAGGCGCCGCGATTCGCTGTGCAGAGTTGTGTCCTTTGGGCACGCCAGAAACTTATGACTGTGGGTTCGAATCCCGGATTATTTTTCTAGGTTTGTCAGCACCATACCCATGCTCGTGGGTTTCACCGAAGTGGTAAACGTCTGAGACCTGCATCACTTCGGGCTTTCATCCCACATTAAGCTGACACGCCATGATATAACTGGAATAATGTTGCAAGCGACGTTAAACCCAACTCACTCACTCACTCACTCACTCACGGGTTTTACGAAATTGTGGACTGTTTATCCCAGTTCTGGTCGTTTCCAAGTTCACTCTCCTACTCAGAGTTCCTTGCGGCCGGCAGCCAGCCAGCATAGTACCTCTGCCACAGGCCAGCGCCATGTGACGATTCGTCACATCTTACACAGCCATTCAAGATATTGCATATATATTTCATCTGTTTCATTTTTTACAAGTCTACATATCTAGATAAACATATGTCGTAGAATGGTTAACTTTCATTGAGAAAATATACTAAATGGCGAAAAACAATTTCCATTGTGTCGTAATCCTATGTTTACATTGGTTGTACGGCTCCACGTGCTGTCATCGAAGCCCTTCGGAGAGCTAGCGATACACCATTGTCCGTTCTAGTCTGATGATTTCTGAATAGGGCGCGATTGTTTACAGACAAGAGAAAAGTCCGGTCACGTGATATGCAAATTAGCCTGTTCCAGTAGTGTTATGCTAAGTCACCACAGCGCCGGAGTGTGATCCACTGAAATAGGCTCGTGAGTTAGCTCCCTTACCGCCAGTGAGTCCAAGCTCCTATCCAGCGCGTGACACCTTCGTTGCACTCCCGGTAACATAGAGAGCTCCGCGAACGGGCTATCGCTGTGAGGAGCTTGTAGTGAGTCAGCATTCGTTGAAAACGAAAATAGAAACAGGACAGACCTGGGCCACAGCCATTTCCTGGTGTACGTTCTTCATTTAGCAAGTAACAGTCGACAATGGCCAGCGATACTTCCTCCGTTGCTACTGAAAGGTACATAATTATGTTGTTAGGTACACTAGGAAAAAGTTTAACTGACATTTTTATGACAATTTCTGATGATCCGTTTATTATAAAGGGGATCAGAGGATCAGGGGAGGTCACCCAAACAAATAGCAGTGTCATGTAATTTCAGGCAAGGATACATGTTTATGCGTGTTGAAAGAAATAGAAATTCCATTATTTCAAGTAGTTGGGTTAACTCAAATACCTAAGTATTGACGAAAAATATCTATTCATAGGGTTTCAGCAGAGACCATATAATAGAGGGACGGCCCTCTAGCCTATGCGCGAAACCATCAGTGCTACGGCTTGTACTGCGCAGCCTGTCCGGAAGCGAGCAGAAACGCGTTCACTGCAGTCATCGTTGTCGCCTTTTTCCCCATGCAAAAAATATATTTCACAATACATATTTACACTCATGTATTTCTTAACATTGTAAACATTACAACTGAGATTTGTTGGTGCCCTAAAGCATGTCGTTGTCACTGTATTTGATGACTATGATCACATTTTGTCTTTGTCCGAGAGAACAAAATGGCGCACATGTAAAATCGGCAAAAGTGCAGATTTTGATTTTCAATAACGGCCTCTAATTCGCAATGAAAGTCCTTGGTTACCAAGATGTATGAAAAGGAGATATGTTAATAATTGGTTCAGTGCCATTAACAAATTTAGGGCGGATGCGAAATTTCAGATTTTGACTCCAGAAATGGGACTAAATCTGAATTCTCCCGAAATAATTTCACCACAACTCTTAATTTTCGCATGCTTTCAGACGAATGTGTTCCTATTATCGGTCCCGAATTAAATAGTTTTACATTCATCACGATTTCTCCCTTGGCTTGGTACCAAAGTTATTTAGGTACGATCGGTAGTTTTTTTGGTATGATTTTTGGCGCAAGGCCATATTTTACGTCACATATTTTAAGTTAAATTACCATATAGCAGACGACATAACATGTATTTTGTCTGTGATTATCATCCGCATATATCTTTTGAAACATTCTACAGAGTGACTTATATTGTATGATATTAGAATTGCTTTTGTAAGACGCGTATTTTTTTTACCATTGCTTTCGCCATTTCTTCGTAAGTTTAACTTCAGTTAGGCTTCTATCACATATCGCGCATAGACTACAATACTACATATTTGTTATCTTCTGTAGATTTTGTCTGTATTATCATGACTACATTTAATCAATTATTTATTTTATGCCGTTTAAATATTAATTATGAGCAAAACGATCTTGGCCTAAACCCAATCATAATAATGTAAATATGATGAAGGTACTACTTACTTTGTGTATTTGGAAAACAATGAAAACATCATACAAAAATAAAAATCCGTTACATGAAATATTTGTGTTATGAAATTATCATTTACTTTGTAAATGCCAAGAAAGAAGAAGTATTATATCGGCAGTCGTCGGGAGAGAAGTCCCAGACAACAAGGTCGAAGGTGTCATTCAGTAAAATGTATAGATGGTCTACATCTACATGTGTCAGAGTTTGTGATGTCTTGTTTTGTTTTAATAGTTATAGTTGCATGCCTCGTTCCAGGTTAGAGTTTAAAGTTTGTTTTTCATTGATCAGATATAAATAGAAAACTATAATGAAACAATTTTGAAAACTACAATCGTTACTACAGTTTACATATACTAGTATATATCTGGTACCATGCTCGTTGAAGCTATATTGTTATACCTGAAATACCTAATTATTTGTATGCTGAAATATCAAACTAATCGGGTAATATTAAATAACGATTGTTAAATTACAATCGTCCTCTTTGCTTTGGAATTTAACAGCAGCCTCCCTTTGAAAAGAAACTTGTCTCGCTCCGGCAAACCCCATTATCACTGCTAGCCCCAAACTGGCATTAACCAATAACGTTTGATTCCTTCTAAGCCCATTGTCGGACACATCGAAAATTCATTTAACAACGCTCGTAGTTTAATGTGTATTTTTAATTCATTGGAACTATTAGCATTATAAAATAGTAGCTAATTTACATGAAATAAAAACATCAATAAGTCGTCATTTTTTCTGGCTAATAGTAAAGCATTTACACCAGTCGGTGATCATGCATTTTTTCAAGTAAATCTAGTCTGGACTTATTATAAGATATGAAGTTAATATGGAGATATATTTTGTGAACATCGGGAATATGGTGATATGTTACAAGTGTCTTCCCTGCTTCTGGATGAGTTTTATTTACACTTCCTGAGTTCCTGTGCAATTTATCGGATCGTAGTTTTCTGTGGCGTTCGTAGTAGATTTGGTATATTTGTTTATTTATAATAGTTAACAATTGCAGCATAAAATGAGATATATTAACTGATTTTTAAAACAAATAGAATACGTTATACGATATCGGAACGGCTTTTTCTTCACACGCCCTCGAAAACTTATGCTTGTGGACAGACGTCATATTTTCATTTTCTATCTTTTTCTTTGAGTGAAACTTTTTGGGAGGTATTTACCAACCGCGTGGTAGCGGTACCATCACTGCCACTCTATTTAGACCTAGAGTCATCCCAAACCAACCCCTGGTCGAAGAGAGGGAATTCTTCAAGTGGCATATCTAGGTCCAAGACGAAATCGTCCCAGTGAATGAAGTCGTCCATGGCTGTGGCGAATGTAAATTGAAATAAATGTCCCCGAAGACACACATGTTTAGCAAATAATTTGCAGCCAACAGACATGTACTAATGAGAGATATCATAAAGAAATCTTTGTAATCCGCTTAGAGACGTCCTTTTATTGGATTGTCGCTGGCCGCAGTCGGAGAAATCTCGGCTAAGGGAATTACCCCGGATATTATGTAATATTGTTTACGTGGTTACCAGAATGGTCAGTCGTGAATGTCTGTGCATCTATTGCGCATCTGCAGCGGTACAGGGAGGTTAACAGCAGGGTGTCGAGGTGTATCAGTTACATGCCAGACCGTAGCGCTGATGGTTTATGATAAACTGTTGGTGAGGGCCGTCCCTCTATTATATGGTCTCTGGTTTCAGCATATTGGGAACTGAAGTTTTACAAAATTGCGGACTGATTAACTAAAAAGCGTTCAAAGCATATATGTAGCTTGATATATATACATGGGAACTGGCAGAAGCTAGTAATTACCGTATTCGACGTAATAAGCGCCCAGGGCGCTCTCAAAATTATAATTAGGGGGCTCTTATTAGAATATTAATTTGGTGGAAAAAACAGAGTTGAAAGATAAATTTCGTGGTTCATGCTGACAGCCTGAAATGTGTATATACGACAGATATATATTTTCAGAATTTAATTGCCCATACTTAAGGGTGCATATAACACACGAGTGCGTATTATACGCGAACAATTAAGTCTTGTGTACATTGATCAATCGGAAGGGGTGCTGATTTGGATTGCTCTCTAGCCAATATGTTAGCAATTATCGCCGTGGGGGCTCATTAGAGCGGGGCGCTTATTACGTCGAATACGGTATTTAAACTTGAACACACTCCGTGAATGAATGGTGTCACGTATTTATTTCAACCATTAGAGGCGTGAAACAGGCTCATGAGTTACCTACCTTACCGCCAGTTTGTAAGCATTAACCATATTTGTTGTTGTGGGGTTTCAACAAAGTGGTAAATTCTAAGAATTGTATAATTTCACTATACGTCACATAATACGTTATGATATAGCTGGGGCGGTCGGGTAGCCCTGTGGTTAAAGCGTTAGCTCGTCACGCCGAAGACCTGGGTTCGATTCCCGACATGGGTACAATGTGTGAAGCCCATTTCTGGTGTCCCACGCCGTGATATTGCTGGAATATTGGTAACAAAAAAGCGGCATAAAACCATACTCACTCACTCACTCACTCACTCATGATATAAGTGTGAAAAGCGAAGTAAACTCCAACTCTCTAACTCAATGTTTGACTCATTGTCTGCCGTTGTGTCTTTTCTGGCAGGAACACATCTGTGTTTGACGAACCTTCCGACAAGTCTGACGTTGTTCTGGTTGTAGAGGACAGGCACCTCCACGTCAACAAAACTATCCTAGCATCGGCGTCGAATGTCTTTGACAAAATGTTTAATGGGGACTTTAAAGAAAAGCAAGGGGGTGAAATTCCTCTACCAGAAAAGTCGTATGATGACATTGTGGATCTGCTTCTCTGTATTTACCCATCAGAACTCAGGCCTGTCACCAGGGAAACTGTGGACAAACTGCTGGAACTGGCTGACGAGTACCAGATTGTTGGCTTGAAGCGTTGCTGTGAGGAGTTTCTTCTTGACCGCTGTGATCGCTATAAACTGAAAATAGAGGCGTATCGCGTATCGAGGGATGACATAGTACACTTCTTATATCTGGCTGATAAGTATGGATTGGACATCTTGTTGGAGACAACAACAGATATAGCGTCAAAATATGCCGTGAATAAAACAAAACAATATGAATTTTATGTAGCGGCCCATGAAGACTATAAGAATATTTCATTTGCGGCTTTGACAAAACTACTCGAGAAGCGTGTACAGTTCATTGAGGAAGTGTGTAAGACATCCCATCAACTTATATGCAAATAGATTCAGACATGTTCCACGATGGCTCTATGTAAATATGCTACTCAGTCATTGAAAGGGATAGTGAGATATTTTAATACGTGTACATGCACATACATACATATATCCCAGTTACAAGCCCAGCAGTAGACACAGACTTGTTAAAACCGGAGGATCAACCTGCTAAACTGACCCTCTACCACATGGCGTAGTTTCTTTAGAAGAGGGGCGGTCGGGTAGCCTAGTGGTTAAAGCGTTCGCTCGTCACGCCAAAGACCAGGGTTCGATTCCCGACATTGGTACAATGTGTGAAGCCCATTTCTGGTGTCCCCCGCCGTGATATTCCTGGAATATTGCTAAAAGCGGCGTAAAACCATACTAACTCACTTCATTAGAAGACGATGCCCCATGATACGTTGTTCATATCCAAGTCGTTAGTGTCACGTGTGAAATTGAGACATTGTCTTTATTAGTGTTACAGTAACTGGTAGAGGGACATGCACATTTTTAACACTTTTTTTCATTTATTGTTAATAAGTGTTTTATGTCGTTTGCTGTTTATAGGTATGTCTGTTTCAGTAAATCATGAATCTGTTACGTCTTTCTCTATTCCTTGATAATAAAGAAAAAGTAAAAAGATGTCATTTTTTCCAGGAGAGCATTTTATTGTATATCCTCATATGTATTTTTCTGACAACACCCGCCCAAACAACAATCTGCAAGTACTTGACTTCTGTGTGTAGTTCCCCCAATTGGGCTATAATTAGAGTATATACGAATAACCAAAACAGTATTGCTTTCAGCAGTGTTCAATAAAAAAACATATGTTACTGAATGAGATGTTAGCATCTGTTTTACAGTCCAATGCATTATTTTTATATTCAGCCTACTTGTGTCCTACATATCAATGCTCATGTTGTCTATCACTGGATTGGACCGCCTCCGTGGTCTAATGGTAGAGCGTCCGCCCGGAGAGTGGAACGTCAGGGGTTCGATCCCCAGCCGCGTCATACCAAAAGACGTTAAAAGATGGTATTTCTTGTTACCCTGTCTGGCGCTCGGCATTAAGGGGCTAAAACAAGGACTGGTCGGCTCGGAGTCAGTATACTGTGTCTGAGTGGGGTATTCATGTTAAACTGCGGCATGGTATCTCAGTGAGCTAGCACTATAAATCGGCATCAGTCCGGACTAGTACAATCAGCCACACAAACACACACACACGTACATGCACGTCGCTATATAAGTGCAATAATCTTGGACGCGACGTTAAACCCCATTTCACCTCACCTCACCTATCACTGGCATCGATTATTCACAAACAGCCGTCATATTGCTGAGAGGGGCATTAAACAACAAACAACGGGAACTACTTCAAACATGACAGAACACTCTTCTTAATGTAGGCGTTACAGCAACCCTGTTGCCTGTTTTCCTGTTGAAACAATATTGCACCTCTTTATTTTGACATATCCTTTTGAAAGAAATGTATATTTGGTAAGCAATTCAAATCAAGTTATCTTTTATTTGCAATTTAATAAAGAAAACGGACAAGACGAAAGTGGTTTTCGGTTTTATAGAATTTCTACAACGAATGTCTCGCACATATTCATTTAACACTGGAACCGTGAAGATCCGGGATAGAATAGGTCTCCACTCTCCAGCAGTTTGGAAGCAGGAGAGTCTGTCCAAGATGTTGCCCGTCATTACAACGTTAACATAACCAAAATTTACCGTCTCCTGCATCGATACAATGCTACACAGACCACAGATGACCTTCCTCGGAGCGGTCGTCCTAGGGTCACAACATCTCGACAGACCCGTGAAGATCCGGGGTGGAATAGGTCTTCAGCAACCAATGCATATCGTAAAAAGGTGACTATGCTTGTCGTAAGAGGCGACTTACGGGATCGGGTGGTCAGGCTCGCTGACTGTTGATACATGTCATCGATTCCAATTGCGTGGTCAGGCTCGCTGAATATTGCAGAGTGCGGCGTTAAACAGCAAACAAACAAACAAACAAAACAAACGGTTTACAGTGGCAATGCTGTCTATTCCTTCCCTGGACGGACAGTCGATACAGATAGTACACACGTTACATGTTATGTGTTTTCATCACAATAACATTATGAAGGAATTTCATATCTACCATGTCAAGAGATGTATAGATTACTTTTAAACATAAACCAACAATTTAGTATGACCATTTTAATATTTAAGCCCCGTGGGGGTTTTGAAACAACCTCTGCTAGGTGTTAGAGGCGTCTTGGATGGTCACACTTGTCAACATGCCCCGTGAAGATTCCGGGGTAGAATAGGTCTTCAACAACCCATGCTTGCCGTAAAAGGTGACTATGCTTGTCGTAAAAGGCGACGAACGGGATCGTGTGGTCAGGGTCGCTGACTTGGTTGATGCATGTCATCGATCCCAATTGCTTAGATCGATGCTCATGATATCAATCACTAGGTTTCCGTTCCAGACTCGATTATTTACATATAGCTGGAATATTGCTGAGTGCGGCGTTAAACAACAAACCAACCTTTTATGCGTGCCATCGTACCCTGAAGGCATGAATCGTTTCTTGCAATGTCAATTGCTGGTTTACCTGGTCAAGTCTCAATTATGTACAAGCAGTCATGTCACACTCAACACTCAAATATACTCGCCTTTACAATAATACGTAATAGACAGTGGCGGTATATACATCGCGACGATTTCGCGGTTGTATCGACGCGGACAGGCGAGGAATACCTCCTATGGCAACAGACCAGCAAACATTTCACTTAAGCGCGAAGTGGCAACATTCAGACACCAATAGTCGTTTTATGCGTTCATGTGTAATCAAAAGTGCATCCTATAAATAAACGAGTTGTTGACTGGAAACGCGAGAACCTGGCATGCGAGTTAACGCCCATTACTGTTTGTCTATTGTTGAAATCGAAACTAAAAACACTAGCGGGTGTGCTTTCCGATCAAGATCTCGTTTCTTGTCCGTGTGATAGCCAATTCTACTGCAAGCTGAAAATGGCCACTCGTGTATCCCCAAAGAGAAGGTGAGTACCTGAGACGGGGAACGGGAAACAGGGACCCAGAGCCCATACTCCAGTGTATAGGTCCGCGTGACTTTGATGCATGTCATCGATCCCAATTGCGTGGATCGATGATCATGATGTAAATCACTGGATTGTCAGGTCAAGACTTGATTATTTAAGGACCGCCGTCATAAAGCTGGACTATTGCTGAGTGCGGCGTTAAACAACAAACCAACCAACCAACGTCCGCGTGACCTTACTGACTGACATTTCAACCAAAATGAAGTTGTCTGAATACCAACAAACTGGTAGTTGTGTGTTGTATGAATGAAGTCACGGATAAGTTACCTTTTTCCCTCATATGTTTTTTTGACCATATGTGACTACTGGGCTTTCCGATCAAGATCTCGTTTCTTGTCCGTGTGGTAGCCAATTCTACTGCAAGCTGAAAATGGCCACTCGTGTATCCCCAAAGAGAAGGTGAGTACCTGAGACGGGGAACGGGAAACAGGGACCCAGAGTCCAGACTCCAGTGTATAGGTCCGCGTGAGACCCGTGAATATCTGGGATAGAATAGGTCTTCAGCAACCAAAAAGGCGACTATGCTTGTCGTAAGAGGCAACTAACGGGATCGTGTGGTCAGTCTCGCTGACTTGGTTGATAAATGTCATCGATCCCAATTGCGTTGATTGATGATTTGAGACCAATAATAGGATAACATTTGTCTGAAAGCCTACAAAAATCTAGAGTTGTGGTGTAATTATTTCGGAAAAATTCAGATTTAGTCGCATTTCTGGAGTCAAAATCAGAAATTTCGCGACCGCCCTATATTTGGCAAACAAAATGTTAACATATCTCCTTTTTATACAAACTCGGTAACCAATGACTTTCATTGCGAACTAGTGGCCGTTCTTTGCATTGTACACATGTTGGAATCGAGCGCTGATGCCATATTATAACAGCATTTCTATATCAATCTCTTTAGGCCGAACAGGGAAAGGTTGGTGATTAGTTGTAAACAATTAGTGATTTAGTCACACGAAGCTGACTTGATTATTTAGTATTTTTACGCAACCATATTATTTTCATTTGACCCCACTTCTCCACTGTAAATGTATAATTACAATATTTAAGAGAGGAACGAGCCTCTCGTTTGTGTATATACAAAGACGAACGTGTGAAATATAAGCTCAAACGTAGCACCAATGTGTTTTCTAAGTATTTATACAGGTAGGAGGCAATGTTTATACAGTAGAGTAGATTTAAGATGCAGTTTACATGCTTCTCCGCTCCAGTGTTACCATGGTAACTACATCTTAAATCTACTCTACTGTATAAACGCTGCCTCCTACCTGTATAAATACTTCTCAGCCATACTCTGTACTAGTTTGATGACGGTGTTGGTATTCATCCATATATCTTCTCCTTACTTTGCACTGTAGTGAGTGAGTTTGATTTTACGCAGCTTTTAGCAATATTCCAGCAATATCACGGCCGGTGTACACCAGAAATGGGCTTCACACATTGTACCCATGTCGGGAATCGAACCCGGGCCTGACAAGCGAATGCTTTAACCACTAGGCTACCCGACCGCCCCACTTTGGACTGTAGGAAACACGAGATGACATCATATATAATATCCCTTACCTTAGTGGTTCTGTGATGCGCTGTGTTTCAGTAGATTACTTGGACTTATTTTCCTTAAGACCTCTGAAGATCCGGGATGAGAAGGTCTTCAGCAACCCATGCTTGCTGTAAATGGCGACTTAGTTTGTAGTAAGAGGCGACAGACGGGATCGGGTGGTCAGGCTCGCTGACATGGTTGATGCATGTCATCATACCCTAATTGCGTGGATCGGTGCGTATAATGTCAATCACTGGATTGTCTGGTCCAGACTCGATTATTTACAGACCGCCGTCACATAGCTGGAACATTGCCGATCACGGAGTTAAATGATAAACGAACAAACAAACAAACAAACAAAAACCTTCCTTAACTTATAATTTGTCCAACAAGGTAGCCATTACACGAACTTTGAAAGATAAATAGGGAATTCAGCACACACTCTCGTTAGATACCATTTTTACGAAACGAGTGGACTTTCTATGGTATCTGACGAAGCGAAATGTAATGACGTAACTTACGTTGTTATGACAATGTCAAGATATGAAACACAAGTGTAGTGACGGGTATGTATTGTAACGATCTTGTTTTGTCTGATGTAAAGTGACCCATGGACTTGATCTTCTATGCTGGCAGGACATCTGTGTTTGACGAACCCTCTGACAAGACTGATGTCGCTCTGGTTGTAGAAGGGAGACGTCTTCACGTCAACAAAGGGGCACTTTCAGCAGCATCGGATGTTTTCCACAGGATGTTTAAAGGAGATTTTAAAGAAAAGCAGGAAAGTGAAGTCCCTCTACCGGGAAAAACATATGATGACATTGTGGACTTGCTTCTCTGTATTTACCCATCAGAACTCAGGCCTGTCACCAAGGTAACGGTGGACAGACTGCTGGAACTGGCTGACGAGTACCAGATTGTTGGCCTGAAGAGGAGGTGTGAGGAGTTTCTGTTAACACTCTGTGGTGACAAACCTCTTTTTCAAAGAGAGGTTCTTCACGCTTTATATCTGGCAGATAAGCACAGCATGCCTACACTCCTGAATGCTGCTATACAAATTGTGAAATTGTTCAGATTTAGAACACAAAATAATGCGCGGTATTCCTTGCATCTGGAGAAGGACTTTGTGAATCTTGGGAATGAAACCAAGTTTAAGCTGATGACGGAAATGATTGACTACTTTCAAATGTGTTGTAGGTCTGACAAGTTCAGTTCCTTACTTGAACCCTTTTCGGATTCTGATGATGAAATATAGCAGAAATGATCGATTTTGTTATATTTGTTTTAGGGATGGGTTTGGGATGTTTCAAGTGTATCACAATATTTCACAGTGCACAAGGACGTATTGTGATACGTATCACAATGTTTTGTATGATTCAAAATTGTGAATTCAGAAGCAATTTGAAACATCAATCAGGAATAGAAGTTTATAAATGGAACAAAACAAGATGCTGGGACATTCAATAATTACGCAAGGATGCACGCTCCGGGATAGTGATGACTTGGTGCTACATCATGCCACAGAAGAACTCCAGAATGTGAACTTGCATTTTGGAATTACGGAAACATAACGCAGATACATGTATTTGGCAAGTTAATACCATTAAACACATGATAAAAATCGGTATTTGAAATCATCTGATATTGTGATACGCATCATGCAAAGAATGAACCTCAATTTACCGATATACCGGTAAAACTGCCCACTCTTATCTTTTTTTGCTGATTCTGAATAAAATTTAAAGTCTGTAGTTGCAGAACTGTGAAATTTCATTAAATTTTTAAAAATCTGATTTTTTTACTCTGATGAGTGAGTGAGTGAGGGAGTTTGGTTTTACGCCGCTTTTAGCAATATTCCAGCAATATCACGGCGGGGGACACCGGAAATGGGCTTAACACATTGTACCAATGTCGGGAATCGAACCCGGGTCTTCGGCGTGACGAGCGAACGCTTTTACCACTAAGCTACCCGACCGCCCTTACTCCGATGATGATGAACATGATGATGATGATGATGATGATGATGATGACGATGACGATGTACAGGGATGTAAATTACATCATTTATTATATGTACATTATTGACAAGCGACAGGAGATGGAATTTGATCATCTTTTCGCGAACACCTGGTATCATCACAATTTGATAGTGATTCAAAAACACATTCATGCTCATTTTGTAGTTAATAAATGATCTTTTAATATTGGTAGAATAAATTGGATAACTAAGATTGTCAGTGGCTGTACCTCGAAGGGGGTTGAAGTAGTGTAAAAAGATTGTCCCCCGGAGATGGTACGTAAGTCCACGTCATTCACAGTATATTTATTACTACCACGTTTTTAATCGCAGAATATATGTTCTTTTAATTCGGCTAAATTGACAATAATCGCCAACCACTGAAGGGATGGTGTAAATCCTGCTGGGGTCCATGCAGGTAGCAAAAGTACTTTAAGTCCCCATGGACCCTAGCGTGGTGATCTACCTTCAGTTGGTGGCGATCTATAGCCTAACGGGATCGGGTGGTCAGGCTCGCTGACTTGGTTTATTCATGTCATCGATCCCAATTGCGTGGATCGATACCGTGATATTATTCACTGGATTGTGTGGTCCGGACTCGATTATTTACAGACCGCCGTCATATAGCTGGAATATTGCTGAGTGCGGCGTTAAACAACAAACCAACAAACCAATGTTCAGTTTCGATATGATACCTTTCTGTGTGAAGATCTGACGACACATCCACTAGGGCTGGGACGGGTAACTCGGGTACTCGTGTCGGGTGGGTACTGAGTAGGACCTGGATACCCACAGGACTACCCGGACCCGTGGTTAGTCAGGTGAAATATTGTTTAATGACAAAATTGATCTAAAACTCTATGGTTACACTATAAGTCTCTAATGTTCCCATTCCTTCTGACTTTTATATGTTTGAATAAAGATAAAACGTCATGCAGTAAACTTCAGTGTGTGCATGTCACTGTATCTAAATGCATTTTGCCAGGGCTACGGACAAATATTTCAAATCGGACAGTTTGTACCTATCTCTGATTAAAACACATCTGTGACGTCATTCTATTGTTTGAACGCTCCATTATTTGTCAGGAATGGAGAGTTTCTTGTCAACTGTACATTATCTTGAAACAGCATTTGAATTTTTCAAGTATTTTCAACTACAGAATATTTTATCAAAGTGTAAAAGTAGGGATGAGTTTCAAGTAGGGGAATATCCTCGTAACTCTCCATTCCTTAAAAATAATGGGCTTCTGCTCCATTATTTTCAATGAATGGAGACATTCGACTTCACTCGCCCCTTTCCGTAACCATTCGTCACCACTCGCCCCTTTCCGTAACCTGCAAGAAGACTCGTCCCCCTATCGATGAATATTATGTGCGAAAATACAACAAACCAATCATAATGCGCGTATGATTTCAAGTTCTTCGTCAAAGAATCCCTCAAAAATATTTTTGATTTTACATGTGTCTTGCATCTAAAAATATACCCAGGACACAGTTAATTGTGCTCAATCATATTGTATAATTCCGCACGTCCCGATGTGCTTTAAATTACATCTGAAATATATATAATATATAGCGAAATATATGTGAACAATTACACAACGAGTTGACAATTGTTTTAGGTATGCCCGTTTGCGCTAAGACGGAACCCGGTCGCAAAAATGGCCTTGAGAAGGGCACAAGTCGCTATTCGGCTTGTCCCGGAATAACACGAGTTGGTCAAGAATGGAATGGAGAGTTACTCGGACATTCCCCTATACATGTCTACAGCGGGTACCCGGGTAGGGTCGAGTAATGGGGTGGTGGGTACCCGGGTAGTTAATTTGGACTCGTCCCAGCCCTAACATCCACAGGTCACTTCTGGTGAACCATGAGTGACCTTTGAATGCCCAATCAAAATGAAGGATGCGTGGTTTCTTGAGCCAATCAGATGTCAGTTTTCTAACACAGCTCAGATTTATGTCATTTATTAACAAAAGGAAACCAACACAGAACACAAATTGTATATCCCTTCCATGGATCTCCCGTTCGGGTGTAGAGTTGGGTGTGTGGTGGCGCTCAGAAACGACATTGTCTGTAAAATGTCCACAACAGTTATAGCAGTAATAGCGCGGCCTTAATTATTTACATTCAATACCCTCCTGAGAATTATGTACAAGCAGTGTGGTCACGAGTGAGTGAGTGAGTGAGTCTGGTTTTACGCCGCTTTTACCAATATTCCAGAAATTTCACGGCGGGCGGAGCAAGCGATGTTGACAGATTCAGTATGTATTACACAACTACCTGTGACAATTTCACAATTATCTGTGACAATTACAGAATCACTTGTAACAATAACACAATCACTTGTGACAATTTCACAATCACCTGTGGCAATTACACAATCATCTGTGACAATCACAGTATCACTTGTGACAATGTCACAATCACTTGTGACAATTACAGGATCGCTAGTGACAATGACACAATCACTTGTGACATTGACACAATCACTTGTGACAATCACAGTATCACTTGTGACAATGACACAATCACTTGTGACAATCACAGAATCACTTGTGACAATCACAGAATCACTGATGACAATGACACAATCACTTGTGACAGTTACAGAATCACTTGTGACAATGACACAATCACTTGTGACAGTTACAGAATCACGTGTGACAATAACACAATCACTTGTGACAGTTACAGAATCACTTGTGACAATAACACAATCACTGATGACAATGACACAATCACTTGTGACAGTTATAGAATCACTTGTGACAATAACACAATCACTTGTGACAATCACAGAATCACTGATGACAATGACACAATCACTTGTGACAGTTACAGAATCACTTGTGACAATAACACAATCACTTGTGACAATCACAGAATCACTGATGACAATGACACAATCACTTGTGACAGTTACAGAATCACTTGTGACAATAACACAATAACTTGTGACAATCACAGAATCACTGATGACAATGACACAATCACTTGTGACAGTTACAGAATCACTTGTGACAATAACACAATCACTTGTGACAATTACAGAATCAACCGTGGAAATTACAATAAAAAGGAGAATTACACAATCACATGTGATAATTACAAAGTCAGCTGGCGACAGTTATATAATCACATGTGGCAATGACACAATCATCTGGTATCAATGACACAATCAGACAATTAGACAAATACTCTAGTGACAATTATACAATAATTTGGTGACAATTACACACTCATCTGGTGATACCCAAACAGTCACCTGTGGCAATTATACAAAGCGGGGGATTTTACGTACGCTTTGTGTACCAAAGAGCATTTCCACTTCACTGCACCCCAATCTATGCAACAAGTATAAACCTGAAGATTCCGGGGTAGAATAGGTCTTCAGCAACCCACGCTTGCCGTAAAAGGTGACTATGCTTGTCGTAAAAGGCGACTAACGGGATCGGGTGGTCAGGCTCGCTGACTTGGTTGATGCATGTCATCGATCCCAATTGCGTGGATCGATGCTCATGATATCAATCACTGGATTGTCTGGTCCAGACTCGATTATTTACAGACCGCCGTCATATAGCTGGAATATTACTGAGTGCGGCGTTAAACAACCAACCAACCAACCAACCAACCAATTGCATGGATGATGATCATGATGTCAATCACTGGATTGTCTGGTCCAGACTCGATTATTTTTCAGACCGCCGTCATATAGCTGGGATATTGCTGAGTGCGGCGTTAAACAACAAACAAACAAACAAAGTATAAACTCTACTTCAAACTACGAAAGCATACGAGGGCAATCATTTCTCCATAGTTTTATAAAGCGAATATGTATATTTTCAGTAATATTAGGGAAAAGGGTTCTCCATAATTAATACCCTTAAAAAAAACATGGCACTGAATGTCAGCATTTAGCAAAACGGTTGAATAGATTTAAGTTCTCCAAGTTTGAGAGTTACACACTATTTTAATTTATGGTCCTTTAGTTTTCTTACAGTTGTATATTTAGTTACTTTTGAATTGGTTAATTGGCGAATTTGAGTTCAAATTTGATTGATCTTTTCAATTAGATTGATTATTTCTAATTATTTCAAAATTTCTTTATTTAAAATGTTGTTTCAATTTTTCATGTTCAATTAATTTATTCGTTTTTGATTAATAATCTTATATCAGAGACCATACATATCATCAAGATATTTAATCTCATTAAAATCAGATCTTAGTTCTAGCTACCGCTAAACAAATGTTTAGCTGCAGCGAGAACTAAGATCTGATTTTAATGAGATTGATAGATATTCTGCGTGTCGATCATTTATTTGTATACTTATAATATATCACAGACTGCAGTTACAGGCGCTACATCTTTGTCAACACACATTTCATATTTTTGTTTATAAGTTTCTTACAATGATTTTTTTGGTTATTACCAAATTTATCAGATCGTTTTGGACGTATAATACCTTATCAGCGTTATTCTGTTATTGTCAAGATATGATTTATTTAATTTATGTTCAGCGTATTCAGCTATTTGTGTAAATTGTCGGTACCTAACTGATTATCATTGGAATACTGGTTACGATACGATAAATAAATCCACATTCGGCATAAAAACAGATCTCGAGTCTCTCACTCATGAAAGCGCAACTTCGGGCACCTGTTTACACAAGACGCAACTACTTACAATTTATTCACCAGCATTTACCTAAACTGTTTTTTCCTTACATATTATACGTTGCAAATAAATAATTAATTGTATCCTCAATACGATGTTTTAATAACTAATATTACAACATAAATAACGCGAGATTATAGAATAATATGTATTTATTTGAAATTAATTAACAGCAGTTGTGCCACAAACAGTATTCGGTGCACCTGGCAACACGGAAGATTTACAAATGGCGACGGCCGCTATTCAATCATTGAAGAACGGGAACACTGACAATGTAAACAAACCAACATGTGACATGCCCTGTGCGATTGATGCGAGGTAGATATCATCTCGAGATACTTAGATGACATAGAAGACGGGCATCCAGGTGGGAGAATATCTAGCCGTACATCGGGAAGATGAGTGAAACGGCCAGAATGTCGACCAACTCAAGTCCGACACGGTCAACTAAAGACATGGACTCGAGCAAGAGTCCGGAGAGACAGGAACGGTAGGTGGAGGTGTAATAACAGTTATGATAACGCTTTGCATTTGTTTCATTCAATCGACAGAAGTTTTTGCACATACATAAAGTGTTGTTTCATTATACCACAGGACCATGTAACTAATAATAATAACAAAAAAAACCTCGCAGAGACGAGGCCAAAGGCATCTGGCCTCAACTGCGATTTTTTTGCGAGTTTTAATATTGTTATTACCGTATTCGACGTAATAAGCGCCCAGAGCGCTCTCAAAATTAGAAATAGGGGGCTCTTATTAGAATATTATTTTGTTGGAAAAAAACAGAATTGAAATTTCAAATTAAGATAAATTTCGTGGTTTATGCTGACAGCCTGAAATGTTTATATACGACAGATATATTTTTCCAGAATTTAATTGCCCATAATTAAGAGTGCATATAGCACACGAGTGCGTATTATACGCGAATAAATAAGTCTTGTGTACATTGATCAATCGGAAGGGGTGCTAATTGGGATTGTGCACCGTCCAATATATTAGCAAATATCGCCGTCGGTGCTTATTAGAGCGGGGCGCTTATTACGTCGAATACGGTATTATTAGTTACATGGTCCTGTGATTGTACATGCCAACATGGGCCTATTGCAACATGCTTTTTCTATCACCATGTTAATTAATGGACTTTACAGGGGATGGCACTTCCAAAATATGTAGACCCACTTGTTACGGGACATGTCACTATTCCTCACTTATATTTTTCCAAAAAAAAATTATGTTTGTAAGAATATTTATTAAAGTAGAATCTAAATAGTAGGGTTGGGACAATTACTGGACCAAAAGGTGTACTGCGATATATTGCAATATTTCAAAAACATATTGCAATATTATTGCAATATTATTGCAATATATTGGGAAATAATTTCTACCAAGAGAGAAGCTTTTTTTCATATCCCTTTGACAAATATTAATATGAAAGCTGCAATGTTATCAATTTGGTCAAAATTATGAACCAATTTGAATAAATTGTACTATTATTTTTATCTACAAGCATTTGTTTTGTCCTTGTTTTGATTTAATAAGGTAAGACTATACATCATGGCATATACATGTCAGTCACAGTTTGAATAATGAGGGAAAAACCGATACGCCCAAAACGTATCGCGATACGTATCGTGATGAATTTGCAATATACCGGTATACCGATAAAAGCGCACATCCCTACTAAATAGGCTTTATGATTTTGGCTCAGTAAATTCTCTTGTCATCGGCAGAATACCCGAAGCAGTTAAGTTGGTTGTCATCACACACATTCTACATGCCAGTTCGTTAACCCTGCCATAGCTTTTGGGTTCTGTGTAACAAAACAATCTTTTTGTTTTGAATTCATATCTGCATTCATAAAGATTGAAAATGATGTAGGGATGAATAAACCTGTCAATTTTCCAGGCTATGTGATAGGATGTGAAATTTTCAAATTTCAGTTATACCTGATGAAATATTTCTGACTTTGAAATACCTACAGACTACATACATCGCATGCATGCATATTACACAAGATTGATTTATTTATGAAAATTAACTCAATTTAACAGGTTGAAATTATGTGGAATTCTACCTGATAAGATTAAGTATTGTTTTTCCTAAAGTTTGTTTTCAATGAAGCATAAAAGCTTATGATAATACCTTAGTTATCATGGTTATGGCCAATCTATTTGAATGTTGAAAATTGCAAGGTTTCCACAGAGTTCTGGGAAATATCCCAGCCATATCTATAGGTCTTAACCATTCCCCTACCAGCCTCTGCCAGCCTCTGCCAGCCCCCATCTGCAACATCCCAAATTCATCCACTTTTATCATATTAATAAATAAAATTTATTAATTTATATTCTTGTACCGCCCAGTTCCACCCAAGACAACCCCCCTACAATAACTTTGTAATCTTTCTCAGTTTTGTTTACATTTTTTTGGCTGGTATTGTTATATTTTGCTACTTTTATTTTGTTATCTCGCTAACTCGAATTGCAAACTCAGTTGTTCATCAGCTTGTGAATTTTAGATTTTTGTGTGATATCCAAAATTAAGAAATGCTAAAATGCATCAAAAGATTTATATTCTATTTGATTATTGTGCTACATTTAATTTGTATCATCATTATCAAAGAGAGATTCCTGTTTTGATGGTTAAATTTACAGTGTTTTTTCATTGTACCATATTTGCCGTATTAACATTGTTAAGCACCCTGTTGGATTTAGGGCCATTAACAGACTCCTAGAACAATCTGCAAGTAATCTTAATAAGCATCTACTAGGGCTAGGACAGGTAACTCGGGTACTCGGGTGGGTCCTGAGTAGGACCCAGGTACCCACAGGACTACCCAGACCCGTGGTTAGTCGTGTGATAATGGTTAAATGACAATACCCCGGGGGTAACAATAAAATTCCATGGTTACACAAGTACAAGTCCCTAATGTTCGCATTTCATTCTGACTATGGGCACATTCCTTCTGACTCTTATATGTTTGAGTAAAGACAAAGCTTCAGTCAACTTCAGTGTACGCACGATCAGATTGTTTATACTATATCCAAACACCTTTTGCCAGGGCTCCGGTAAAAGAATAATATTCCAAATTGTACATTTTGTGCCCAACTTATGACCTAAAGCAGGTACCTGGGTAGTAAATTTGGACTCGTCCCAGCCTTAGCGCCCACTACAATGACAGTAATCAGTCTGTAGTTTCACATATATTTTACTGATTATGTTTACAGGAAATAGCAGCACAAAAGGGGTATATATATCCCGTATTTGATGTAATAAGCGCCCCACTCTAATAAGCGCCCATGGCGAAATTTGTTGATATATTGGCTAATGAACAATCCAAATTAGCACCCCTTCCGACTGATGAATGTACATAAGACTTATTTATTCGTGTATAATATGCACTCGTGTGTTTTATGCACCCTTAATTATGGGCAATTAAATTCTGGAAATATATATCTGTCGTGTATAAACAAGGGGCACAGGTGGCCCAGTCGTCTAAGGCGCCGCAAATCGCTGTGCAGAGTTGTGTCCCTTCAGACGTGCCAGAAACCTATGATTGTGGTTCCGAATCCCGATTCGCCCCGATTATGTTTCTAGGTTTGTCAGCACCATACCCGTGCTCGTGGGTTTCACCGAAGTGGTAAACATCTGAGACCTGCATCACTTCGGTCTTTCCTCCCACATTAAGCTGACACGCCGCGATATTACTGGAATACTGTTAAAAGTGGCGTTAAACCCAACTCACTCACTCGTATATAAACATTTCAGGCTGTCAGCATAAACCACGAAATTTATTTTTCAACTCTGTTTTTTTTTCACCAAAATAATATTCTAATAAGAGCCCTATATTTCTAATTTTGAGAGCGCCCTGGGCGCTTATTACGTCGAATACGGTAACTGTTGTCTTATGAACTATTATCCAAAAAAGTTTGTTCGCTACAGAACGATCTTTGAAATCAGAATACCTTAGGTGTTTTGTAATGCAAATTTCTACCATGAATTTGGAACTTACTCGTTTCTGATTGGTCAATCAGAGGCTATTAAATCACAATAAACCCCCTCTGATTGAAACAGCTGGTTTGACGGCTGCATCACCGCGAAAGATAATATTCACATAATAGTACTTTTTTTCAGTCACAGTCGGTAGGCGTATTTAAATAATTAATTACAATTGTAGGTTACAAAATTCAATTTCAAATTTGTGGTTACTACAATATTCAAAGGATGTGTGGCAATACATTTCGTGCAGAAACACGATAGAAATCTACAAAGAGAATGTATTTTAAGTTTTGGGGACAACAGAGAGGTTGGAATTTGGCACTTTTCTATATACGACTGTGACGTCATATCCTTTGCATCACAATGAGCGATATGACTTCATAATGGTGACGTAAGGTGTAGAACGAAAGCTTGACAAAGTTTAATTGCTAAGTTTTCTTTAGGGGTGCCATTCTTAAAGACTGTCAATGCCTGTCATAAGTTGCGTGAAGTTTCACTGTGCAAACAAACTGCCTGAGCATATTTGCAAAAATCAAAGAGTTCGCGTTTTATTTAGTCATTGTAGAATAGAGATAAACATACTGTAGTGCTAGTTTACCTGTGCCTTTGGTTTCAAATTCTAAGCTAAGATTGCTTTGTGGAACAGAGCTGTGTTATACAAGGCTGTCTCAGCTCTACGACTGGCGTAAGTCAGTGGTAACGTCAGGAAGTTACAATCGTCTTAGCTCTAAGATTGTTTTGTGGAACAGAGCTGTGTTATATAAGGCTGTGTCAGCTCTACGACAGGCGTAAGTCAGTGGTAACGTCAGGAAGTTACAATCGTCTTAGCTCTAAGATTGTCTGTGGAACAGAGCTGTGTTATATAAGGCTGTCTCAGCTCTACGACTGGCAGAAGTCAGTGGTAACGTCAGGAAGTTACAATCGTCTTAGCTCTAAGATTGTTTTGTGGAACAGAGCTGTGTTATATAAGGCTGTGTCAGCTCTACGACTGGCGTAAGTCAGTGGTAACGTTGGGAAGTTACAATCGTCTTAGCTCTAAGATTGTCTGTGGACCAGAGCTGTGTTATATAAGGCTGTCTCAGCTCTACGACTGGCGTAAGTCAGTGGTAACGTCAGGAAGTTACAATCGTCTTAGCTCTAAGATTGTCTGTGGAACAGAGCTGTGTTATATAAGGCTCTCTCAGCTCTACGACAGGCGTAAGTCAGTGGTAATGTTGGGAAGTTACAATCGTCTTAGCTCTAAGATTGTTTTGTGTAACAGAGCTGTGTTATATAAGGCTGTGTCAGCTCTACGACAGGCGTAAGTCAGTGGTAACGTCAGGAAGTTACAATCGTCTTAGCTCTAAGATTGTCTGTGGACCAGAGCTGTGTTATTTATACAAGGCTGTCTCAGCTCTACGACAGGCGTAAGTCAGTGGTAACGTTGGGAAGTTACAATCGTCTTAGCGCTAAGATTGTCTGTGGAACAGAGCTGTGTTATATAAGGCTGTGTCAGCTCTACGACTGGCGTAAGTCAGTGGTAACGTCAGGAAGTTACAATCGTCTTAGCTCTAAGATTGTCTGTGGACCAGAGCTGTGTTATTTATACAAGGCTGTCTCAGCTCTACGACAGGCGTAAGTCAGTGGTAACGTCAGGAAGTTACAATCGCCTTAGCGCTAAGATTGTCTGTGGAACAGAGCTGTGTTTTATAAGGCTGTCTCAGCTCTATGACAGGCGTAAGTCAGTGGTAACGTTGGGAAGTTACAATCGTCTTAGCTCTAAGATTGTCTGTGGACCAGAGCTGTGTTATATAAGGCTGTCTCAGCTCTATGACAGGCGTAAGTCAGTGGTAACATCAGGAAGTTACAATCGTCTTAGCTCTAAGATTGTCTGTGGACCAGAGCTGTGTTATATAAGGCTGTCTCAGCTCTACGACTGGCAGAAGTCAGTGGTAACGTCAGGAAGTTACAATCGCCTTAGCGCTAAGATTGCTTTGTGGAATGTGACTCTAGAACTTGACAGTTGTTGTTTGTCCTCAAAATGATGTGTGTGTGTGTTGCTATGGTTACAGGAAGGTGATCCCCCAGGATCAGAAGCTGGAGAACAGGCTGAACATGAAGGACTTGGAGCGTCTCCAGGGAAACTTCATGGTAGACCATCTTCATCTCAATACACAACAGTAACAAGATGCTAATGAGACTGACTTGTTGTCAGTATTTCATGTAAAAAAAGGGGGCATGGGTGGCCGAGTTGTCTAAGGCGCCGCGATTCGCTGTGCAGAGTTGCGTCCCTTTGGCATGCCAGAAACCTATGATTGTGGGTTCGAATTCCGCCTGCCTGTGGCTGGTGACTTTTCTGTCGGGCTGAATGAAATTTTCTTTCACCTGCCCGGCTGTCTGACTGTTAATTTTAAGATGACTTACATATTCAGTTTTATTATAACTCCTTGTACATTCTCAGGGGGCATGGGAGGCCAAGTCATATAAGGCGCCGCGATTCGTTGTGCAGAGTTGCGTCCCTTGGGCACGTCAGGAACCTATGATTGTGGATTTGAATCCCAGTTTGACCGATTATGTTTCTAGGATTGTCAGCACCATACACGTGCTCGTGGGTTTCACCGAAGTGGTAAACGTCTGAGACCTGCATCACTTTGGGCTTTCCTCCCACATTAAGCTGACACGCCGTGATATAACTGGAATACTGTTAAAAGCGATGTTAAACCCAACTCACTCACTCACTCACTCGTATAAAAAATGTACATTATAAGTTATAGCGGGATCACGAGGGATACACGGTGTTAAATACGAGCCAGAGACGAGTGGTATAAGACCTAATGAGGGACACATGTTTTGATATGACCTTACAAAAGAATACAACAAATTCAAAATTGATTGAAAACAGATGTTCGATTGAGCTGAGGTTAACTTGCTCTATATCACGTGACTTTCATTGCGGGCAGCTTTTTGCTTCAAAACAGAGTAAAAGGGATTTATTCTGTCAGAAATCCACATGCAGCCTGACTTGCTCATGGCGGGGTATAAGGAACTTATTCACCCTCCAAACAATTTATTTCCCTCCAAGACGAGATACATATTATTTTATCACATGGACCAAACAGATCTCATCATTCTGACATGGAGGTGTGATAATAATAAGAATACTACCGGCATATGGATTTGATACAGTATTTGGTATAAAGTAGGTCTTGTATATCTGCATAACGAATGAAAGGACATGGTTATGGTGAATATAATGTTGCGTTGTCTGCAGATGGAGGGCGAGGGTTACGACAACCGTCTCAGTCTCAACAAGGCCCAGTTCTGTGAAGCTCTGTCTCTCCTGCTGAGGAAGGGATCGAGAGATGAGGTAAGTGTCTCTCCTGCTGAGGAAGGGATCGAGAGATGAGGTAAGTGTCTCTCCTGCTGAGGAAGGGATCGAGAGATGAGGTAAGTGTCTCTCCTGCTGAGGAAGGGGTCAAGAGAAGAGGTAATTGTCTCTCTGTATCACTCTCTTTCTCTCTCTCTCTTTCTCTCTCTCTCTCTCTCTCTCTCTCTCTCTCTCTCTCTCTCTATGATTGTTTCGCTCTCATCTCTCCCTCCATCCCTACCAAAATCCACCCATCCAAACCTGCCTGTCTGCCCCTGTCTACACCCACCCTACCTACCTACCTACCTACCCACCCACCAACCCACCCACCCAACTACCCACCCAACTACCCACCTAACTACTGACATTTCACGAAATCAACAACTGCTGTTTATGTATGAACCCGCTGGGGTAGACTCACTGTTAAAGTATTTGATCATCATGCCGAAAGCTAGGGTTTGATTCCAGACATTGGATGCCCCAGGCGGGAATATTGCTAGAAGCAACATGGAACCCAAACGACTCACTGCTATGACCGACCCGTGAACATCCGGGGTAGAATAGGTCTTCAGCAACCCATGCTTGCTGTAAACTGCGGCTATGCTTGTCGTAAAAGGTGACAGAAGGGATCAGGTGGTCAGGCTCACTGACTTGGTTGGTCCATCAATTGGCTGGTTCGATGCTCATGATGTCAATCACTGGATTGTCAAGTCCAGACTCAATTATATACAGACCGCCGCCATGTAGTTGGAATATTGATGAGTGCAGCGTTAAAAAAACAACAACAAAAACAAAACTGCTCTGACCCTAGCTGGATTTCCTTTGTAACAACTGACCCGTCCTCCAGCCGCTAGCAGATTGGAGTAACAACTCTGAGATGTTGTGTAGTGGTAGGTTCATCTCTACAGAGCTGTCAAGTGTGTGATGTCTGTGTGTTTCAGTACGCGGAACTGTTTGACAAGATCGACGTGACGCGGGAGGGGACGGTGGACTGGGACAAGTTCGCCTCTCACATGCTGCTGGAGTTCTACGAGCGCGACGACCGCGTCAAGTCCACGCAGGTGCCCCAGTGGAGGGATCTCAAGTCTCTTCCCAGGTAAAGCCCAGGTGCTAGGAACAGGGTTAGAAATAGCTGCCCCAGTGGAGGGATCTCAAGTCTCTGCCCAGGTAAAGTCCAGGTGCTAGGAACAGGGTTAGAAAGTAGGGAGGGATGCTTTTTATTCCTGTATATAGAAACAGGCTTCGCTCATCCGTCCGTCCATCCGTCCGTCCATCACGTTTTGTTCCTGGAGCTAAACTCATAAACCGTTCAACATTATTCTACACCGGAAATTCACGAGTCACATCACAATAATAATGGAAGTATATGTATATTAGTTATGATAAACGTATTCGACGTAATAAGAGCCCCGCTCTAATAAGCGCCCATGGTGATATTTGCTAATATATTGGCAAGTGAACAATCCCAATTAGCACCCCTTCCGATTGATCAATGTACACAAGACGTATTTATTCACGTATAATATGAACTTGTGTGTTATATGCACCTTATATATGGGCAATTAAATTCTTGAAAAATATATCTGACGTATATAAACTGTTCAGGCCGTCAGCATAAACCATGAAATTTATCGGGTTTTTTTTCACTAAACTGATATTCTAATAAGAGCCCCTATTTCTAATTTTGAGAGCGCCCTGCGCGCTTATTACGTTGAGTATTATGGGCGCTTATTATGTCCAATACGGTATAGTATTAACCCTGTGTGGAATCAGGGTTAGAATTTTAGTGATAAAAGGGTTCACTCGTCATGCGGAAGACTCTGGTTCGATTCCCCACATGTTGTGTGCCCCCTGCGATATTGCTGGAATATTGCTAACAGCGTGTAGGGGCAGTCGGGTAGCCTAGTGGTTAAAGCGTTCGCTCGTCACACCCAAGACCCGAGTTTGATTCCCGACATTGGTACAATGTGTGAAGCCTATTTCTGGTGTCCTCGCTGTGATATTGCTGGAATATTGCTAAAAGCGGCGTAAAACCATACTCACTCACTCACTAACAGCGTGTAAAACGCAACTCCGTCTCTTAATGTATTGACCTCTGTGTTTTCTTCCGCAGCCCTCACAAGGACGTGATACAGCGAGTTGCATACTTTAAGAATACCCACAGATACATCGCCATCAGTAAGGTAGGGATGGAGCTTTCACACCAGAACACTGAGTCAGTCCCAGAGCCTTGTGCCTGTAGCTCCATACTTTATCATAGGACTTTGGAACTCGTATTGCTTGATGTATGAATTGACTTAATGGAGTGATTGTTGTTTTTCCTATAGCCGGTCCTGTTTCTTATGAGCTGCATTATGTGCTTTATTGAGTCGTTTATTTCTTATATGAGATATCAACATCTTTAAGGAAGTTAATAAATTTACCAATCTTTAGCAGTAGTCAGCTTTGTTTTAATAATGATGACTCCTTTAATAAAATCCAACCTTGGCAATGTCGGACAATTTCATTTTATGAACAGGTAGGTTAGGTTTTGTATTTCCTGCATATACTCACAATCTCACATAAATTTTCTGTAACTTCTCTCCTAATCCTGATTGTCATATCTCTCCCACTTTTGGGTGCGATTTTCGGCCACTACATTTATCTAAGATCTGATTTTGATGAGATTGGGTTTACTGGCTAGAATATTTCTGACAGTGGCGTTAACAAACAAACAAACAGCATGTTAAAGTAATGTTTGTTTCCATCAGGTCCAGTTGATTAGTAAATGTTGCATGATAGTGGTTATCCTTGATTACCTCCCTTTGCTACCCACAATGCCTTGTTTGCAGGAAGGGTCGATCTCCATGTGGGGTATGGACCTACGGAGTCAGCGCACCATCAAGACCGGCACCGACTCGTGTAAGGCCCGAGACTTGTGGGTCACGCACTTCGTGCCTCTGCAGAACATCAACAAGATTGCCCTAGCCTTCACCAGCAAGGAAATAGGTGAGGCCAATAGATTGACCCTGATTTGTTTATTTGTTGTTTAACGCAGCACTCTGAACTTGGGATTGATGACATGCTTGACCACCTGATCCCGTTAGTCGCCTCTTCCGACAAGCATAGTGGCCTTTTACGGCAGGCATGGGTTGCTGAAGACCTATTCTATTCAAGGCCAATAGAGGAAGAACAGTTTGGATGGGGTATTCCAAGTGCTCTACAAAATCTCCTGATATTACCAGTATATCTGATATATCTAGACCCGTGAAGATCCCCCTGGCTGTCTCATACCAAAAGACAATAAAAGATGGTACTTGTTGTTACCCTCTCTGGCGCTTGGCATTAAGGGGCTAAAACAAGGACTGGTCGGCTCGGAGTCAGTATACTGTGTCTGAGTGGGGTATTAATGTTAAACTGCGGCATGGTATCTCAGTGAGCTAGCACTATAAATCGGCATCAGTCCGGACTAGTACAAGCAGCTACACACTCAAGTGCATGCAAAAATCTTTGATGCGACGTTAAATCCCATTTCACCTCACCTCATCTCACCCATGAAGATCCGGGGTAGAACAGGTCCTCAGCAAACCATGCTTGCCATAAAGGACGTAAGAGGCGACTAATGGGATCAGGTGGTCATTGTATCCCTATTGCTCATGATATCAATCACTGGATTGTCTGGTGCAGACACAATTATTTACATTGTAGACCAACGTCAATTATCATCCAAAACTGGCTGCCACAGGAGTTGATAAAAGTGGAAAAAATCCTCGGCAAGCCTCTGAGTTTTTCCACTTTTATCAACTCAATTTGATATCAAAAGACACTCGGGTGACATTCTCTATATAGCTGTAATATTGCTGAGTATACACCACAATCTGAACTGTACTGATGAATATGTACTAAAATACATTTGGAATATTGGAATATTGCTTTTTTCAAAATTATGTGTACCATGTTCTACATAATAAGGGCCCAGGGCACCCTCAAAATTAGAAATTGGAGGCTCTTATTAGAATATAATTTTGGTGAGAGAAAAAACAGAGTTGAAAGATCGTACATTTTGTGGTTTATGCTGACAGCCTGAAATGTTAGAAAGGAAAAGTCTGTGCGTGTATACATGACAGATACAAAATCCAAAATATAATTTCCCATAAATAAGGGTGCATATAACACACAAGTGTGTATTATACACGAATAAATAAGTGTACATTGATCAATTGGAAGGGGTGCTAATTGGAATTGTTCACTAGCCAATATAATAGCAAATATCGCCCTGGGCGCTTATTACATCGAATACGGTATTTTCATTCTGTTGACAAAGTTGACAAGACATGCAGCTTGGAGTAGTCGATGTGAGGGTGAAGTCTGATGTATGGGCCATTTCAGACTAAAAAAGAAAACATCACAGTGCATGGGCGGATACAGAGGGGGGGTGCGCACCCCCCCTTTTTATTTCGAAAAAAATCTTTATTTCTGTATAAATTACCACCAAAGACAATAAATAGATCTTAATTGTGCACCCCCCCTTTTCAAAAAAGCTGTATCCGCCCATGCTCCCTAACTTGGTTGATGCTCATGATGTCAGTCACTTGATTGTCTGGTCCAGTCTCGATTATTTACTGACCACCGTTATACAGCTTGAATATTGCTGAGTGCGGCGTTAAACAAATAAACAAACAAACAAAATTGAACGGGGCAATCCATTGAGTGGAAGATCAACGCAATAAACAAACAAACAAACAGACCCGTTACTACGTATCACTTATTGACAACTTTAATTTCATTTTGTTTATAAGTTAGGCATAGTGTGGACCCAAACCAGCTTTATGTAAGATATATTGAGAGAAAGTTTGGTACCTTAAAACTCATGGGGGTGTAAGTGTTCATCTATTACCCTTGCTTTCGCTTGGGAAATACAAGGATTCTGACACTTGTTTTGTAAAATCAGGATGACACAAGTGCTTGTATAATAATCTCTGTACATGAATACTGACTATAATGTGTCACCAGAGCCAGTACAGGACAGACAGGTTTTTTCAGGTGAAATGACTTTTTCTGTTTGTTTTTTCAGCCATTTATGACCTGAGCAGCAAGATTGAGTTCAACTGTCAGTACAAAGTGCAGGACCTGCCCTACACTCCGCTGTGTCTGGACTACTGGTAACTACACACTCACGCTCAGACAGGCAGACAATCACGCTCAGACACACACACACACTCAGACACACGCTCAGACAGGCAGACACTCAGACACACACACTCAGACACGGTCAGACAGGCAGAAACTCAGACACACACACACTCAGACACTCAGACAGGCAGACACTCAGACACACACATGCTCAGACACACACATGCTCAGATACTCACACGCTCAGACACGCACAAACTCAGACACACGCTCAGACACACACATACTCAGACACACACACACTTAGACACACACGCTCAGACACACACATACTCAGACACACACACACTCAGACACACACACTCACACACACTCACACACACACACTCACACACTCAGACAACACACACACAACAATCATTTGTTTGTTAAAAATAAGAATCATTAGTTCCTAAATTCAAAGGTATTTTCACATTATATTTAAACAAAGCATTCCATGCAATGTTGACCCTGCAGTCAGAGAAACATGACTTTGTGCCTCTACAAAACTATAACCTACGTTATTACCATAATAGGAGAAATTTGGGAATTTTTCATTCTAATTGGGCAGTTTTACTGCCATTTGACAAGACTTGGGGCCAAATATTGGCCTCTGAGCAGGTCAAGACAAAGCACTGCATGATCGTTCTCATCTTACAGGTCCAACCCTAACAACGTGAACGAGTCGATCCTGGCCTGGGGAGACGTGGGCGGCTTCATCAACATCCTCTTCTTCAGCTCCGCCAACATCGCCCTCTTTGAACGTCCACCAGCCCCTGCTGGCGAGAAGCAAGGTAGAGTTGTCTCCCTTGGAACATGAACAATTCACTTTGCAGCACTGTCAATAATTTACTTTTCTGTTGAGACAGAATTAAAATTCATTTCAGTAATTATTTGGAGCTGAATTTTGAAAAATAAGTTGATGTAATTGTTTTAATTTTCACAACAGGGCATACATGTATTCTCATACTTACAACATATAACAAAACATGTAGAGTTCTAATGTTTGATTTCATGATTTGTTTAACATTTGTTTAATTGATTTAACATAGATGTGATGTGAGACTTTGTTTTAGATAACATTGGCTTGTTAATAACAGGATTCCATCTGACCAGTGTAGGATACTTGTGTGAGCTTGTTAATACCATGTAGGTGGCCCAGTCGTCTAAGGCGCCGCGATTCGCTGTGCAGAGTTGCGTCCTTTGGGCACGCAAGAAACCTATGATTGTGGGTTCGAATCCCGGTTCGCCCCGATTATGTTTCTAGGTTTGTCAGCACCATACCCCTGCTCATGGGTTTCACCGAAGTGATAAACGTCTGAGACCTGCATCACTTCGGGCTTTCCTCCCATATTAAGCTGACACGCCGTGATATAACTGGAATACTGTTAAAAACGGTGTTAAACCCAACTCACTCACTCACTCACTCACTCACTCACTCACTCACTCACTCACTCACTCACTCACTCACTCACTCACTCACTCACTCACTCACTCACTAATACCATGTAGCTTACCTGTGAAGATCCGGGGTTGTATATGTCTTCAGCAACTCATGCTTGCCGTAATACCAACTATGGTTGTCGTAAGAGGCGACTAACGGGATCGGGTGGTCAGGCTCGCTGACTTGGTTGATGCATGTCATCGTATCCCAGTTGTGCAAATCAATACTGTGGATCAATACTCATGATGTCAATCACTGGATTGTGTGGTCCAGAATCGATTATTTACAGACCGCCATCACATAGCTGGAATACTGCTGAGTGCAGCGTTAAACAACAAACAAACAAACAAACAAACAAAACCTGACCATATAACTTGTTTCACCGAAGTGGTAAACGTCTCAGACCTGCATCACTTCGGGCTTCCTCCCACATTAAGCTGACACGCCGTGATATAACTGGAATACTGTTAAAAGCTGCGTTAAACCCAACTCACTCACTCACTCACTCATTTAGATTGGGGGGTCAAAGGTGACTCAGCATTCACCCCATCAGGAGGGGTGGTCAGATCTTCACAGATGGCAATGGAGGAAAACATCGGATTGTAATAGATCGTTGGGATGGGTCTACAACATAAGGAGTAACGCAATATGTTTCCTCTTAGTGGAGAAGGAATTCTGGGAGATTATATAATACTTCTATACATCATAATTTCAATGGAGATCATCGAGTATACTGTTTTTAAATCTGTTTCTCTGAGAAAGAGAGATTATTAGCCGAATGTTGATTTGAGAAGTAAGTTTTCTGGACCGAAATTTGCATTATACTCAGCCCCTTATGTCCGCTGTTATGTTTTACGGATTTGTCAAGCTCCTCACAGTGATATCCCATATGCGGAGCTCTCTATACTATCGTTGCCACCAGTTAAAACTCCCCACAGTGATAGATGGCCACAACCATGCTTGGAGTTGAACTCGCAGCCGATTGATCGTTATGTATACAAACAAGTGATGACTGTCGTGACGCCGAATACACTTACTGCTGATAAATTAGTTTCTTTGTTTGTCAATTTGAATTTCCTTAAAACTATCATGTAATTGATATAGTAAGAATGTAAGGGAGAAGTTGGTTGACTTTTCGTTAGTCTGCAATCTCGAACCAATCTGATTATACAAACAACAAAGTAAATTCATCTGGAAAACATGGTCAGTTGTAAACCTTTTCAAATTGAAATATGGTGGCATTCCCAAAGACATGAACAAAAGTATGAACGTTACTACATATGGGGTTAGAGGCCAAATTTCAAGATTCTTGTAATGGCCGCGCCCACACTGGTGGCAGCGATGTTACTGAGAGTGTAACGAAGGTGTCATGCGCTGGGAAGGAGCTTGTGGATTTGTAACCAAGGGGAGGTGACTCTTAACTTTGTTCGAAAAAGCAAAAGTACAAACTAGATTGATGGTCATGATGTCAATCATTGGATTGTCTGGTCCAGACTTGATTATTTAAAGGTCGATGTTATATAGCTAAAAGAGTTTTTGGTATTGTGTGAAATAAACAAACAAAACAAAACTTAGAAGGAATATTAAGAGGTTCACTGAAAATTGGTGCAAATTATGTTTGGTGATTTGAATGAGTTTTATGTAAAGATAGACTTACTCCTAGTCTATCAGACCACCTCCGTGCTCAAATGGTAGAGCCTCCACCCGGAGAGCGGAATGTCCGGGGTTCGATCCCCGGCCGCGTCATACCAAAAGACGTTAAAAGATGGTACTTGTTGTTACCCTGTCTGGCGCTCGGCATTAAGGGGCTCAAACAAGGACTGGTCGGCTCGGTGTCAGTATACTGTGTCTGAGTGGGGTATTCATGTTAAATTGCGGCATGGTATCTCAGTGAGCTAGCACTATAAATCGGCATCAGTCCGGACTAGTACAAGCAGCCACACAAACACACACACGTACATGCACGTCGCTATATAAGTGCAATAATCTTGGACACGACGTTAAACCCCATTTCACCTCACCTAGTCTAGCAGGAGTTGTGTGATGCTCTAGTGTTGACCTTTGACCATGTGGACTTTGCTTATATTTCCAGCATGGCAGGGTGAGTGATGGTATCGGCTAGATGCTCGACTGTCCGCTGTCAGCTGCCGCAGCGCTCATAGGACTCATCCTCGGTTACCCCCTGTATAGTCACTCTGTACAATCAATACCCTCGACCCATTAGGCCACATGTTTTGTGAACCTTTTTTTTAAATGCATTTTTTCATTCTCTTGACTAGAAAGAAGTACTTAGTTAAAAAACTCATTTACTGCTTTCAATACCCTCGACCCATTAGGCCACATGTTTTGTGAACCTTTTTATGAAATGCATTTTTTCATTCTCTTGGCTAGAAAGAAGTACTTAGTTAAAAAACTCATTTACTGCTGTCAGTACACTCAACCCATCAGGCCACATGTTTTGTGAACCTTTTATGAAATTCATTTTTTTATTCTCTTGGCTAGAAAGAAGTACTTAGTTAAAAAACTCATTTACTGCTGTCAATATTAAATAAATTGTTGAAAAATTATCTTAAAAACTTCTAAACACAACAGGAGCGGTCGGGTAGCCTAGTGGTTAAAGCAATCTATAGTCACACTGAAGACCCGGGTTTGATTCCCGACATGGGTAAAATGTGTGAAGCCCATTTCTGGTGTCCCCCGACATTGCTGGAATATTGATAAAAACGGCGTAAAACCATACTCACTCACTCACTCAAAACACAACGAATTATGATGAATCATAGTCGTAATGAAAAGGAGTTCTGACATTTTTTACGTATTCCTCCAGCCCCACATTGTTTTCCTACCAACTTAACATCTTGAGGAATTGAAAATAATATTTTAACTTTGAAATTTAAAAAAAATAAATTCCCTACCACACTAAATTTTTGGCCAGAAATCTGTAAATTAAAAAGAAGAAAGTCAGGCCTATTACAACAGGAAGTGATGGCATCCTCATCGTCTTTTGTTTCAGTAACCATGCACTGAATTTCTCTCTTATAGGAGTAAACTGACTGGAAAATATAGTGGTGAATGTGCCCAGGGTATTTAGCTGAACAGAATGGAGATATAACACCCTGGATTAACGAGGATGATGTCACCATGATCCAAAACCCAGCACAGATGTAATGGAATGAAATTGTGTCTTGTAGTATCACTTTATATCATGTTTAAATTGAGAAAACAAAAATTCTGAAAAAAATCGTTCTTAATTAATTCCGAAAATGCTTGAGAAATTACACGAAGTAAAGAAAGGTTTGCTTCAACCTGTTTTTTAGATACTTTGTTCCGAATGTTTTGGGCTATTTGGCCTGTGTAAAGTGTGATACTCTAACAGTGGAACTGTTTGTGTGATCGGTTTCTTTCAACCAATCAATCTGTGCCAGGTAATCGTCATGGATACAGTTGTGAATGTTGGCTGTTTTCGTCAGCATTTCACACTTCTTCCTATTAGCGCTGATGCAATGACAATATCTTACCAGGTGCATTCTGCAATACAATTTTTCCTTCTTTCTTTTCGTCCTCAAAATGTTTTTATTTGTTTCAATTTCATTTGCTTTTTGGATCAGCATTTTGTTCAGACTTGGATTGAAAGTTTGTCATTTTTGTCCCAATATTCTTCTATTTTAAAGTGTTTTTATCTTATTGTGTAGATAGTTTGATATGACGCTCTAAATTGTCAGAGACTTGGTGATAAGATCTGTCTTTCTTTAGGCTTTGATATGGGTCATAGTTAGATTTAATTTTAAGATTGAATAAAATCTCAAACAGTTCTAAAAGAAAAATGTTTGGATTTTTTAATTTTGTTGATAAAAAATGTAAATGGTACCGAGGATTTATTAAAAAACATTACATGATGGATTATCCTGTAAAAAAACCCAACAAGACATCTGTTCAGTATGTAGCTTCTAATTGTTCTCAATAATTGCCATTTAACAAAACGCTTTCAAAGTTTGTCACAGTATATTGCATTGTATGGACTATTGATCCTGAAAGAGCTGCTGTTTGCAGAGCTATGTAGAGTTGCTTCCCTTGGCCATGCTATGATCCGCTGATAAAGCCTGCATTTATCCTGGTTATATAGCTGTTTGCCTGTCACCATACACTTCAGTAGTGTCGTGGACATAGACACACAGGAGCCTGTCTGATTTAGTTGTCAAAAGTTAGTGGTAGACTGTCACCCGTATAAAGATTCTGGTGCCAAGTTATTCACCATGTCCGCCAGTAGGCTGCTTAGTATTTGGCTACAATCTAACAGTGAACACAATGTACAGATGAAAATCATGATGCGTTTTGCCTGTGCTTGTTCGGTCTTCTATATGCCATTTATTTCATCACAGAGCCGATAATTGTTAAAGATATCAGCACTGAATGTCACTATGACCCATGTGGAGTCCATGTTCCTACCTCCCTGTAGTAATGTTCCTACCTCCCTGTAGCCATGTTCCTACCTCCCTGTAGTAATGTTCCTACCTCCCTGTAGCCATGTTCCTACCTCCCTGTAGTAATGTTCCTACCTCCCTGTAGTAATGTTCCTACCTCCCTGTAGCGATGTTCCTACCTCCCTGTAGCGATGTTCCTACCTCCCTGTAGCGATGTTCCTACCTCCCTGTAGCAATATTCCTACCTCCCTGTAGTAATGTTCCTACCTCCCTGTAGCAATGTTCCTACCTCCCTGTAGTGATGTTCCTTCCTCCCTGTAGCCATGTTCCTACCTCCCTGTAGCCATGTTCCTACCTCCATGTATCAATGTTCCTACCTACGTGCAGCAATGTTCCTATTTCCCTGTAGCAATGTTCCTACCTCCCTGTAGCAATGTTCCTACCTCCCTGTAGCCATGTTCCTACCTCCCTGTAGCAATGTTCCTACCTCCCTGTAGGAATGTTCCTACTTCCCTGTAGCAATGTTCCTACTTCCCTGTAGCAATGTTCCTACTTCCCTGTAGCAATGTTCCTACCTCCCTGTAGCCATGTTCCTACCTCCATGTATCAATGTTCCTACCTCCCTGTAGCCATGTTCCTACTTCCCTGTAGCAATGTTCCTACCTCCGTGCAGCAATGTTCCTACTTCCCTGTAGCAATGTTCCTACTTCCCTGTAGCAATGTTCCTACCTCCCTGTAGCCATGTTCCTACCTCCCTGTAGCCATGTTCCTACCTCCATGTATCAATGTTCCTACCTCCCTGTAGCCATGTTCCTACTTCCCTGTAGCAATGTTCCTACCTCCCTGTAGCCATGTTCCTACTTCCCTGTAGCAATGTTCCTACCTCCCTGTAGCAATGTTCCTACCTCCCTGTAGCAATGTTCCTACCTCCCTGTAGGAATGTTCCTACCTCCCTGTAGCAATGTTCCTACCTCCGTGCAGCAATGTTCCTACTTCCCTGTAGCAATGTTCCTACTTCCCTGTAGCAATGTTCCTACCTCCCTGGAGCCATGTTCCTACCTCCCTGTAGCCATGTTCCTACCTCCATGTATCAATGTTCCTACCTCCCTGTAGTAATGTTCCTACTTCCCTGTAGCAATGTTCCTACCTCCCTGTAGCCATGTTCCTACTTCCCTGTAGCAATGTTCCTACTTCCCTGTAGCAATGTTCCTACCTCCCTGTAGCAATGTTCCTACCTCCCTGTAGCCATGTTCCTACCTCCCTGTAGCAGTGTTCCTACCTCCCTGTAGCAATGTCTTACCTCCCTGTAGCAATGTTCCTACCTCCGTGCAGCAATGTTCCTACTTCCCTGTAGCAATGTTCCTACTTCCCTGTAGCAATGTTCCTACCTCCCTGTAGCCATGTTCCTACCTCCCTGTAGCCATGTTCCTACCTCCATGTATCAATGTTCCTACCTCCCTGTAGCAATGTTCCTACCTCCCTGTAGGAATGTTCCTACCTCCCTGTAGCAATGTTCCTACCTCCATGCAGCAATGTTCCTACCTCCCTGTAGCGATGTTCCTACCTCCATGTATCAATGTTCCTCCCTCCCTGTAGCCATGCACCTACCTCCCTGTAGCAATGTTCCTACCTCCATGTAGCAATGTTCCGTGGTTGTAGTATTCAGAATGCAGCTGTAGTCGACTTAGTCTGGTGTAATACTCAGTGTTTATTACAGACGTTCAGCCTCTTCTTGAACTTCTTCCATCACTTGTGTCGTCTCACTCTCTCTGTTCATTTCTCCTACATAGTGAATACAGATATTATAATATAGATAATACTGTACACAGAACCGTGCCCTACACATAGACAAAGTGATGCATTAAATGTTGTCTGCTAGTATATGATTTCTAGTCAAATCAAGGGGCACGGGTGGCCCAGTCGTCTAAGGCACTGTGATTTTCGCTGTACAGAGTTGCGTCCCTTGGGCACACCAGAAACCTATGATTGTGGGTTCGAATCCCGGTTCGCCCCAATTATGTTTCTAGGTTTGTCGGCACCATGCCTGTGCTCGTGGGTTTAACCAAAATGGTAAACGTCCGAGACCTGCCTCACTTTGGGCTTTCCTACCACATTAAGCTGACACGCCGTGATATAACTGGAATACTGTTAAAAGCGTCGTTAAACACAACTCACTCACTCACTCACTCTGGTCAGATCAGCCAATACTGTTGATATTTGTTAGTATTTATGGAAGTGGTTGGGTAGCCCAGGGGTTAAGGTGTTTGCTTGGATGTGTAAGTCCTGGGTTTGATTCCTACATTGTTGGTGTGCTTCTATGGTGTTTGTTGTCAGGTGCAGCACTCCCGATAAACTGTTTTCGTTCAATAGGCCAAATAAATCACAGTTATTTCTTTATGACCCCATGGAGATTCCGGGTAGAATTGGCCACCAGGGTCCCGTTCCTTAAAACGATCTTAGCGCTAGGACTGCCGTACGTCTATGTTAAAGCATGGGAGTTACGATCGACTTAGCACTATGATCGCTTTGTGGAACGGGGCCCAGCAACCTATGCTGGTTGTAGGGCTACTTGATGGATCGGTGGTCAGACTCGCTGACTTGGTTGATAGCGTGTCACAGTACCCTGTCAGTGTGGATAAATGCTCATAATATCAATCACTGGTCTGTCTGATCCAGACACGATTATTTACAAGCTGATCATATGGCTGGTTGGTTGGTTGGTTTGTTGTTTAACGCCGCACTCAGCAATATTCCAGCTATATGGCGGCGGTCTGTAAATAATCGAGTCTGGACCAGACAATCCAGTGATTAATATCATGAGCATCGATCTACGCAATTGGGATCGATGACATGCATCAACCAAGTCAGCGAGTCTGACCACCCGATCCCATTAGTCGCCTTTTACGACAAGCATAGTCACCTTTTATGGCAAGCATGGGTTGCTGAAGACCTATTCTACCCCGGAATCTTCACGGGTCTCATATGGCTGGAATATTGCTTTTTTTCATCAAAACCATACAGATAAGCCATGCTACTGATAATTTTATATTAACTTTAGACAGATGCTAATTGCTTTAGTTTGGGTGGGCATAGTAGATAGTGGATTTGATTAGCTAGTTTTGTAAGCTGTACGTTGCTTGTTAGCGGATATATTGGCGCTAGTCGGGGGTTTAGTTGTAGATAGGCTTGGGTATGGGTCTAGGGTGCCGTTGTACAAAGCGATCTTAGCGCTAAGGTGATCGTAACTCCCATACCTTAACATAGACTATATTGTACCTCTCCCTTCCACAAATGCTGGATCTGCCCTTGCAACTAATGTTATCAGCTAGAAGCCAGGGTGCTGTTGTACGAAACAACCTTAGCGCTAAGACTGTTGTAAGTCTGTGTTAAGGAATGGGAGTAACGACCACCTTAGCGCTAAGACTGTCGTAAGTCTGTGTTAAGGAATGGGAGTTACGACCACCTTAGCGCTAAGACAGTCGTAAGTCTGTTTAGGAATGGGAGTTACGACCACCTTAGCGCTAAGACTGTGGTAAGTCTGCGTTAAGGAATCGGAGTTATGACCACCTTAGCGCTAAGACTGTCGTAAGTTTGTGTTAAGGAATGGGAGTTACGACCACCTTAGCGCTAAGACTGTTGTAAGTCTGTGTTAAGGAATGGGAGTTACGACCACCTTAGCGCTAAGACAGTCGTAAGTCTGTATTAAGGAATGGGAGTTATGACCACCTTAGCGCTAAAACTGTCGTAAGTCTGTATTAAGGAATTGGAGTTACGACCACCTTAGCGCTAAGATCTCTTTGAACAAAGGCACCCTGGCTTGTAGCTGATAACATGAGTTGCAAGGGCAGATCCAGCATGTGTAAAAGGGAGGGGCCCAAAATATCAAAATATCCTCTCTTAGATAATTAATATAACTGCCTACAACATACTACATTTGGTTCTGAAAGGGCGAGGGGGCACGGGTGGCCCAGTCGTCTAAGGCGACGCAATTCGCTGTGCAGAGTTGCGTCCCTTGGGCACTCCAGAAACCTATGATTGTGGGTTTGAATCCCGGTTCGCCCCGATTATGTTTCTAGATTTGTCAGCACCATTCCCGTGCGCGTGGGTTTCACCGAAGTGGTAAATGTCTAAGACCTGCATCACTTCGGGCTTTCCTCCAACATCAAGCCGCGATATAACTGGAATAATGTTAAAAGCGGGGTTAAACCCAACTCATTCACTCACTCTCAAAGGGCGAGGAAGGGGGTTGGGGGGGGGCAACTTTACTGTAAAAATTGTATTTTTACATACACTGTGACATTATAATAACAAGTTATCTTTAATTGTCAGTAATCTGACACCTTTCTATAATCTGGCTTGTAAATACTACCTGTCTGTCAAAACATTTAGAGTCTACTCGCCTGAACTTAGCTACAAGCATTTCAGGGTTCACTCTAGGAATTTTCGGACATGGGTCCTTTATGTGAAAATTTCAAATATTCCAGAGGTACACCCACACTTGCCCATACAGAACAATATTAAAATGTCCCATTGTATTTGAAAATGGGGGCCTTTTTTCAAATGTAGGGGCTAAAAGCACAAGACCCCACCCTAGAATTATCCCTGGCATTTGATGACCCGTGAAGATTCCGGGATAGAATAGGTCTTCAGCAACCCATGCTTGCCGTAAAAGGTGACTATGCTTGTCGTAAAAGGCGACTAACGGGATCGGGTGGTCAGGCTCGCTAACTTGGTTGATGCATGTCATCGATCTCAATTGCGTAGATGGATGCTCATGATATCAATCACTGGATTGTCTGGTCCAGACTCAATTATTTACAGACCGCCGTCGTATAGCTGGAATATTGTTGAGTGCGGCGTTAAACAACAAACCAACCAACCCTGGCATTTGATGCTAGTTTGATGTTATTGTTAGACAATTACTAGACAGAATTTTACTAGACTCCGGCTTCTGACTTGTACCTAACATTAAAGACTGCGCTAGAGCCAGGTAACCCTCAGTCATGAGGTATTAAAACGCTGTTTGATTAAACTAATTTTGGCTTCACAACTGATCACGTTATATATAGGTTGGGGGATCTGGGAGATCAAGACGGTAGGTAGATTGTTGTATATTGTTGACTAACTAATCATAGCATTACAGAATTTATTTTTCAGCATTACAAAATTTAAAACTTTTATATTCTTGTCTATATGTTTTTACTTTAGCATTGTATAGGATTGAAATATTTTGTGGGAAATAGTTGTAGCTAAAGAATGGGATGAAAAAGTATTGAAATTTGTTTCCGAAAAAATTACGTCCCAAGTTCAAATAATTCCTCCTAAAGTCAACAATGAACTGAAATACATAAATATTAATTTAATTAGTATTTTATTTTAGTTGATAGTTTATTGGATAAGCAAGGATAATCTGTATAATCTACTTACATAAATTGCATCATTGTTCAGGTCACAAACAACAAAACTCAAGTACAGTTTCCACTAACATACAATTCCAAGACTAGTGCTATGACTTGTACATCTAATAGTTATTTGATCAAAGATAATTTCAAATGCTTTTGGCTACCTACACTTTTGGCTTGACTTCTTAATTTTACAACTGGCTACCTGGAAAAAAATACTTGTAGCCATAAAATTTAAACTTTGGGGCCTGTATATAATGTATTGGGGAATCTGGTTCGGCTTCTTAGTTGATTGCCTGGCATCGTATCTGATGACTTGTAATACCAATCACTGGTTTGTCTGGTCCAGACTTGATTAGTTAAGGCTTCAAGAAATAAAAGAATTGGATCTCAGGCAATGACTTTTGAAAATATAGTGCGGGCAGGTGGTGGTTATTTTTTTTGCTTGTTCAAATTAGTATGTAACCCGATAAACAGTTGTGTATCATCAACCTGGGAAAGTGCCTCCCTACATAAACAAGCATACAAACTCCTATTGGCGCCATGGCCATAACACGAGATGCACAGTAAAGCAGTGTGCATGTAAAGGGAAGTAACTGTGTGCTATATTGGATCATGTTGTTTTTAAGTATTAGGATTTTTTTTTTTAAATTTAAAATGGAAATAAAAACAAAACATGCAGCAGACTTTATATGCTGCGGGCTGTGTCTGAGAACCAAGACTGTAATTTTTTTTGGCGTGGCATTTGTATGATGTGTGACTGAATATGTTCCAGAGCCGTGTCTGAACGTGCGGCTGGCGGACATCGTGGGTGGTCGCTACAAGAACGCAACCTACACCAAGTACGAGGGACATCGAGAGAAGGCCAAGGGCGAGTGGGTCCGAGAAGGTCAGTGTCACATGTCAATGCATCGGTTTCTTAAGATGCTGGGGGCACGGGTGGCCCAGTCATCTAAGGTGCCGCGGTTCTTAGTTGCGTCCCTTGGGCACGCCAGAAACCTATGATTGTGGGTTCGAATCTCGGTTCGCCCCGATTATGTGTCTAGGTTTGTCAGCACCAACCGTGCTCGTGGGTTTCACCGAAGTGGTAAACGTCTCAGACCTGCATCACTTCAGGCTTTCCTCCCACATCAAGCTGCCTAGCCGTGATATAACTGGAATACTGTTAAAAACGGCGTTCACTCACTCACTCACTCACAATTAAGATCCATGGTTAGAAAGGGGCATAGGTGGCTAAAGTCACCGTGCAGAGTTGCCTCCCTTTAGACCATGTGACTGAGTCAGTTGACTGAAATCATTGCTTTTCGCGGACCAGTCTTCTTAAACGACTCAATTCGCCATGCAGATGTGTCCAAAACCTATGATTGTGGGTTCGAATCCTGGTGGGCGGTGGGGAATCCTTGTGGTAAAAGCATTCGCTCGTCACGCGGAATACCTGGTTTTGATTCCCCACATGGTTACTGACACTCAAATGTCAAAGCAATAGTGAACAGCTGACAAAAAACATGATTTCATTAATAAACAGGTGAAAAAAGGGCAATTTCATTAAAACAGTATGACTGTAAAAATCAACAAAAAACTGCAAGACGCATGGTTGAGTGAGTTTGAATGGGTGGAGATGAACGTAGATGGGAGGGACTCAGAATTATTTTGTACTGTCCGCCGTAATCAATAACTGAGAACATAAAACTTTATGGAATTTAACAGGCAGGTGAAAATAGTGCAGGCTTAAAGACATTTTTCAAGCCCTGTGGTTGAAGCATTGCCTTGTTACATCAGACCCATCTTCCCGAGGCAAGAGAGTTAACTGTAGGGCGGGGATGGGTAACTCGGGTACCCGGGTCGGGTGGGTACTGAGTAGGACCCGGGTACCCACTGGACTACCCGGACCCGTGGTTAGTCACGTGGTATATTGTCTAATGGCTAAAATTATCTGGAACTCTATGGTTACACTACAAACCACTAATGTTCGCATTTCTTTCTGACAATGCACCCATTCCTTCTGATTTTTCATATGGTTGAATAAAGATATAACTTAAGTCAACTTCAGTGTATGCATGACCAGATTGTTTAATACATGTATCTAAATACGTGTTGCCAGGGCTATGCTAAAACAGTTTCCAATCAGACATTCTAAGGCATCTCCCAAGACCTAGACCGGGTAGGGTCGGGTAATAGGGGAGTGGGTAGTAAATTTCGACTCGTCCCAGCCCTAGTACCTGGGTAGTAAATTTGGACTCGTCCCAGCCCTAGTACCCGGGTAGTAAATTTGGACTCGTCCCAGCCCTAGTACCAGGGTAGTAAATTTGGACTCGTCCCAGCCCTAGTACCCGGGTAGTAAATTTGGACTCGTCCCAGCCCTAGTACCAGGGTAGTAAATTTGGACTCGTCCCAGCCCTAGTACCCGGGTAGTAAATTTGGACTCGTCCCAGCCCTAGTACCCGGGTAGTAAATTTGGACTCGTCCCAGCCCTAGTACCAGGGTAGTAAATTAGGACTCGTCCCAGCCCTAGTTAACTGTCTATAAAAGTCCAGTTTCCACCCTTGCCGAACTAGGCTGGTATAATGGAGTTACATTTTGGCTGGACTAACGAGTCTGTGCATTGTCCAATCAAAATCCCACAAAGAAATCGAAATCCGGTTCGTAAAGCGTCATGCAGTTTTCGGTCGATTGCAGGATTTGCAAAACATGTGCACCGCCAACTCGTTGTCAACAGATATTTTCTTAATCTTTTCATGCTTATAATCAAGGTGCTCACGTGATTTGATGCACTTCGCAATGTAAGACTCGTTTATCACAATATAGATCTTGATAATCGAACAGATCGTCTTGACTGGGCGCGCTATTTTTTGTTTAAAGCAAATGCATGTTATACGAGAGGTGGAATCTGATTGGTCCAAAGTAGAGGCATAGAAGGGACATAACTCATTATAGCCACTGGTGGCGCTAAAACCGATCCCAGGAATTCCAGACTTGTTCAGCAAGGGTGGAAACTGGTCTTTTGAAAGTCAGTTAACTCTCTTGCCTCGGGAAAATGCATCAGACCATGGGTCAAGTTCCCAAATGGCGTGAGGCTTGTTCTTGGAGTCTCCTACTCAATTATTGCCAAAAGTGGCATCAATTTCCCCTCACTCACTTGACCATTGCCTGACTGGAAGTACCGTATTCGACGTAATAAGCGCCCCGCTCTAATAAGCGCCCACGGCGAGATTTGCTAATATATTGGCTAGTCAACAATCCCAATTAGCACCCCTTCCGACCCCTATTCGCATATAATACGCACTCGTGTGTTATATGCACCCTTATTATTATTGGCAATTAAATTCTGGAAAAATATATCTGTCAAATATAAACATTTCAGGCTGTCAGCATAAGCCACGAAATTTACCCTTTCAACTCTGTTTTTTTCACCAAAATAATATTCTAATAAGTGCTCCCTATTTCTAGTTTTGAGAGCACCCTTGGCGCTTATTACGTCGAATACGGTATATGTGCTCTACACCTGGCCCACTTGCACAAAGCAATCTTAGCGCTGAGATGATCTTTACTCCCATACTTTAACATAGGTTTACTATAGTCTTAGCGCTAAGATGATCTTTACTCCCATACTTTAACATAGGCTTACTATAGTCTTAGCGCTAAGATGATCTTTACTCCCATACTTTAACATAGGTTTACGATAGTCTTAGCGCTAAGATGATCTTTACTCCCATACTTTAACATAGGCTTACGATAGTCTTAGCGCTAAGATCGTTTTGTGCAAGTGGGCCCTGGACTGAAAGATTTCATATGTTCTTGTATTTTCAGTTCGGTATTCTCAGTATCTGGAATGTTTCATCAGCTGTGCGACCACCACCTTGAACGCTGTTGTGATTGGCTGGATGGAGAAACATACATCTGTCAATCAAAACATTGAATTGATGAGGTGAGTTGTGATTGGTTGGATGGAGAAATATACGTCTGTCAATCAAAAGATTGAATTGATGAGGTGAGTTGTGATTGGCTGGATGGAGAAACATACATCTGTCAATCAAAACTTTTCAGTGATCAGGTGAGTTGTGATTGGCTTAAAAGTAAAGCACACAGCTGTCTGTCAAAGCAAGAGAGGAACAGACACTTCCTGTCACTGTAGTCTAGTGGATGGAGTGTCTGCCCAGAGAGCGAAAAGTCCATGGTTCAATCCTCAGTCGCATCATAAAACAATGTTTAAAGATGGTACTTGACATCAAGGGGCTAAACAAGGACTGGTCGGCTCAGAGTCAGTATTCTGTGTCTGAGTGGGGTATCCATGTGAAATCTGCGGCATGGTATCCCAGTGGGCTAGCACTATAAAACTGACATTAGTCAGGACTAGTTCAAGCAGCCACACACACATGGTTGTCAGGCTCAGTGGTTTGGTTGATTGTGTGTCATTGTAACCTGGTGACATGGATCGTTGCTCACTATATCGATAACTAGTTTATCTTGGCCACTTTCGATTATTTACAGACTAATGTCATAAATCTGGAATATTGCCGCATGCTGCTTTAAGCATTAAATAAACAAACTGTATGTCCGACACCTTTGTCTGAGAACTTTGCTGTCTGTACGCCCAACACCTCTGTCTAAGAACTCTGCTGTCTGTATGCCTGACACCTCTGTCTGAGATCTCTGCTGTCTGTATGCGCCCCTCCTTTGTCTGAGATCACTTCTGTCTGTGTGCCCCCCACTTTGTCTGAGATCTCTGCTGTCTGTACACCCAACACCTCTGTCTAAGATCGCTGCTGTCTGTATGCCAGACACCTATGTCTGAGGTCTCTGCTGTCTGTACGCCCGACACCTATGTCTGAGATCTCTGCTGTCTGTACACCCAACACCCATGTCTGAGATCTCTGCTGTCTGTACACCCAACACCTCTGTCTGAGATCTCTGCTGTCTGTACGCCCAACACCCATGTCTGAGATCTCTGCTGTCTGTACGCCCAACACCCATGTCTGAGATCACTGCTGTCTGTACACCAGACACCCATGTCTGAGATCTCTGCTGTCTGTACACCCGACACCCATGTCTGAGATCTCTGCTGTCTGTACACCAGACACCCATGTCTGAGATCTCTGCTGTCTGTACACCAGACACCCATGTCTGAGATCTCTGCTGTCTGTACACCCGACACCTCTGTCTAAGAACTCTGCTGTCTGTATGCCTGACACCTCTGTCTGAGATCTCTGCTGTCTGTATGCCCCCCTCCTTTGTCTGAGATCACTTCTGTCTGTGTGCCCCCCACTTTGTCTGAGATCTCTGCTGTCTGTACACCCAACACCTCTGTCTAAGATCGCTGCTGTCTGTATGCCAGACACCTATGTCTGAGGTCTCTGCTGTCTGTACGCCCGACACCTATGTCTGAGATCTCTGCTGTCTGTACACCCAACACCCATGTCTGAGATCTCTGCTGTCTGTACACCCAACACCTCTGTCTGAGATCTCTGCTGTCTGTACGCCCAACACCCATGTCTGAGATCTCTGCTGTCTGTACGCCCGACACCCATGTCTGAGATCACTGCTGTCTGTACACCAGACACCCATGTCTGAGATCTCTGCTGTCTGTACACCAGACACCCATGTCTGAGATCTCTGCTGTCTGTACGCCCGACACCCATGTCTCAGATCTCTGCTGTCTGCACACCTGATACCCATGTCTGAGATCTCTGCTGTCTATATGCTCGACCCCTCTGTCTGAGATCTCTGCTGTCTGCAGGCCCGACCCCCATGTCTGAGATCACTGCTGTCTGTACACCAGACACCCATGTCTGAGATCTCTGCTGTCTGTACACCCGACACCCATGTCTGAGATCTCTGCTGTCTGTATGCCCGACCCCCATGTCTGAGAGTTCTGCTGTCTGTTTCAGGGGTGCACAGCCAAACAAGAAGGAGATTCAGAGACAGTAAGTCAGTCGAGATCATCTTCATCCTCAGCATCTCATGAACAGCACAGACACCTTGATAACAACACAGACATCTTGATAACAACACAGACACCTTGATAACAACACAGACATCTTGATAACAACACAGACACCTTGATAACAACACAGACACCTTGATAACAACACAGACATCTTGATAACAACACAGACATCTTGATAACAACACAGACATCTTGATAACATTAGGCCAGACTTTTTTCTTATTTCTTTCCCAGAGTTTGATAGTGAAAAATTTGGCTGATAAAATAATAAAATATAAATGCATAGGACAGGATTTTTGTAATCATCTTAAAGATTGATTAAGATTTCTAGGTGATTTAAAAAAATTTATCCTTGGCCTCGTTTGGGTCCTTATAAATATTATGATACCTAAATCTGACTGCAGCACTTGATTTTTGTTGTCAAAGCATCCTTTACCATCAGCTGTACAAAAGATCTTGTCATTGTTATTATTTTTTTTCCTGATTTATTTATTTTTGAGATTGGATTCATAAATCAAGCAAAAAATATGTAAGGCCTAATAGCCAACTACAGATCAAATGACCTATACCAACAAACAGACAAACAAACAAACAGACAGACAAATTCATGCTTCACTATGTCTGTGTTCCTATACTTAGTATTAGAGCAAGCCAATGCTTTTGTTTTTTCAGATCTGACTTTACTATATCTCAGGGTGTCAACTCATTTGACTACAATGATCGCCTTAATCTCATCGGTGAGTAAATGTAAGCTCAGAGTTCACTGGTTGTACGGCATCACTCAACACTGAACCTTGGTGCCCGTGGGATTTGTACACATCACTCATCTCTAAGTCTGTACATTTGATCCGACCCGTGAAGATCAGGGTTAGGAAAGGTCTTCAGCAACCCATGCTTGCCGTAAGAGGTGACTATCAGGATCGGGAGGTCAGGCTGGCTGACTAGGTTGATGCATGTCATTGTATCCCAAATACGTGGATCGATGCTCATGATGTCAATCACTGGATTGTCTGGTCCAGACTCACTTATTTACAGACCGCCGTCATATAGCTGGAATATTGCTGAATGCAGCGTTAAACAACAAACAAACAAAGCAATCACTGGATTGTCTGGACCAGGCTTCATTATTTATAGACCGATGTTTTAAAGCTGGAAAACTTGTAGACTCCAAGTTAAACAACAAACAAACAAACAAACACCATCAAATCCCTTGTTATTTGTGAGTTTATGAGTAGGCAGAGTACTCTTAATATTTCTGATAAATGGTCCTTTTATTTTTGGAGATGAAATGTGTCTTTATTGTAAGGTACATCCTGAAACAATAATTGCATAAAAACACACATGATGAAGACAAAACTATTGAATGTATGCTTTAACCATGGAATGACTTTCATGAAAGTATTTCATATGAGTAATGACTTCAATGTGTTTCATCACGTTGTTTCATCACGTTGTTTCATCACGTTGTTACATCACGTTGTTTCATCACGTTGTTTCATCACGTTGTTACATCACGTTGTTTCATCACGTTGTTACATCACGTTGTTTCATCACGTTATTTCATCACGTTGTTTCATCACGTTGTTTCATCATGTTGTTTTATCACGTTGTTACATCACATTGTTTTATCACGTTGTTTCTTCACGTTGTTTCATCACGTTGTTTCGTAACGTTGTTTTATCATGTTGTTTCATCACGTTATTTCATCACGTTGTTTCATCACGTTGTTTCATCATGTTGTTTTATCACGTTGTTACATCACGTTTTATCACGTTGTTACATCACGTTGTTTCATCACGTTATTTCATCACGTTGTTTCATCACGTTGTTTCATCATGTTGTTTTATCACGTTGTTACATCACATTGTTTTATCACGTTGTTTCTTCACGTTGTTTCATCACGTTGTTTCGTCACGTTGTTTTATCATGTTGTTTCATCACGTTATTTCATCACGTTGTTTCATCACGTTGTTTCATCATGTTGTTTTATCACGTTGTTACATCACGTTGTTTTATCACGTTGTTACATCACGTTGTTTCATCACGTTATTTCATCACGTTGTTTCTTCACGTTTCCTCACGTTGTTTCATCACGTTGTTTCATCACGTTGTTTCATCACGTTGTTACATCATGTTGTTTCATCACGTTGTTTCATCACGTTGTTTCATCACGTTGTTACATCATGTTGTTACATCACGTTGTTTCATCACGTTGTTTCTTCACTATGTGTTCCAGCTACGGCGGGTGTCAACAACCACGTGTGTCTGTGGAACCCCTACGTCGTGTCCAAGCCAAGTGGCGTAAGTGCTCAAGTGTTTAACCAAATAGTTAATATAGCAGGAGTTTTGTTGAAAATTATTTAAACTCCATTAGATGTCCCTATAAACTCTATTCAAATTGTTTATTCATTGCAAACTGAAAGGCCACAGGCCCATAGTTCAACGTATTTACAAGGTAGGGGTGTTTCTTCTAACTAACAAAGCATGATGCATGTACAATGCAGTATTTTGTAATAAAGTAATATTTGAAGTTGACATGAGTATGCAAAACAAATTAATATTTGGGTAAGTTATAAACTTCTTTGGAATATACTTGTTTCTTAATTGACGATAGAGTTTACACACAAGCATAAAATGATACTCATTTTCTACAACGTTAAGGTTACAAGATGTACAGATATTGTTAGACTTTTCAAATATACCTTTATAGATCTTTAAATCATGATATCCTGCTCTGAACTGCGCTAGCGATATTAAGTATAAACTCTACTAATGGCAACCTCTCGGTATGAGCTCAGCTGACCACTCACTTGATCAAACCCAACTCACTGACTCCTCCAGGGGTGGTCGGGTAGCCCAATGGTTAAAGCGTTGCTCATCTGGCAAAAGCTCTGATTCGATTCCCGCATTGGAACAATTTGTGAAGCCCATTTCTGGTGTCCACTGCCGTGATATTGCTGGAATATTGCTGAAAGCGGCGTAAAACCATACTCACTCACTCACTCACTGCCTCCTCCAGGGTTGGTCGGGTAGTCTAGTGGTTTAAGTGTTCACTCCTCATGCCGAAGACCCGGGTTCAATTCCCACATTGGTACAATATGAAGCCCTTTTCTGGTACCCCCAGGGCAGTAATGTAGCCTAGCTGTTAAAGTGTTTGCTCGTCACACCGAAGACCTGGGTTTCGATTCCCGACATGGGTACAATGTGTGAAGCCCATTTCTGGTGTCCCCCGCCGTGATATTGCTGGAATATTGCTAAAAGCGGCGTAAAACCATACTCACTCTGGTGTCCCCTGCCGTGATATTGCTGGAATATTGCTAAAAGCAGCGTAAAACCATACTCACTCTGGTGTCCCCTGCCGTGATATTGCTGGAATATTGCTAAAAGCGGCGTAAAACCATACTCACTCACTCACTCACTCACTCACTCACTCACTCACTCACCCACCCACCCACCCACCCACCCACCCACCCACCCACTCACTCACTCACTCACTCACTCAGTCACTCACCCACCCACCCACCCACCCACTCACTCACTCACTCACTCACTCACCCACCCACCCACCCACCCACCCACCCACCCACTCACCCACCCACCCACCCACCCACCCACGCACCCACCCACCCACCCACCCTCCCACCCACCCACCCACCCACCCACACACTCACTCACTCACTCACTCACCCACCCACCCACCCACCCACCCACCCACCCACCCACCCACCCACCCACCCACCCACCCACTCACTCACTCACTCACCCACCCACCCACCCACTCACCCACCCACTCACTCACTCACTCACCCACTCACTCACTCACTCACTCACTCACCCACCCACCCACTCACTCACTCACTCACTCACTCACCCACCCACTCACACACCCACCCACCCACTCACTCACCCACTCACTCACTCACTCACTCACTGACTGCGTCCTCCCCTGTGCAGGTGCTCCGGGGTCACATGGCGAGCGTGGTGCAGGTGCAGTTCATCACCAGCAGGGGCCAGCTCATCAGCTTCTCCAAGGACAAGGTGCTGCGAGTGTGGGACGTGCAGCTGCAGGTGTGCATCCAGCGCCTGGCCGGCATGTTCCCCAAGGGGCCTGAAGGTGAGAGACAGACGAACAGAACAAGCCAGAACGAAATACCGTATTCGACGTAATAAGCGCCCCACTCTAATAAGCGCCCACGGCGATATTTGCTAATATATTGGCTAGTGAACAATCCCAATCAGCACCCCTTCCGATTGATCAATGTACACAAGACTTATTTAATTATTAAATATGGGCAATTAAATTCTGGAAAAATATGTCTGTCACATATTAACATTTCAGGCTGTCAGCATAAACAACGAAATTTATCTTTCAACTCTGTTTTTTTTCACCAAAATAATATTCTAATAAGAGCCCCATATTTCTAATTTTGAGAGCGCCCTGGGCGCTTATTACGTCAAATACGGTACTGTAAATCTGGACAGTAATGTGCTTTAAATTATAGTCTGGAAGGTAATTTAAGGTACCGACGTTTACTACAATATCTGAAAATCTATCGGACCTACTCCAGTCAAAGTTGGTATGAGATTATTAAACAGTCATACATTACTGGATATTACATTTAAAGACAATCGGTGCATGAATAAAAAATCTGTCTATTTAGCTATCACTATATTTCATCAACAACCAGACCTGTTCGTCACGTGTGGAACGAGCATTCATTGTAACAGCCATCTGTATAATGCTACCCCTGTGTCACAGGGCCATATGACACAGTTGAACCAATCAACTCAACTCGAAAGGGTGCATGGGAATCACGCACGCACGAATAGACATATTTTTTATTCATCCACCGATTGTCTTTAAATGTAATATCCAGTTATGTATGACTGTTTAATAATCTCATACCAACTTTGACTGAATGCTGAGTAAGTGCATACTCACCGACAAAAGAAACGCAACTACTGTACTTGTTGGTTAATATATGAAGACTTCTCATGTTCAAGATACATAAGATTGGTTTGATGCACAAACGAACATACTGGTATGTTTTGTGAACTGACGCTCTTGAAGTATCACGTGTGACATCATAGATCCTTGACTCGAGATGCACCATTTGTCTCGTACAGGATAAGCGTGCGGGGGTTTGGAAATCACGTGCAGCATATCGTGATAAGAATAAAGACACCGTGGCAACACCTGAATGATTGTTAGTTTTGTCATTAAGTGGTATACATTGGAAACATCTCTTCTTAATGTAGATAAGACCGATGAAGATTCCAGGGTAGAATAGGACTTCAGCAACCCATGCTTGCCGTAAAAGGCGACTATGCTTGTCGTAAGAGGCGACTAACGGGATCGGGTGGTCAGACTCGCTGACTTGATGATGCATGTCATTGATCCCAATTGCGTGGATCGATGCTCATAATATCAATCACTGGATTGTCTGGGCCAGACTCGATTATTTACAGACTGCCATCATATAGCTGGAATATTGCTGAGTGCGGCATTAAACATCAAACCAAACCTATGGAATCAAAGAAAATTTTTTAGATTTCTGAGAATCATTTAGATTCTACCCTTTCATGGTTCTGCTTCCAGTGCAGAGTACTCTGTTCTTTGACGAGGGCAAGGACCGCAATGGGAACGACCGAAGCCGCCTGTTCATCACTTTCAACTACCAGCTGACTGCCATGGACATGAAAGTCGAGATCCGAGACCGCATCATGTCCCACGAGAAGCCCATCGTAGCTGCCCTGTACAATAACACGTACAACCAGGTGAGTGTGTCCCCTAGCATGAGAGACCACGTCCCACGAGAAGCCCATCGTAACTGCCCTGTACAATAACACGTACAACCAGGTGAGTGTGTTCTCCTAGCATGAGAGACCACATGTCCCACGAGAAGCCCATCGTAACTGCCCTGTACAATAACACGTACAACCAGGTGAGTGTGTTCTCCTAGCATGAGAGACCACATGTCCCACGAGAAGCCCATCGTAACTGCCCTGTACAATAACACGTACAACCAGGTGAGTGTGTTCTCCTAGCATGAGAGACTGCATCATGTCCCACGAGAAGCCCATCGTAGCTGCCCTGTACAATAACACGTACAACCAGGTGAGTGTGTCCTCCTAGCATGAGAGACCACATGTCCCACGAGAAGCCCATCGTAACTGCCCTGTACAATAACACGTACAACCAGGTGAGTGTGTTCCCCTAGCAACAGAGACCACATGTCCCACGAGAAGCCCATCGTAGCTGCCCTGTACAATAACATGTACAACCAGGTGAGTGTGTTCTCCTAGCATGAGAGACCGCATCATGTCCCACGAGAAGCCCATCGTAACTGCCCTGTACAATAACACGTACAACCAGGTGAGTGTGTTCTCCTAGCATGAGAGACCGCATCATGTCCCACGAGAAGCCCATCGTAACTGCCCTGTACAATAACACGTACAACCAGGTGAGTGTGTTCTCCTAGCATGAGAGAGCGCATCATGTCCCACGAGAAGCCCATCGTAACTGCCCTGTACAATAACACGTACAACCAGGTGAGTGTGTTCTCCTGGCATGAGAGACCGCATCATGTCCCACGAGAAGCCCATCGTAGCTACCCTGTACAATAACACGTACAACCAGGTGAGTGTGTTCTCCGAGCATGAGAGACCACACGTCCCACGAGAAGCCCATCGTAGCTGCCCTGTACAATAACACGTACAACCAGGTGAGTGTGTTCTCCTAGCATGAAAGACCACACGTCCCACGAGAAGCCCATCGTAACTGCCCTGTACAATAACACGTACAACCAGGTGAGTGTGTTCTCCTAGCATGAGAGACTGCATCATGTCCCACGAGAAGCCCATCGTAACTGCCCTGTACAATAACACGTACAACCAGGTGAGTGTGTTCTCCTGGCATGAGAGACCACATGTCCCACGAGAAGCCTATCGTAGCTGCCCTGTACAATAACACGTACAACCAGGTGAGTGTGTTCTCCTGGCATGAGAGACCACATGTCCCACGAGAAGCCCATCGTAGCTGCCCTGTACAATAACACGTACAACCAGGTGAGTGTGTTCTCCTAGCATGAGAGACCGCATCATGTCCCACGAGAAGCCTATCGTAGCTGCCCTGTACAATAACACGTACAACCAGGTGAGTGTGTTCTCCTAGCATGAGAGACCGCATCATGTCCCACGAGAAGCCCATCGTAGCTCCCCTGTACAATAACACGTACAACCAAGTGAGTGTGTTCTCCTAGCATGAGAGACCACATGTCCCACGAGAAGCCCATCGTAGCTGTCCTGTACAATAACACGTACAACCAGGTGAGTGTGTTCTCCGAGCATGAGAGACCACATGTCCCACGAGAAGCCCATCGTAGAGCTGTCCTGTACAATAACACGTACAACCAGGTGAGTGTGTTCTCCTAGCATGAGAGACCACATGTCCCACGAGAAGCCCATCGTAGCTGCCCTGTACAATAACACGTACAACCAGGTGAGTGTGTTCTCCTAGCATGAGAGACCACATCATGTCCCACGAGAAGCCCATCGTAACTGCCCTGTACAATAACACGTACAGGCAGGTGAGTGTGTTCTCCTAGCATGAGAGACCACATGTCCCACGAGAAGCCCATCGTAACTGCCCTGTACAATAACACGTACAACCAGGTGAGTGTTCCCCTAGCATGAGAGACCACATGTCCCACAAGAAGCCCATCGTAGCTGCCCTGTACAATAACACGTACAACCAGGTGAGTGTGTTCTCCTAGCATGAGAGACCACATCATGTCCCACGAGAAGCCCATTGTAACTGCCCTGTACAATAACACGTACAACCAGGTGAGTGTGTTCTCCTAGCATGAGAGACCACATGTCCCACGAGAAGCCCATCGTAGCTACCCTGTACAATAACACGTACAACCAGGTGAGTGTGTTCTCCGAGCATGAGAGACCACATGTCCCACGAGAAGCCCATCGTAGCTGCTCTGTACAATAACACGTACAACCAGGTGAGTGTGTTCTCCTAGCATGAGAGACCGCATGTCACACGAGAAGCCCATCGTAACTGCCCTGTACAATAACACGTACAACCAGGTGAGTGTGTTCTCCTAGCATGAGAGACCACATGTCCCACAAGAAGTCCATCGTAGCTGCCCTGTACAATAACACGTACAACCAGGTGAGTGTGTTCTCTTAGCATGAGAGACCACATGTCCCACGAGAAGTCCATCGTAGCTGCCCTGTACAATAACACGTACAACCAGGTGAGTGTGTTCTCCTAGCAAGAGAGACCACATGTCACATGAGAAGCCCATCGTAACTGCCCTGTACAATAACACGTACAACCAGGTGAGTGTGTTCTCCGAGCATGAGAGACCACATGTCCCACGAGAAGCCCATGGTAGCTGCCCTGTACAATAACACGTACAACCAGGTGAGTGTGTTCTCCTAGCATGAAAGACCACATGTCACATGAGAATCCCATCGTAGCTGCCCTGTACAATAACACGTACAACCAGGTGAGTGTGTTCTCCTAGCATGAGAGACCACATGTCCCACGAGAAGCCCATGGTAGCTGCCCTGTACAATAACACGTACAACCAGGTGAGTGTGTTCTCCTAGCATGAAAGACCACATGTCACATGAGAATCCCATCGTAGCTGCCCTGTACAATAACACGTACAACCAGGTGAGTGTGTTCTCCGAGCATGAGAGACCACATGTCCCACGAGAAGCCCATCGTAGCTGCCCTGTACAATAACACGTACAACCAGGTGAGTGTGTTCTCCTGGCATGAGAGACCACGTCCCACGAGAAGCCCATCGTAGCTGCCCTGTACAATAACACGTACAACCAGGTGAGTGTGTTCTCCGAGCATGAGAGACCGCATCATGTCACACGAGAAGCCCATCGTATCTGCCCTGTACAATAACACGTACAACCAGGTGAGTGTGTTCTCCTGGCATGAGAGACCACATGTCCCACGAGAAGCCCATCGTAACTGCCCTGTACAATAACACGTACAACCAGGTGAGTGTGTTCTCCTAGCATGAGAGACCGCATCATGTCCCACGAGAAGCCCATCGTAGCTGCCCTGTACAATAACACGTACAACCAGGTGAGTGTGTTCTCCTAGCATGAGAGACCACATGTCACACGAGAAGCCCATCGTAACTGCCCTGTACAATAACACGTACAACCAGGTGAGTGTGTTCTCCTAGCATGAGAGACCACATGTCCCACGAGAAGCCCATCGTAACTGCCCTGTACAATAACACGTACAACCAGGTGAGTGTGTTCTCCTGGCATAAGAGACCACATGTCACACGAGAAGCCCATCGTAGCTGCCCTGTACAATAACATGTACAACCAGGTGAGTGTGTTCTCCTAGCATGAGAGACCACATGTCCCACGAGAAGCCCATCGTAACTGCCCTGTACAATAACACGTACAACCAGGTGAGTGTGTTCTCCTGGCATAAGAGACCACATGTCCCACGAGAAGCCCATCGTAGCTGCCCTGTACAATAACACGTACAACCAGGTGAGTGTGTTCTCCTAGCATGAGAGACCACATGTCCCACGAGAAGCCCATCGTAGCTGCTCTGTACAATAACATGTACAACCAGGTGAGTGTGTTCTCCTAGCATGAGAGACCACATCATGTCCCACGAGAAGCCCATCGTAGCTGCCCTGTACAATAACACGTACAACCAGGTGAGTGTGTTCTCCTAGCATGAGAGACCGCATCATGTCCCACGAGAAGCACATCGTAGCTGCCCTGTACAATAACACGTACAACCAGGTGAGTGTGTTCTCCTAGCAAGAGAGACCACATGTCACAGGAGAATCCCATCGTAGCTGCCCTGTACAATAACACGTACAACCAAGTGAGTGTGTTCTCCGAGCATGAGAGACCACATGTCCCACGAGAAGCCCATTGTAGCTGCCCTGTACAATAACACGTACAACCAGGTGAGTGTGTTCTCCGAGCATGAGAGACCACATGTCCCACGAGAAGCCCATCGTAACTGCCCTGTACAATAACACGTACAACCAGGTGAGTGTGTTCTCCTAGCATGAGAGACCACATGTCCCACGAGAAGCCCATCGTAGCTGCCCTGTACAATAACACGTACAACCAGGTGAGTGTGTTCTCCTAGCATGAGAGACCACATGTCCCACGAGAAGCCCATCGTAGCTGCCCTGTACAATAACACGTACACGTGAGTGTGTTCTCCTAGCATGAGAGACCACATGTCCCACGAGAAGCCCATCGTAACTGCCCTGTACAATAACACGTACAACCAGGTGAGTGTGTTCTCCTAGCATGAGAGACCACATCATGTCCCACGAGAAGCCCATCGTAACTGCCCTGTACAATAACACGTACAACCAGGTGAGTGTGTTCTCCTAGCATGAGAGACCACATGTCACATGAGAAGCCCATCGTAGCTGCCCTGTACAATAACACGTACAACCAGGTGAGTGTGTTCTCCGAGCATGAGAGACCACATGTCCCACGAGAAGCCCATCGTAACTGCCCTGTACAATAACACGTACAACCAGGTGAGTGTGTTCTCCGAGCATGAGAGACCACATGTCCCACGAGAAGCCCATCGTAACTGCCCTGTACAATAACACGTACAACCAGGTGAGTGTGTTCTCCTAGCATGAGAGACTGCATCATGTCCCACGAGAAGCCCATCGTAACTGCCCTGTACAATAACACGTACAACCAGGTGAGTGTGTTCTCCTAGCATGAGAGACCACATGTCCCACGAGAAGCCCATCGTAACTGCCCTGTACAATAACACGTACAACCAGGTGAGTGTGTTCTCCTAGCATGAGAGACCGCATGTCCCACGAGAAGCCCATCGTAACTGCCCTGTACAATAACACGTACAACCAGGTGAGTGTGTTCTCCTAGCATGAGAGACCACATCATGTCCCACGAGAAGCCCATCGTAGCTACCCTGTACAATAACACATACAACCAGGTGAGTGTGTCCCCTAGCATGAGAGACCGCATCATGTCACACGAGAAGCCCATCGTAGCTACCCTGTACAATAACACATACAACCAGGTGAGTGTGTCCCCTAGCATGAGAGACCGCATCATGTCCCACGAGAAGCCCATCGTAACTGCCCTGTACAATAACACGTACAACCAGGTGAGTGTGTTCTCCTGGCATGAGAGACCACATGTCCCACGAGAAGCCCATCGTAGCTGCCCTGTACAATAACACGTACAACCAGGTGAGTGTGTTCTCCTAGCATGAGAGACCACATGTCCCACGAGAAGCCCATCGTAACTGCCCTGTACAATAACACGTACAACCAGGTGAGTGTGTTCTCCTAGCATGAGAGACCACGTCCCACGAGAAGTCCATCGTAGCTGCCCTGTACAATAACATGTACAACCAGGTGAGTGTGTTCTCCTAGCATGAGAGACCACATGTCCCACGAGAAGCCCATCGTAGCTGCCCTGTACAATAACACGTACAACCAGGTGAGTGTGTTCTCCTAGCATGAGAGACCACATGTCACAGGAGAATCCCATCGTAGCTGCCCTGTACAATAACACGTACAACCAGGTGAGTGTGTTCTCCTAGCATGAGAGACCGCATCATGTCCCACGAGAAGCCCATCGTAACTGCCCTGTACAATAACACGTACAACCAGGTGAGTGTGTTCTCCTGGCATGAGAGACCACATGTCCCACGAGAAGCCCATCGTAACTGCCCTGTACAATAACACGTACAACCAGGTGAGTGTGTTCTCCTAGCATGAGAGACCACGTCCCACGAGAAGTCCATCGTAGCTGCCCTGTACAATAACATGTACAACCAGGTGAGTGTGTTCTCCTAGCATGAGAGACCACATGTCCCACGAGAAGCCCATCGTAGCTGCCCTGTACAATAACACGTACAACCAGGTGAGTGTGTTCTCCTAGCATGAGAGACCACATGTCACACGAGAAGCCCATCGTAACTGCCCTGTACAATAACACGTACAACCAGGTGAGTGTGTTCTCCTAGCATGAGAGACCACATGTCCCACGAGAAGCCCATCGTAACTGCCCTGTACAATAACACGTACAACCAGGTGAGTGTGTTCTCCTGGCATAAGAGACCACATGTCCCACGAGAAGCCCATCGTAGCTGCCCTGTACAATAACACGTACAACCAGGTGAGTGTGTTCTCCTAGCATGAGAGACCACATGTCCCACGAGAAGCCCATCGTAGCTGCTCTGTACAATAACATGTACAACCAGGTGAGTGTGTTCTCCGAGCATGAGAGACCACATCATGTCCCACGAGAAGCCCATCGTAGCTGCCCTGTACAATAACACGTACAACCAGGTGAGTGTGTTCTCCTAGCATGAGAGACCACATCATGTCCCACGAGAATCCCATCGTAGCTGCTCTGTACAATAACATGTACAACCAGGTGAGTGTGTTCTCCTAGCATGAGAGACCACATCATGTCCCACGAGAATCCCATCGTAGCTACCCTGTACAATAACATGTACAACCAGGTGAGTGTGTTCTCCTAGCATGAGAGACCACATCATGTCCCACGAGAATCCCATCGTAGCTGCCCTGTACAATAACACGTACAACCAGGTGAGTGTGTTCTCCTAGCAAGAGAGACCACATGTCCCACGAGAAGCCCATCGTAGCTGCCCTGTACAATAACACGTACAACCAGGTGAGTGTGTTCTCCTGGCATGAGAGACCACATGTCCCACGAGAAGCCCATCGTAGCTGCCCTGTACAATAACACGTACAACCAGGTGAGTGTGTTCTCCTAGCATGAGAGACCACATGTCACACGAGAAGCCCATCGTAACTGCCCTGTACAATAACACGTACAACCAAGTGAGTGTGTTCTCCGAGCATGAGAGACCACATGTCCCACGAGAAGCCCATTGTAGCTGCCCTGTACAATAACACGTACAACCAGGTGAGTGTGTTCTCCGAGCATGAGAGACCACATGTCCCACGAGAAGCCCATCGTAACTGCCCTGTACAATAACACGTACAACCAGGTGAGTGTGTTCTCCTAGCATGAGAGACCACATGTCCCACGAGAAGCCCATCGTAGCTGCCCTGTACAATAACACGTACACGTGAGTGTGTTCTCCTAGCATGAGAGACCACATGTCCCACGAGAAGCCCATCGTAACTGCCCTGTACAATAACACGTACAACCAGGTGAGTGTGTTCTCCTAGCATGAGAGACCACATCATGTCCCACGAGAAGCCCATCGTAACTGCCCTGTACAATAACACGTACAACCAGGTGAGTGTGTTCTCCTAGCATGAGAGACCACATGTCACATGAGAAGCCCATCGTAGCTGCCCTGTACAATAACACGTACAACCAGGTGAGTGTGTTCTCCGAGCATGAGAGACCACATGTCCCACGAGAAGCCCATCGTAACTGCCCTGTACAATAACACGTACAACCAGGTGAGTGTGTTCTCCGAGCATGAGAGACCACATGTCCCACGAGAAGCCCATCGTAACTGCCCTGTACAATAACACGTACAACCAGGTGAGTGTGTTCTCCTAGCATGAGAGACTGCATCATGTCCCACGAGAAGCCCATCGTAACTGCCCTGTACAATAACACGTACAACCAGGTGAGTGTGTTCTCCTAGCATGAGAGACCACATGTCCCACGAGAAGCCCATCGTAACTGCCCTGTACAATAACACGTACAACCAGGTGAGTGTGTTCTCCTAGCATGAGAGACCGCATGTCCCACGAGAAGCCCATCGTAACTGCCCTGTACAATAACACGTACAACCAGGTGAGTGTGTTCTCCTAGCATGAGAGACCACATCATGTCCCACGAGAAGCCCATCGTAGCTACCCTGTACAATAACACATACAACCAGGTGAGTGTGTCCCCTAGCATGAGAGACCGCATCATGTCACACGAGAAGCCCATCGTAGCTACCCTGTACAATAACACGTACAACCAGGTGAGTGTGTTCTCCTAGCATGAAAGACAACATGTCACATGAGAAGCCCATCGTAGCTGCCCTGTACAATAACACGGACAACCAGGTGAGTGTGTTCTCCTAGCAAGAGGAACTGTGAAGATCTGGGGTAGAAAAGGTTTTCAGCAACCCATGCCTGAAGTAAAAGCCGACTCTGCTTGTCATAAGAGGCGACTAACGGGATTAGGTGGTGAGGCTCACTGACTTGGTTGATATGTGTCATCGTATCCCAATAGCGTCCGTCCAGAGAGCGAAAAGGTCCGGGGTTCGATCCCCGGCCATGCCATACCAAAAGACGTTAAAAGGTGGTACTTGCTGTTACCCTGTCTGGTGCACAGCATTAAGGGGCTAAAACAAGGACTAGTCGGCTCGGAGTCAGTATACTGTGTCTGAGTGGGGTATTCATGTTAAACTGCGGCATGGTATCCTAGTAGGTTCCCAGCTAGCACACCTACGTCGGGCCGACGTTGGCTTTGCATCGGCAACCGCCGGCAATATCGGCATCGGCAAACTGCAGCGGTCCGCTGTCAGGCCAATGCTGGTGATTGGCACTGACATTGAACCTGATATATGATTTGATCTTGTTATGATAACATAAAAGAAAAAAACCACATTTGTCGATTACAATGTGACAAATAATAGATCAAGTATATTTACGAATAATACAATAATTCTATTCGAACTCAAAATATTAACTTTATTTTTAATTTTAAAATTAAATAGATCAAGCACATTCACTGACCATTTTGGCTGCACATATACAACAGACAGAGAAGATACAGACGGGATTCGTCACATCTTACAATTCATTCAGCAAATTACATGATATTGGCAAAAGTTTGGAATATCGCGAGCGGTTATGTTACGTTGGTCCAACGTTTTCACAACATGTTTCCAAGGGAAGCTACTCTTGTTATAGAGGGCGCTGTTACTCACGCGCGTCTTTTCAAGCAGACGACGAAAGGATGATGCGCGGAGGGCTGAGGGAAAATCTATTTTGCGGTAAGTGTTTACTTCATTACTGTATTTACGAGGTGTTTATTTCATTTTCAAACCTTACAATTGAAACGAGAAACAGTGTACATTCATAAGTGTCAACATGAGTAGAGAAATCTAGGCCTATGTGTTTTGGAGGTTCGAGAAACACACTCCTGTCAATTCTACGTCAGTGTCAAAATCCGTAGAATATGTCGTGACACTGCATCCTCACTAAATTCTCTATTTATATTTTTTAAACACCATATACATATTTCTAGCAAAACGCGGGGACAAGGGCAAATACAAAACATGACAAGATATGTTTTATTTCCATGTAGATTCAGCGATGTTCAACCAACGAGTCGCAATCTCGGGGCGAGAGAGTATTACAGCGGCAAGCAAATAAATAGCCAAACTTTTACTTACATTAGTATTTTTGAATGAACATTGCTTTATTTGTCATTGTCACAGGCGTATTTGTTAAGTGTGGGGATGGATGAGGTTAGGAAATTAATTACAAACTCGAATTTACAAGTCAATTTTGTGATTGCTGTCAGCGCAAAAAGCAGTGAACATGAAATTCATAACGAGGCTTGCGTGTGCATGTCATGCGATCCAGCTAATGTTTCCTACTGATCGATGAACGGAGCTTCACTGCCGAGTTTGGTTTTCGATCACCAAAAGGTTGAAATAAAAAAAATAAAAATATGTTTTTTAATGTCATAGTTACTTGCGAATTTTGAACTTTTTCTGGATAATGGGCGAAATGAAAGGACAGCTCTTTTAGTAAACGGATCACTGCGCATTACAGGTGTGGGCAATTTTATCAAGATCTGCTGGATACCTTACATAGACATATGCCTATAATCGATCAGAAATCTTATACCGATGTATGGTATCTGTATCGATCGATTGAGGTTTTGAGATATGGCTATTTCAGAATGGATTTTTAGGGTGTGTGTGTGTGTGTGTGTTGTTGTTTTTTTGTTTTGTTTTGTTTTGTTGGGTTTTTTTTTTTGGGGGGGGGGGGGGGGGGGGGTATGGTAGTCTTATCTAGTTAAGTAATTTATGATGTACATTTTTGATGAAATACTGAATTAATTTTTTTTAAATGTACTATTTCAAAGGTATGATGCTAAATATATAATCCAAGACAATTTAGAATGTCATTTATTTAATCAAAATTCAAATTTATGGTAAAACTTTGATGAAGATACTTCAGTACAGATTTTTCAGGACATTATCCATTGTAGAAAAACACCCACAGCCTTGTTTCAAATTTGATTTATTCTGACTAAAAAAAATAAATTAAATTAAATTAAAAATTAAAATTACTTGTCCCCAATACTTTCCTGCTATTTTTTGCATACAAGTGTTTGTAATATGTATATACCTTATCTGATCTGTTAATGATAAACGTTTATTTGCAGTTTTGGTTTACCATGATGTAATCTACATATATTTTGGCATCATATAATAAATGAAATCTGTTTTGTGGTAACCAGACTTCACAGGATCTGTTCAATATTATGTCAATATGGGGATTTTCTCACTGCTTTTCAATGGATGTGGCTATGGCTATTAACGTGAAACTACTTTCCCTGGGAAATTATTTCTGCTACATGGCTCCAGATAAGGCCTGTATGTACAAGTGCAAATATATGAGATAAGATGTATGACTTAAGGAAAGGACCTGATATCTGTGTATGGCCAAAGCTTTATTTAAATGTTACTTTTATGTTTTGAGCAATATTCCCCTCAACCTCTTGACATCATCACCATAATAGCTAAGTGCTCACTGCTGCTACACAAACTTGACATATAATATTCTTATATTTCTATTTAAGAAAATCAGATGTTTAGCCATTTCCTATTGGTAAACATGGATGAGCTGAATGAACTCTTAGCAGCTTTTCCAAAATCGAGCAACTGAGAGAGAACTGGTGAGTGAATTAAATTTCTTTAGATGTATCAACTATCAAGTATGGGAAATTTACTCCAATTTTGATTCATATAGAAGATCCGGGGTAGAAGATATCTTCAGCAACCCATGTTTGCCGTAAAAGGCAACAATGCTTGTCGTATGAGGCGACTAATGGGATCTGGAGGTGAGGCTCTCTGACTTGGTTGATGCATGTCATCGATCCCAATTGCATGGATTGATGCTCATGATGTTAATCACTTGATTGTCTTGTCCAGACTCGATCATTTACAGACCGCCGTCATATAGCTGGAATATTGCTGAGTGAGGCGTTAAACAACAAACCAAACCAACTGATACATGTTTCTGCTTGAAATATTTATAAGCATATATTTAATATCATGTTTGCCCTATTAAGGGCCCCTGACACTTACTATGGTAATCTTCCTAATGAAATTTCATGCTGACTTACTTTTGATGGACATACAAGAGAGATTGCACACCTAAAACTGTTCTCCAGCAAGATTGGAGGAGGGGTGTTATGTGGTTATTGGGGATTTTTATTGGGCTAAATTAATAGGGTGATATGTCAGTTATAAAATCTTTTTTAATTGACATAAGAAACAGATTAGGGACCTACCATACAATATTGGGAGTTGTTATGTTATTTGCGTATATAATTACACACAATTCAATTTACTTATTTACACATATTATTAACTCATCAATTTACTTACTGGGATTCCGATAATTCTAGGGTGGGGCCTTCTGCTTTTAGCCCCTAAATTTGGAAAAAGGCCCACATTTTCAAATACAATGGGGCATTTTAACATTGTGCTGTATGGGCAAGTGCGGGTGTACCTAGGGAATATATGAAATTGTCACATAAAGGGCCCATGGCAGAAAATTCCTTGAGTGAACCCTGTATTTATTAACAGGTGTCAAGACTTAAAATAAAATATACACACATATGTAAGGTGGTGCATGTGAACAGGGTATTACTTATTCTATTATTCCATTATGTTAACACACTTGTGAAGTCCATTTCTTGTAATAGTGAGAGTGCATGCAATGACTTATAATATGCACACTGACATTTTTTGCTATCATTTGTAAACAGAAGCTGAGGAGGAAGCCTGCAGCTGGGCTCTTACAAGCCACTGACAAGTACATGGTGACCTGTGTAAAAGAATGGCTTCGAGTTCCAGGAGCAAGGCTTAGAAATGGCATAAGGAAAACGCGTACTGAAAAACAGAGATGTAGATAGAGAATCTGCAAACAAAAGTGCTGAATTGCAGCGGAACAAAGAAATCCAAAATGTTGGTGTTGACAACATATTTTTCACAGGGTTATGACCCTTGTTTTTGAACTTGGTACATATTCTGCCAGATTCTCTTGGACACTACTGAAGTTAATAAATGAAACTTTCCGTGCTTACCTAAGGTACAAACTCCAGAAGATGGTTATAAGAACTTATTTTGTATGGAGTTATGGCCTTTGCTTCATGCTATTTTAACTTGATGAAATAGGGGGGGGGGGGGGCTTTGTCTTGCAAACGAATTTGAAGCCACATAAATGAAATTTTGCAGGCCAATATGAGGGGTATATGTTTAGACTGTTTTAAAACAGGTTTTGAGAATATATGTTTCACATCCGCCTTGTTGCAGGTAGTAACACTGTTTTCTTGTAAATAATAATTAATTAGTAATAAAGTTTATTATTCTATTTTGCTGTTTGTGTTTTTTATAAGTATTAACTACACATGTATTAGGGTACATAAAAAATAGTACTGTAACTAGTGTAAGCATTTCGATTGTATTGTACAGCTAGAAGTATTTATATTACTTACATTTGGTTTTCAAAGTATTAACTATGATAAAAAATTATTATCTTTTTAAAAATTCAGTATTTTTTAGTTTTACCTTTTATCTTTGTTACTTTAACATCATGGCTAGCTGCAGCTTTTAGAAATGTTTAGTTTTATGTACCCTAACACTACACTTGGAAAAGTTCTATTGTGGCATCATTTACATGAAATATTAAGATGAGATGTTGTCAGTTATGACTTCTGATGACATCAGCCTATTTAAGACAATGGCAGATGCTGCGCTGATAATTATTGTCGACGTTGGGCCGATGTCCATCCGATGCTGATTCCATAACAGTTGCCGGAGGCTGGCCAGATAACTATTTACGACGTTGGGCCGATGTCGATCCAATGAGCAAAACTTCATCGGCCCGACATTGTTTGCCGACGCTGGGCCAATGCTGGGCCAGTGCATTGCTGATGCAGGGCCGGTGATGTTTGCCGGCGTTGGGCCGATGTCGATCCGATGAGCAAAACTTCATCGGCCCGACGATGTTTGCCGACGCTGGGCCGATGCTGGGCCGGTGCAGTGCCGATGCAGGGCCGATGACGTTTGCCGGCGTTGGGCCGACGTCGATCCGATGAGCAAAACTTCATCGGCCCGATGCAGTTTGCCAACGTTGGGCCGATGGTGTAGCCGACGTTGGGCCGATGCAGGGCCGATGATGGCATGCTACCTGGGTTAGCACCATGTAATCTGCATAAGTCCAGTACAAGCAGACACCATATGCATGCACACACGCATGCACGCACACACACACACACACACACACATACACATTGCTATATATGTGCAATTATCTTGAATGTGACATTATACCTCACCTCACCTCACCTCACCTCACCTCACCTCACCTCACCTCACCTCACCTCACCTCACCTCACCTCACCTCAGCATGGGGGCGGTCGGGTAGCCTAGTGGTTAAAGCGCTCGCTCGTCGAGCCGAAGACCCGGGTTCGATTCCCGACATGGGTACAATGTGTGAAGCCCATTTCTGGTGTCTCCTGCCGTGATATTGCTGGAATATTGCTAAAAGCAGCGTAAAACCATACTCACTCACTCACCTCACCTCACCTCAGCAGAACACCACACTCACCTCACCTCACCTCACCTCACCTCACCTCACCTCACCTCACCTCACCCACCAGACTGTAGAACTAAGCTGTCCATTGTTCCAGGTCGTCAGTGTGTGTCAGGCGGGGAGCATCATCGTCTGGCTGATTGACACGGGTCAGAAGGTCAAGCAGTTCAACAGTTCCCATGGCAACTCGGAGGTGACCTGCATCACTCAGGACCCGAGTGAAACCCGCCTGTACACGGGCAGCACGGACGGCACCGTCAAGGTAGGCTCTGCTCTTCGGGGCAGTGGGGTAGCCCAGTGGTTAAAGCTCTGCTCTTCAGGGCAGTGGGGTAGCCCAGTGGTTAAAGCTCTGCTCTTCAGGGCAGTGGGATAGCCCAGTGGTTGAAGCTCTGCTCTTCGGGGCAGTAGGGTAGCCCAGTGGTTGAAGCTCTGCTCTTCAGGGCAGTGGGGTAGCCCAGTGGTTGAAGCTCTGCTCTTCGGGGCAGTGGGGTAGCCCAGTGATTAAAGCTCTGCTCTTCGGGGCAGTGGGGTAGCCCAGTGGTTAAAGCTCTGCTCTTCGGGGCAGTGGGGTAGCCCATGGTTGAAGCTCTGCTCTTCGGGGCAGTGGGGTAGCCCAGTGGTTAAAGCTCTGCTCTTTGGGGCAGTGGGGTAGCCCAGTGATTAAAGCTCTGCTCTTCGGGGCAGTGGGGTAGCCCATGGTTGAAGCTCTGCTCTTCGGGGCAGTGGGGTAGCCCAGTGGTTAAAGCTCTTGCTCATCACATTGAAGACCTGGGTTCGCTTTCTGACATTGGTACAATATGGGAGGCATTTTCTGGTGCCCTGATATTGCTGGAATATTGCTCAATGTGAGTATAAACCTCACCACTCACTTACTTCATACGATCACAGGAAGCTTGGACCTTTGGCTGATATATGTTATTGTTAAATGATGTTGATGATAATTGCAATGGTGACGACGATGATGGCAAGGATGATGATGATGATGATGATGATATGTGCTCTGAGGTGTTGACTTCAATGGTGATGATGTGTATAAAGGTGTGAGATTAGATGATGATGATGATGGGATGATGATGATGATGATGATGATGATGATGATGATGACGCTTCTGTCTCTAGGTGTGGGACTTCAATGGTCACTGCTACCACAGCCTGGAGTGTTCTGGAGGGCAGCCTGCAGATGTTGGCCAGATCCTGGTCCTGAAGAGATCCGTGCTGGTGGTGGGCTGGGCCAAGTGAGTCTTACATGTCACACAGTTGGTCACATGTCACACGGGCCGTCACATGTCACACAGGCTGTCACGTGTCACAGAGGCTGTCACATGTCACACAGGCAGTCACATGTCACACAGGCCGTCACATGTCACACAGGCCGTCACATGTCACACAGGCAGTCACATGTCACACAGGCTGTCACGTGTCACAGAGGCTGTCACATGTCACACAGGCAGTCACATGTCACACAGGCCGTCACATGTCACACAGGCCGTCACATGTCACACAGGCAGTCACATGTCAAACAGGCCATCACATGTCACACAGGCCGTCACATGTCACACAGGCAGTCACATGTCACACAGGCCGTCACATGTCACACAGGCCGTCACATGTCACACAGGTAGTCACATGTCACACAGGCAGTCACATGCCACACAGGCTGTAACATGTCAAAAAGGCAGTCACATGTCACACGGGCCGTCACATGTCACACAGGCTGCCACATGTAACACGGGCTGTCACATGTCAAAAAGGCCGTCACATGTCACACAGGCAGTCACATGTCACACAGGCCGTCACATGTCACACAGGCCGTCACATGTCACACAGGCCGTCACATGTCACACAGGCCGTCACATGTCACACAGGCTGTCACATGTCAAAAAGGCAGTCACATGTCACAAAGGCAGTCACATGTCACACAGGCCGTCACATGTCACACAGGCAGTCACATGTCACACAGGCCGTCATATGTCACACAGGCCGTCACATGTCACACAGGCTGTAACATGTCAAAAAGGCAGTCACATGTCACACAGGCAGTCACATGTCACACAGGCTGTAACATGTCAAAAAGGCAGTCACATGTCACACAGGCAGTCACATGTCACACAGGCAGTCACATGTCACACTGGCCGTCACATGTCACACAGGCAGTCACCTGTCACACAGGCCGTCACATGTCACACAGGCAGTCACATGTCACACAGGCCATCACATGTCACACGGGCCGTCACATGTCACACAGGCGGTGACACAGGCCTGCACTTCCCCACATCTACATATCCAACTTAGTGAGAATGTTAGCCAGTGTTTTATTGTGCAAGTAGCATCAATGTATTGAGCTCATATTTTGACTTCCGACTAGTGTGTGGTAGGTGACCTCGTTTGCTCATTTATCAGAAATATGTTAGTCATGTAGGTTTATTGCTTTAAAAACTCATTATTTGAAATAGCAGATTTAGTAATGGAGAAATCACTCGGATCTGTTCATTCCAGGAGGAAAATCAATCAATCTCATTAAGATCTAAGTTTATGCTGCCGCTGAACAAAGGTCTGAGGACATCTCATTACGGGTCACGTCAGAACGACCTTTCGCGAACTTTGACTGACCACTGAATGACTAACAAGAAGTCGACATCAGCCAATTAGAAAGCAGCTTTCTCGAGCTTTATGTCACTCGTTTCAACCTGGCGACTGCCATTTCAGACTACGCTTGAAAAATAAGTTGACACAGTTCTCGATTAAAATTTTGAAAACTGAACAAACAAACATTCCAGAATGTCTAATATATGGTTGAGATTGTATTCTAGTGCTTCCCATGTACTGTGCATCGCCTCCTCCGTTCAAACGTTTATCCCACGGAAGCGAGAGATAGATGATAATTTTGAAGGAATCAGTCGTACAGGCAGTAACTGTCGTTCAGAATACCCCCTATTGACGTTTTCGAGGTTGCATGATTAGAAAACACATTCCAACTGTCACTTTCATTATCTGGTAAGCAACGCTTTGATTGGTCGGATGAAAGGTCGGTCTGACAGCGACTTGTTTTCTTGTTCAAGGTTTGTGACTGTGTTCCGGAACAGCGCCTTCCGTGACTACCACGTGCAGCCGTCCGACTGGAAGGGAGGTCAGGTGAGTGAGGGATGCAGCAGACAAGGAATCGGTCAAAGACGGATTTGATCACCCACTTACCGTATTTTGACATAATAAGCGCCCACGGCGATAATTGCTAACATATTGACTAGTGAACAACCCCAATTAGCACCCCTTCAAATTGATCAATGTACACAAGACTTATTTATTTGCGTATAATACACACTCGTGTGTTATATGCACCCTTAATTATGGGCAAAGAAATTCTGGAAAATATATCTGTCGTACATAAACAATTCAGGCTGTCAGCATAAACCACGAAATTTATCTTTCAACTCTGTTTTTCCACCAAAATAATATTCTAACAAGAGCCCCCTATTTCTAATTTTGAGAGCGCCCTGGGCCGCTTATTACGTCGAATACAGTATTAGATCAATCAATATATCAGTCAATCAGTCAGTTAGTAAATGAATGAATGTTGGATTTGATAAATGCATGTGTAGATTGTGTTTGTTTGTTTTGTTTAACGCCGCACACAGCAATATTTCAACTTTATGACGGCGGTCTGTAAATAATCAAGTCTGGACCAGACAATCCAGTGATTGACATCATGACCATCGATCCACGCAATTGGAATACGATGACATGCGTCAGCCAAGTCAGCGAGCCTGACCACCCGATCCCGTTAGTCACCTCTTACGTCAAGCCTGGGTTGCTGAAGACCTATTCTACCCCGGATCTTCACGGGTCGAGTGGTAGATAAATGAACTGATGAGTGGTTGATCATTGACTGAATCAGCTTCTATAACACGAGTTGATCAGAGAATCAGATCAGTGATCTATGAAGTACTGAATGAATACATACTGATTGAATTCATCAGTGAACAAACCAATAAATCAATTATGAATCGACTTAGTACTGGTTCCATCACTGAATCTATGAATGGATCTGTAAAAATGAGTAAAACGAGGTTTGCCCGTTCAGTGTATACAAGTTGTGTAAAATAGATTCGTGACTTTGTGAATGAATGTAAAAAAATCTGTCAATGCCATCACTGGTTTATGATTTTGATGCAGTTCTGATTTTAGATTTGGCTTTTTGGTTTTTTGGTGGTTGTAAAGACTGCAGTCTGTGTCTTCAACTCTTTGACCCTGACCTCTGTGTTGCGTTTCACTACCCTGACCTCTGACCTCTGCAGGAGCACGTGGAGGACATCCTGTGCGGGTCCTTCCAGAGCCCGAATGTCCTGGCGACCGGGTCGTATGACGGGGAGGTCGTCGTCTGGAACACCAACTCGGAGCAGGCGTCGCGGCACCTCAACCAGCGCGCGCGCAAGAAGAACCTCACCAGGGGGAAGTCCATGATGCTGAAGGACAAGGAGGTCAGTGTGCAGGGAGCGGTGTGTGAGGGGGTCACATTGAGGTCATTGTGAGAGCGGTGTGTGAGGGGTCACATTGAGGTCAGTGTGAGAGTGGTGTGTGAGGGGGTCAGTGTGAGAGTGGTGTGTGAGGGGGTCAGTGTGAGAGTGGTGTGTGAGGGGGTCAGTGTGAGAGTGGTGTGTGAGGGGGTCAGTGTGAGAGTGGTGTGTGAGGGGGTCAGTGTGAGAGTGGTGTGTGAAGGGGTCAGTGTGAGAGTGGTGTGTGAGGGGGTCAGTGTGAGAGTGGTGTGTGAGGGGTCACATTGAGGTCATTGTGAGAGTGGTGTGTGAGGGGGTCATTGTGAGAGTGGTGTGTGAGGGGGTAAGTGTGAGAGTGGTGTGTGAGGGGTCACATTGAGGTCAGTGTGAGAGTGGTGTGTGAGGGGTCACATTGAGGTCAGTGTGCAGGGAGTGGTGTGTGAGGGGTCACATTGAGGTCAGTGTGAGAGCGATAACTGTGGGGTCTCATTAAGGTCAGTGTTGTGTGTAAACGTTGCTCCTTGAGAATATTGTGAATATGAGAGTATTGTCTCTGTGACAGTATTGTGCATACCATTTATGACGTAATAAGGGCCCTGCTCTAATAAGCGCCCACGGCGATATTTGCTAATATCAATGTACACAAGACTTATTAATTTGCGTATAATACACACTCCTGTGTTATATGCACCATTAATTATGGGCAATTAAATTCTGGGAAAATATATCTGCCGTAGATAAACATTTCAGGCTGTCAGCATAAACCACAAAATTTATCTTTCAACTCTGTTTTTTTCACCAAAATAATATTTCAATAAGAGCCCCCTATTTCTAATTTTGAGAGCGCCCTGGGCTCTAATTACGTCAAATACTGTATATCAAAGCGTTGTCCATGCGTGAGTAGAACCATCTTTGGAGCCTCTGCCGAAAGATCACAAGGTCTGTGGTTCGATTCCCAGGTAGTGTCATATTGAAATACGAAAAGATGGTACTTGTTGTTACCCTGACTGGCGCTTAACATTAACAGGACATAACAAGGTCTGGTTGGCTGATTGTCAGTACACTGAGTGGGGTATCCATGAAAAACTGCTGCATTGTATCTCAGTGGGTCAGCACAACATTAGTCTGGACTACTACGGTGAGCCACACACACACACATGCATGCACCTCGCTATGCATCTTCCCGAGGCAAGGAGACCGCCTCCGTGGTCTAATGGTAGAGCGTCTGCCCGGAGAGCGGAAGGTCCGTGGTTCGATCCCCAGCTGCGTCATACCAAAAGACGTTTAAAGATTGTACTTGTTGTTACCCTGTCTGGCGCTCGGCATTAAGGGGCTAAAACAAGGACTGGTCGGCTCGGAGTCAGTATACTGTGTCTGAGTGGGGTATTCATTTTAAACTACGACATGGTATCTCAGTGTGCTAGTACTATAACTCGGCATCAGTCCGGACTAGTACAAGCAGCCACACACACACACACACACACACACACACACATAGACGTGCATGCACGTCGCTATATAAGTGCAATAATCTTGGACGCAACGTAAAACCCCATTTCACCTCACCTCCCGAGGCAAGGGAGTTAACTGACTGTAAAAGTCCAGTTTGCACCCTTGCCAAACTAGGCTGGTATTATGGAGTTACAGTTTGTCTGGACAAAGAGTCTGTGCATAGTCCAATCAAAATCGCGCACCGCAATCAAAATCCGGTTCGTAAACTGTCGTGCAGATTTCGATCGATTGCAGGATTTGCAAAGCATGTGCACCGCCAACTCGTTGTCAGCAGATATTTTCCAAATCTCTTTATGTTTTTTATCAAGGTGCTCACGTGATTTGATGCATTTCGCAATGTAAGACCCGTTTTATCACAATATAGATCTTGATTATCGATCAGATCGTCCTGACTGAGCGCCGCCATTTTGTGTAAAGCAAACGCAAGTGATACGAGAGGTTGAATCTGATTGGTCCTTCGGAGAAGCTTAGAAGGGACATAACTGGTAATGACCACTGGTGGCGCAACGATCGAGCCCAGGAATTCCAGCCTAGTTCTAGTTCGGCAAGGGTGGAAACTGGACTTTTAAAGTCAGCTAACTCCCTTGCCTCGGGAAGATGCTCGCTATGTAAGTGAGATAGTTTCGAATGCAACGTTAAGCCCCTTTCCACCTCCGTTCTTCAGCCCAGTCAGCTGGCTCCGGTTGCCGAACACTCCGACAGCAAGTCAACCGTCGGCTCCATCACATCAATGGAGGTCAGGCCCAAGTCTCGGCCCAAGTCCCGCGCCCTTTCTCGAGTCAGTCAAGGCAGCAGCGACCAGGTAACGTTACCCTGTAGGCTTGAATCAGCTGTGTGTTTTATTTGTTTGCCCAAGTCCCGCGCCCTGTCTCGTGTCAGTCAAGGCAGCAGGGACCAGGTAACATAACCCTGTAGGCTTGAATCAGCTGTGTGTTTTGTTTGTTTGTGTTTGTTTGTTTGTTTGTTTGTTTGCCCAAGTCCCGCGCCCTGCCTCGAGTCAGTCAAGGCAGCAGCGACCAGGTAACGTTACCCTGTAAGCTTGAATCAGCTGTGTATTTTGTTTGTTTGTTTGTTTGTTTGTCTGCCCAAGTCCTGCGCCCTGTCTCGAGTCAGTCAAGGCAGCAGGGACCAGTTAACATAACCCTGTAGGCTTGAATCAGCTGTGTGTTTTGTTTGTTTGTTTGTTTGTTTGTTTGTTTGTTTGTTTGTTTGGTTATACTATCATTAGTATTAAACAGTAATATGTCACTTTACCCTAGTTTCACAGAAAACATATCTTATTATTTAATTTTTCAATAAGAAAAGATTTAAGGACAAACATATTAAGCCAAATTCTTCAAGTTAAATATCGAATGAAGAGTAATTAGTGCTGCCAATAATGTATAATTGAAAAGATATTTCCTCCCCTAATTAATACGCTTGAGATACGCGAAGATCCGGGTTAGAATAGGTCTTTAGCAACCCATGCTTGCTGTAAAAGGCGACTAACGGGACTGTCCAGGGATCTTTGTCCTTAAGACCCGTGAAGATCCGGGGGAGAATAGGTCTTCAGCAATCCATGCTATGCTTGTCTTAAGAGGCGACTAACTGGATCGGGTGGTCAGACTCACTGACTTTGTTGATGCATGTCATTGTATCCCGATTGCGAAGATCGATGCTCATGATGTCAATCACCAGATTGTCTGGTCCAGACTGCCATCTTATAGCTGGAATATTGCTGAGTGCGGCATTAAACAACAAACAAATAATAAGCTAGACCTATCTGAGGTTTGACCCTGTCAAACTCATCTGAAGAACGTGTCAGATGAAGATCGATGCTCGTGATGTCAATCACGTATTGTGAGTGTGACTCACCCCAATGTTAACCTTACGGCCGTAGAAATTGTCCACAACTATCCAGTGACCTTGAGACCCGTGAAGATCCGGGGTAGAATTGGTATTCAGCAAAAGGCGCTATGCTTGTCATAAAAGGCGACTAACGGGATCGGGTGGTCAGGCTCGCTGACTTGGTTGATGCAGGTCATCGATCCCAATTGCGTGGATCGATGCTCATGATATCAATCACTGGATTGTCTGGTCCAGACTCGATTATTTACAGACCGCCGTCATATAGCTGGAATATTGCTGAGTGCGGCGTTAAACAACCAACCAACCAACCAACCAGTGACCTTGACCTTGACCATGTGTTTTTTCCTGTGACAGAGATGAAGGTATGAATGACCTTGACATTCTAACCCACAGAGTGAGTTCAGCATGGCTGTTGCTAAGCTGCTGTTCCTGGAGACAAGGAAAGGTAATTCTGCAGGGGGCGGTGCCAACCTGGTGTCGTGTGGCGGCAACGGATGGGTGCGCTTCTGGAACACGTCCAAGAACGTCTTACTGGCTGAGTTTGTTGCCCATCTCCACGGTGAGACTTTGAACCTCATGAAAAAAAGATGTTGTGATGTATTTCTTGGGTAGAAGAGTAGCCTAGTGGTTGAAGCGTTCGCTCATCACACTGAAGGCCCGGGTTTGATTCCCGGCATAGGTACAATGTGTGAAGCCCATTTCTGGTGTCCCCACTCATGATATTGCTGGAATATTGCTATAAGTGGCATAAAACCTCACTCACTCACTCACTCACTCAATGCCTTTCAATTTCATTTGGTACAGAGAGCCTCAAATGTTATCCCTTGGGAATTCTTGGGAGTAAGAAACAGGCTGCTAGGGAACAATCCAATGATTGATATTATGAGCAACGTCTACATCATCAGGGTATGACATGAAGTCTGAATCATGTGGTCAATCTCGACGACATGGTTGATTGCATGTCATCTTACCCTGACGGCATGGCTCGTTGCTCATGATATCAATCACTGGATCGTCTGGTCCAGACTGGAATATTTACAGGCCACTGTCATATTGCTGGAAGAGTGTGGTGTTAAACAACCATCAAACGTTAAAATATGTCTTTCTGTATCCCATGATTTTATCAACATTGTTAACGCCGCCTCCGTGGTCCAGTGGTAGAGCGTCCGCCCGGAGAGTGGAAGGTCCGGGGTTCGATCCCCAACCGCGTCATACCAAAAGACGTTAAAAGATGGTACTTGTTGTTACCCTGTCTGGGGCTCGGCATTAAGGGGCTAAAACAAGGACTGGTCGGCTCGGAGTCAGTATACTGTGTCTGAGTGGGGTATTCATGTTAAAATGCGGCATGGTATCTCAGTGAGCTAGCACTATAAATCGGCATCAGTACGGACTAGTACAAGCAGCCACACACACACACACACACACACACACACACACACACACACACACACGTGCATGCATGCATGCATGCATGTCGCGATATGAGTGCAATAATCTTGGACGCAACGTTAAACCCAATTTCACCTCACCTCACCTCAACATTGTTAACACAAAATATTTTCAAATTTTACAGGTTTGTATGTAGGCCAATACCGTAGTCGACGTAATAAGCACCCCGCTCTAATAAGCGCCCACGGCGATAGTTATTAATATATTGGCTTGTGAACAATCCCAATAAGCACCCCTTCCAATTGATCAATGTACACAAGACTTATTTATTCGTGTACAATACGCACTCGTGTGATATATGCATTAGATTCAACCTCTCGTGTCACTTGCATTTGCTTCAAACATAACGGTGGCGCCCAGTCAAAACGATCTGATTGATAATCAAGATCTATATTGTGATAAAACGAGTCTTACAAAATGTAACTCCATAATACCAGCCTAGTTCGGCAAGGGTGGAAACTGGACTTTTAAAGTCAGTTAACTCTCTTGCCTCGGGAAGATGGCTCAGATTCGATGATTTGGTTCATGGTGGGTCATTGTTCCTTGACTGTGGGATTGTTGCTCATAATATCAACCACTTGATTGCCTCACAAAAACTTCATTATTTACAGGCTGCCATCATATAGCTGTAACTTCTTTGATAGGCATTTAGAAGTTGGAGTACTATGTAAGGATAGGATTTATGGATGGACAACTTTTTTATAATCCCCCGCCCCAACGAAGTTGTCGGGGGATATAGAAATGGGTTACGCCATGTGTGCGTGCGTGCGTGCGTGCATGTGTGCGTCCCGAAATCATTTCTGTAGCATAACTCAGAAACTGTTAAATATTTCTCTATGAAACTTTGCATGTCTATCAGACTCATGCTGAACTGGTGCTTTTTGCTATTTAGGAATTTTATAAATTTTTATGTTTTACGTTTCCATGGCAACAAGTTGGACTTAGGTTCTATAAAGGTGGTGTTCGTTTCCGGAGCATAACTCAAAAACTCTTAAATACTTTCTTACAAATCTTTGCATGTCTACTAGGCACATACTGAACTGGTGCCATTTGATATTAAGGAGTTTTATAAATGTTTATTTTAGAATTTCCATTGCAGCTATTTTGACATGGGCTAAGAGAAATGTTTGGTCAGTTATCTTGTTTGGGACCATAACGTGTTAAAATGGCGGGGGATATAGATGACCTCGTCGAGTATACGCTTGTTACAATTGAGAATGATGTTTTGGTGTAAGTTCTTACACTGTTATCAAGGTTCTAACACCGTGGTAGAACCTACATGGAAATGTCGCTCTTAATTGTAATAAAGAAGTTGTTCATCCATAAATCTTATCCTTGTTTATATCGCCGGACTATTGCTGGATATGGCTTATACCAACAAGCATACAAAACGTAATTTCACTCATGATTCTGAATGTGCCTGTATTTCCCCAGCTGGCAGTATCATAATGGCGACTGACAAGAAGAACCAGTATCTGGTGACGGGCGACGTCGATGGCCTGGTGAAAGTCTGGGAGATCAGCGAGTACTGTACTCATCATGTAGACAAGCCATTACAGACACCTCCCCGTGAGTAGAGCTACACTTATACTGTACTCACCATGTAGACAAGCCATTACAGACACCTCCCTGTGAGTAGAGCTACACTTATACTGTACTCACCATGTAGACAAGCCATTACAGACGGCTCCCCGTGAGTAGAGCTACACTGTTATACTGTACTCACCATGTAGACAAGCTGTTACAGACACCTCCCCTTGAGTAGAGCTACACTTATACTGTACTCACCATGTAGACAAGCCATTACAGACACCTCCCAATGAGTAGACCTACACTTATACTGTACTCACCATGTAGACAAGCCATTACAGACACCTCCCCATGAGTAGAGCTACACTTATACTGTACTCACCGTGTAGACAAGCCATTACAGACACCTCCCCATGAGTAGAGCTACACTTATACTGTACTCACCATGTAGACAAGCTGTTACAGACACCTCCCCGTGAGTAGAGCTACACTTATACTGTACTCACCAGGTAGACAAGCTGTTACAGACACCTCCCTGTGAGTAGAGCTACGCTTATACTGTACTCACCATGTAGACAAGCTGTTACAGACACCTCCCCGTGAGTAGAGCTACACATATACTGTACTCACCATGTAGACAAGCAATTACAGACACCTCCCCGTGAGTAGAGCTACACTTATACTGTACTCACCATGTAGACAAGCCATTACAGACACCTCCCCATGAGTAGAGCTACACTTATACTGTACTCACCATGTAGACAAGCCATTACAGACACCTCCCCGTGAGTAGAGCTACACTTAAATACTGTACCCACCATGTAGACAAGCCATTACAGACACCTCCCCATGAGTAGAGCTACACTTATACTGTACTCCCCATGTAGACAAGCCATTACAGACACCTCCCCATGAGTAGAGCTACACTTATACTGTACTCCCCATGTAGACAAGCCATTACAGACACCTCCCCATGAGTAGAGCTACACTTATACTGTACCCACCATGTAGACAAGCCATTATAGACACCTCCCTGCGAGTAGAGCTACACTGTTATACTGTACTCACCATGTAGACAAGCCATTACAGACACCTCCCTGTGAGTAGAGCTACACCGTTATACTGTACTCACCATGTAGACAAGCCATTACAGACACCTCCCCGTGAGTAGAGCTACACTTATACTGTACTCACCATGTAGACAAGCCATTACAGACACCTCCCCGTGAGTAGAGCTACACTGTTTTACTGTACCAGCATGTAGACAAGCCATTACAGACACCTCCCCGTGAGTTGAGCTACACTTATACTGTACTCACCATGTAGACAAGCCATTACAGACACCTCCCCGTGAGTAGAGCTACACTTATACTGTACTCACCATGTAGACAAGCCATTACAGACACCTCCCTGTGAGTAGAGCTACACTGTTATACTGTACTCACCATGTAGACAAGCCATTACAGACACCTCCCTGTGAGTAGAGCTACACTTATACTGTACTCACCATGTAGACAAGCCATTACAGACACCTCCCCGTGAGTAGAGCTACACTGTTATACTGTACTCACCATGGGAGATGACCGCATTGTGTTATTGTTGTTGTGTTGGGAGATGATGATCTCATTGTGTTATTGTTGTTGTGTTGAGAGATGACCTCATTGTGTTATTGTTGTCGTGTTGGAAGATGACCTCATTGTGTTATTATTGTCATGTTGGGAGATGACCTCATTGTGTTATTGTTGTCGTGTTGGAAGATGACCTCATTGTGTTATTATTGTCATGTTGGGAGATGACCTCATTGTGTTATTGTTGTAGTGTTGGGAGATGACCTCATTGTGTTATTGTTGTCGTGTTGGAAGATGACCTCATTGTGTTATTGTTGTCATGTTGGGAGATGACCTCATTGTGTTATTGTTGTCGTGTTGGAAGATGACCTCATTGTGTTATTATTGTCATGTTGGGAGATGACCTCATTGTGTTATTGTTGTAGTGTTGGGAGATGACCTCATTGTGTTATTGTTGTCATGTTGGGAGATGACCTCATTGTGTTATTGTTGTCGTGTTGGCAGATGTCGTCAGTGTGTTATTATTGTCGTGTTTGGAGATGACCTCATTGTGTTATTGTTGTCGTGTTGGGAGATGTCGTCAGTGTGTTATTGTTGTCGTGTTGGGAGATGACCTCATTGTGTTATTGTTGTCGTGTTGGGAGATGACCTCATTTTGTTATTGTTGTCATGTTGGAAGATGACCTCATTGTGTTATTATTGTCATGTTGGGAGATGACCTCATTGTGTTATTGTTGTGGTGTTGAGAGATGACCTCATTGTGTTATTGTCGTGTTTGGAGATGACCTCATTGTGTTCTTGTTGTCATGTTGGGAGATGACCTCATTGTGTTATTGTTGTCGTGTTGGGAGATGTCGTCAGTGTGTTATTATTGTCGTGTTTGGAGATGACCTCATTGTGTTATTGTGGCAGCTCTGAAGTGCCAGTACCAGCCTCACCACGATATGATCAACTCACTGGACCTGTGTGAGCGCAACGACCGCGCCCTCGTCATCTCCGCCTCCTCAGACTGCAGCGTTGCGGTCTGGGACGTCCACGGCAACAAGCTGGGAGTCTTCGGTCAGGTAGGTTGTTTGAATAGCGAGGACAGATGTCCAATATTGTCATGATATGGACTTACATGGAAATCTCAAAAGGCCCTATGTCATAACCCTAATGTTAAAACATAAGATTTAAGGGCTCTTATTTAAAATAAACGACAAGTGGGAGTTGTTTATCGTACAAAAAGACATTGCAGGGAGAATAAACAAAGAGGGCGCGACCTGGAGTCGTTTACTCTCCCTGCAGTGTTTTATTGTATGATCAACATTATGTTCAGCCTCTTTAAGGATGTTGATAAAATGTGCAATCTTTGAAAATAGTTACCTTTATTTCATTAATGATGACTCTGACCTCGGCAATGTCGGACAAGTCCATTTTATGAACAGGTGGGTTAAGTTTGGTATTTCCCGCATATTCTCACAATCCTCACGTCGATTATCTGAAATTTTTCTTCCAATACCGATTGTTATATCTCTCCCACTTTTGGATGCGATCGTTCGGCCACTGTGTTTATCTGCATAGCCCAGCTACATCTATGGGGGAACAACTATCTCGCCACTTCCCTCTCAAGAATAACATCATCCAAATTTGTACAGGCATCAAGTTAGGAGCACCTGTTCAAATCTCCAGAAATGACGACACGATAGAACAATGTTTTATCGTGAAATAAACCATGCTTCATTCTTCATTGCTCTTTGCGATTTATCGCATAGCTATCTTATATTTTGAAATAATACAGTGCCAAACCTAAGGGATGTCAGGACTACATTTATAGTTAATTGTTGATTCAACTACTTGAATAATGGACCCGTAAAGATTCCGGGGTAGAATAGGTCTTCAGCAACCCATGCTTGTTGTAAAAGGTGATCTATGCTTGTCGTAAAAGGCGACTAACGGGATCGGGTGGTCAGGCTCGCTGACTTGGTTGAAGCACGTCATCGATCCCCATTGCGTGGATCGATGCTCATGATGTCAATCACTGGATTGTCTGATCCAGACTCAATTATTTTACAGACCGCCGTCATATAGCTGGAATATTGCTGAGTGCGGCGTTAAACAACAAACAAACAACCAAAAAAACTTGAATAATAAAAACAGATGCATGGTAAGGAAGTATTCCTACTCTGCAATTAGCCTTATAATATTTGAGATGTGTGTTGTTTCCAGGAGGAGCATTGGAAGATCGAGCCGTACGACCCCACAGCCGAGGAGGAAGAGGAAGACACGAAACAGGTGAGTCCCCCTTCCCTCCCTCATCCCCCTCGCTCATCCCCACCCCTTCCCTCAACCCCCTCCCTCATCCCCATCCCTTCCCTCATCCCCCTCCTTCCTCCCTCCCTCCCTCACCCCTCTCCCTCATCCCCCTCCCTCATCCCCTCGCTCATCCCTCCTCCCTTATCCCCCTTCTCTCACCCCCCTCCCTCATCCCCCCTCCCTCATCCCCACCCCTTCCCTCATCCCCACCCCTCATCCCCCTCCCTCATCCCCCCTCCCTCATCCCCCTCCCTCATCCCACCCCCTCATCCCCCTCATCCCCCCTCGCTCATCCCCTCCCTCATCCCTCCCTACCTCACCCCCTCCCTCATCCCTCCCTCCCTCCTCCCTCCCGACCTCACCCCCCTCGCTCATCCCCCTCCCTCATCCCGCCCCCTCATCCCCCTCGCTTATCCCCCTCCCTCATACCACCCCCTCATCCCCCCTCCCTCATCCCCCCTCCCTCCTCTTTAATCCCCCTTCTTGGTCTATGCATAGACTCGTTAGTCCAGTCAAAATGTAACTCTGGAATTCCAGCCTAGTTTTGCAAGTGTGGAAACTGGACTTTTATAGTCAGTTAACACCCTTGTTTTGGGTGATGCGAAACAGTGACAGAACTTCTAAGTGTCTCTCTAACATGCTATGCACTCTTGATACAAGGGGCAGTCGGGTAGCCTAGTGGTTAAAGCGTTCGCTCGTCACGCCGAAGACCCGGGTTCCATTCCCGACGTGTACAATGTGTGAAGCCCATTTCTGGTGTCCCCCGCCGTGATATTGCTGTAATATTGCTAAAAGCGGCATAAAACCATATTCACTCACTCACTCTTGATACAAATCTCCTCCCATGTTGCGATGCCAGGACGTTGCTGCTGAGAAGCTGGACATTGACCTTGTTGAATCGGATGCTGAGAGTCAGTGGGAGCCGGACGAGTCCGCAATATGCCAGCCCCAGGACTATCGCCTCAACACATGGAACAACACTGTCCTCGGTAAGAGAATCCCGGTTCGCCCCAATTATGTTTCTAGGTTTGTCAGCAGCATACCCGTGCTCTTGGGTTTCACCGAAGTGATAAATATCTGAGACCTGCATCACTTCGGGCTTTCCTCCAACATTAAGCTGACACGCCGTGATATAACTGGAATACTGTTAAAAGCGGCGTTAAACACAACTCACTCACTCACTCACTCCTCGGTAAGATTCTTGGTGCAGAGCTCCAGATAAGCTTTTGGCGTTGTGGGTATTTTACCCATGCATTTTAAAATCATTGGGTATCAGTAATTCTATTTGGGTATTCAAATTTCTGTTACCCACTAGTTTTTACACATGTGGGTATTTAAGTTAAATATTTAAAAACACTATTCATGTAGTCACTGCAAACTGGTGTAATGTGGGTTCGAGAGCTTTATAGGACTCACAAATAACCCGATACTTCCACAGGAAAGTGTGATGGCAAATGATCAGGATGTTACTCTCATCGTGGAGTTTGGCAAGGTTGACGGAATGCCCGTTTATAATTTCAAAATAAGTTGCTGATTCGCTAATCAAATATGCAGGGTTACTTCACAATATTTTGATGATACCACCAATTTTGTTTTTGTAGAGTATCTGTTTTGTTCGTTGCGTATTTGATACGCTTGGATTTTATTTTACTGCGTATTTCTGCATTTCTGATGCGTATTTTACGCAGATACGCAGCTTATCTGGAGCTCTGTTTGTGCAAAACTTCGAACCTGCGAAGATCCGGGGTAGAATAGGTCTTTAGCAACCTTTGCTTGCAGTAAAAGACAACTATGCTTGTTGTAAGAGTCGACTAACGAGATTGGGTGGTCAGGCTCGCTGACTTGGTTGATGCATGTCATCGAATCCAAATTGCGTCGATTGATGCTCATAATGTCAATCCCTGGATTGTCTGGTCCAGACTCGATTATTTACAAACCGCCATCATACAGCTGGAATATTGGTGAGTGGGCATTAAACAACAAACAAACTTGTAGCGACAGCACCATAGCCATGCAGAGTTGTGTCCCCTATAGAGACAGCACCATAGCCATGCAGAGTTGTGTCCCCTATAGAGACAGCACTATAGCCATGCAGAGTTGTGTCCCTTATAGAGCCATCACTATAGCCATGCAGAGTTGTGTCCCTTATAGAGACAGCACAATAGTCATGCAGAGTTGTGTCCCTTATAGAGACAGCACCATAGTCATGCAGAGTTGTGTCCCTTATAGAGCCATCACTATAGCCATGCAGAGTTGTGTCCCTTATAGAGCCATCACTATAGCCATGCAGAGTTATGTCCCTTATAGAGACAGCACTGTAGCCATACAGAGTTGTGTCCCTTATAGAGACAGCACTATAGCCATACAGAGTTATGTCCCTTGTAGTGACAGCACTATAGCCATGCAGAGTTGTGTCCCTTCTAGAGACAGCACTATAGCCATGCAGAGTTATGTCCCTTTAGAGACAGCACTATAGCCATGCAGTTATGTCCCTTATAGAGACAGCACTATAGCCATGCAGAGTTATGTCCCTTTAGAGACCGCACTATAGCCATGCAGAGTTATGTCCCTTTAGAGACAGCACTATAGCCATGTGAGTTATGTCCCTTTAGAGACAGCACGATATAACTGAAATAATATTCAAGTCGGCATTAAAACGAACTCACTCTCTCCCAGGCTGGTCTACCTGCCTCAAGGATCACATCAGAACTATACGGGTGCCTGAGTTACAACAGCCCCAGAGGACGATTTCTGGTTGTTTGAGGTGCAAAAATTGCATTCAATCTCATTAAAATCAGACCTTAGTTCTCGCTACCGCTAAACAAAGATCTGAAGACATCATATTAAGGGTCACGTCAGAACGACCTTTCATCCGACCAATCAGTGCGTCGCTTACCAGATTATGAAAGCGAAAATCGGAATGTGATTTCTAATCATGCAATCTCGAAAACTTTAACATGGGGTATTCCAAACGATAGTTACGGGTTTAACGACTAAATCCATACAATCTAGACCATCGATTAGCCATTCCAGAATGTTTTTTTATTCAGGTTTCAAATTTGTAATCGAGAATTTGTCCAAATATGTTTCGAAGCGCAGTTGCCAATTTGAAATTTGTGCCGTAAAGCAAGAGAAAGCTGCCTTCTGATTGGTCATTCCATTGGTCGGTCAAAGTTCGCGCAAGGGTGGTCTGACGTGACTCGTTATGGGATGTCCTCAGATCTTTGTTTAGCGATAGCGAGAACTAAGATCTGATTTTAATGAGATTGAAATTGCATTGGGTGATCAAACTTGATGTCTTGTTGATGTTCGCCATGCCCCATGTTACTCGTGTTTTCACTCATGGTTTGACTCGTCAAGACCCTTTCGTCCTTGACTGTGTCATAAAACAACATTCTCTCACTGCCACGTTGCATCTCTCCCCCCTGAGGGGCGGTCGGGTAGCCTAGTGGTTAAAGCGTTCGCTCGTCACGCCGAAGACCCAGGTTCGATTCCCGACATGGGTACAATGTGTAAAGCCCATTTCTGGTGTCCCCCGCCGTGATATTGCTGGAATATTGCTAAAAGCGGCGTAAAACCAAACTCACTCACTCACTCGCTCTCCCCCCTGACGCCCTGTGACCCTTTCTCCAGGCAAAGACTACCAAGAGCTGCGGGTGCGGAAGCGAGAGCGGCGCCAGCCCGGCACTATCCCCAACCTGCCGTACCTGCACTGGGAGCGGACCGGAGCGCCACCTGCTGGGCCCTACTCTGTGAGTAACTCTTGCTGTGCTTCTGTACATGTACAATGGGACGGCCATTTTGGTTTCAGGAGCGAAATGGAGGAATATGTTTATCTACTTTGGGCTGAAACAAAATCAAGATTCTATATCTTTCAGGGGTTCCATTGATTTCTTTGTTCCTCCTGGTCGTGTAAAAAAACATTAATCAAACAAAAATAGAACATTTAGAAAATATTTGGTCTTTAATGGAAACCCCAGGTCCCCTAAAATCACAATGGTCAGTTCAAATCTCATGTTGTCACTTAACATGTCTCATCATCACACTCATTTTGATTGAATATTGTAGGTCTTATGTTTAATAATTCCTGCGAATTCCACATCATTGAAAAAATACAGGATTATGGCAGTCACCACACTATGAAAAATCTTTACATTGTCAACAGAAGTCCTCTTCACTGTCACCTATCCATAATCAGTCGTATGGATACTAGTCTTCTTCTACCCAGTACTTTTGTGCATGCGTAAACAAGGAAACCTCACTTCTTTCCTGTGTGTGCCAGAGTCAACATCTGGGAAAGAATCAGCGTTAGAAATTGGCACTAGTCCTGTAGTCCTTGCCAAACTGCCCAGTGGTAAAGGTATCATAAGGACTAGTAGAAATTTGCCCTTTTCGAGGGTTTTGCTATATGTTATCATTATAAGGACTAGTGGACGAAAACTGTTAGTTTCTAACCCTGAAAATTCTGAGTATTTTCTACTGAGAACGTTCAGATCTGCCCGAGGCAGACAGGATAATAATTACATGCCTGTGGTACAGTGGAAGACTAAACTCAGATTAACTAAACATGGACTTACCTTGCAATCAACTAAACCTGAAATCCCCTTGCAATCAACTAAACGTGAAATCCCCTTGTAATCAACTAAATGTGAAATCCCCTTGTAATCAACTAAACGTGAAATCCCCTTGCAATCAACTAAACGTGAAATCCCCTTGCAATCAACTAAGCGTGAAATCCCCTTGCAATCAACTAATAGTGAAATCCCCTTGTAATCAACTAAACGTGAAATCCCCTTGTAATCAACTAAACGTGAAATCCCCTTGTAATCAACTAAACGTGAAATTCCCTTGTAATCAACTAAACGTGAAATCCCCTTGTAATGTAATGAACAATGAGAATGTAATAAGATACATGAAATGGATTTGAAACTTAAAGTGAAGTTGCCGTTTGATTAGTTTATGTTAACAATGTAAATGGGTAACTCTCTCAACTGTTTCTGTTCTATTCTATTTCTGTACTATTCTAGTTTACTATTTTGTAACTTGGAGAGAGATGTGCATTTACTACTTGCACATATGAACGCCAGAAGCCAACTGAAATACACTGAGCATGCGCATGCGCATTTTACGCTCATCCAGCAAGAAGCACGTGCTGCATGCCAACTTAAACGCTTTCCACGAAGCTGTTGTGTACCCATGAATCCACCACTGTGTCCAGGAACATGACACTTGTTCCCGGACACTGTTCCCGGACACTTTTTCCCGAACGCTTCAGAACATGCCCCCTTCCATGATAGGCCCTTGTCTATCATCTATTTGGAACAATACTTCATCAAAACAACCCAGTTGACAAACTACCTTATAATTTTGAAACCTTTGGAGGAAAATATTATAAGTAATTTATTGTGGCCGAACTTCATAGATGGTGAATACTTGTCAAACATATGTTGAATAGAGCTGTGACATGAAACACCATGACTGTTTACACTTGTATCGGGGGAACGTTATTAAGAAGTATATACCGTATTCGACATAATAAGCGCCTCACTCTAATAAGCGCCTACGGCGATATTTGCTAATGTTTTGGCTAGTGAACAATCCCAATTAGCACCCCTTCCAATTGATCAATGTACACAAGACTTATTTATTCGTGTATAATACGCACTCGTGTGTTATATGCACCCTTAATTATTTGGAATTAAATTCAGGAAAAATATCCCTGTCGTGTATAATACGCACAGACTTTTCTTTTGTATTATTTCAGGCTGTCAGCATAAATCACGAAATTTACGATTTTTCAACTGTTTTTTTTCTCACCATAATCATATTCTAATAAGAGCCCCTATTTCTAATTTTGAGCGCACCCTAGGTGTTTGTTACATTGAATACGGTAATACTGATGTAAAGCTTAAGTCTTGTAATCCGATGCTCAACCAATATTGAGCAATGTGTAATAAAAGGCTGTGTGTTGAGCTGGACAATTGAGCAGCAGCTACCCTCTTGAGAACTCGGGATTGTGTAAATATTAAACTCTTATATTACTAGTCATTGGGATTCAGGTGCATCCTTGCTATTGTACAAAGCAAAGAAACTGCCTTGGTTGTTTTCAGAAACTTCATTTTTTTATGACTGTCCCTGTGTCCAAAATGGTTGAAGTAGCATCTAGGTCTGAGCAAATATAGCTTTGTAAAAGATCTACTGTGCGTTTTGTGAGATCCTTACGATAGGCATCTCTTTAAATTTGAAGCCTTTAATCTGAATAGGCGTTGTGCAGTTGGGAGAACATGAATGCATGACACTTTTTATAGAAAGCAACTTTTTTTATTCTTTGTCACGACATTTCAGAGCTACATTATATTGAGCAGGAAGTTCTGAAACATCGTGACGAAGAATAAAAGAAGTTGCTTTCCATAGATAGTGTTATCTATTCATATTTATATTTTTTTGAATGAAACCCGGGTTGGTAAACGAACAAAACATGGCTTATGTAAATACCACTCAGGGAAAGCGTGGAACAGCTGGGGTTGAGTATAAATGTTCAGTAGGTGACATTAATCTATAACAGAGAGCTAGACCTAATGGTGTCCGAGCAGAGGGAGTGCTGTGTCACAATATCAATATTTTATGCCGAATTTATATCTGTTATACGTACGTATATTTTGCTTTTGACAAACGCCGAAGACCCGGGTTCGATTCCTGACATGGGTACATTCTGTGAAGCCCATTTCTGGTGTCCCTGCCGTGATATTGCTGGAATATTGCTGAAAGCGGCGTAAAACCATACTCACTCACTCACTCACTTTTGACAATAACATTGCGAATTTATGTAAAAATGTTGATTATGTCCCTTTATTATCTATGATGGCAAACGTATCGGGGTTAATAAAAATCAAATATGCTCTAGGGTCATTAGACTAACATCTAGTCTCTGAAATTAACATATCGTACAGAAAAAAACAGTTGTTCAGTTATCTTAATAAAAATATAATAAAAGGGAGCCCAGTGACTCTCTTCAGATACTGCAAATATCTAGACTTGCCAAACATTATAGACTTGCATAGGCTGTATTTGATATATAGAGGTTATCACGCGAGTGTGTTTGGGGATGGTAAATATCCTGCATTAGGAATAAACATTGTATTAGCGAGCCTTGTTTCGAAATTTATATCTCCAAAGTTGCCAAAACTTATAAAATGCCTTAGCTACGTCACAGTTAGACACTGATTTTCAGTATATTAGTCTGTTCTTTTGATAATGATAGCAATTTTCCCTGTAGTTTATCCAGATTCCTGATGGTTAATTCTGCCTTGATCGCCGAATGACGAGGGCGACGCCATGTTGTTTATAAACACTGAAAGTAGTCCCTACTTGACCTTTGAAATTTGCATCTCTATCCGCATATGACCCCAACGGATATGGTTTTTATCCGTTGGCTTTATCCTGCCGAGAAACCTACCCATTATATGATAAATATTTGTATCAGGGTTTGTAAGACAGACTATATTGTCATATCACATCACGAGACAACAGTGTATTGTTTCTGTCATCCGGATGCATTGTTGACGTCATTCGAATCTTATTGTGACATGAGTTCGGAATGACGTCACACTAGAAACGATGTCATAGCTGAAGATTGTTGACATCATTTCACAAATTGTGGTTCCGCTGCTGTTGCGACTTGTAAACACAAAAATTCATCTCTGTATGTAGACATCTTCTTCAGTAATAAATAGAACATTGTATTTGGGTTCATGTCCTGCTATGCTCAGGACACTCGTGTCTAATTCCAGCTGATTCGCTTTGCAGAGTTGCGTCCCTTGGGCACGCCAGAAACCTATGATTGTGGGTTCGAATCCTGATTCGCCTTGATTATGTTTCTAGGTTTGTCAGCACCATACCTGTGCTCGTGGGTTTTCATCGAAGTGGTAAACGTCTGAGACCTGCATCACTTCGGGCTTTCCTCCCACATTAAGCTGACACGCCGCAATATAACTGTAATACTGTTAAAAGTGGCGTTAAACCCAACTCACTCACTCACTCACTCTAAATCGCGCCTGGTCGTAAGAGGCGACTTAATAGAATGTGTGGTTAATCTTGGTGATTCGGTTGATTGTATGTCATCGTATGCTGATGGGGTGGATTGTTGCTCATGATATCAATCACTGAAATATTTCTGAGTGTGGCTTTAACCAGCACACACAGACACACACAAGCACGCACCAATACAAGCACAGACCAGTGTGCGAAATAAGCACCTACCCGGTCACCAGTGTCTACTTTCTTTCTCGTGACTTTCCTTGACTCAGATTAAGCGTGCAGATTTTTTCTTCAAGGCGGGGTGAAAGGGATTTATTCTCCCGCTCAGAAATTGATTTCCCTCCCAGGCGGGATACACAGTATTTCATCATGATCACATGAACCAATCAGATCTTATCATTCTGACATTGAGGTATGATAATGTTGGGTCTGGGCTGGGACGAGTCCAAATTTACTACCCGGGTACCCACACCCCTATTACCCGACCCTACCCGGGTACCCGCTGTTGGTTTCAAGACAAAGGTACTTGACCCTACCCGGGTACCCGCTGTTGGTATCAAGAGACAGGTACAAAATGTCCGATTGGGAATAATTTGACAGTAGCCCTGGCAGACTGTTTTCAGATACACGTATAAAACGATGTGGTCATGCATACACTGAAGTTGACTAAAGTTTTAGCTTTGTTGAAACATATTTAAGTTCGAAGGAACGTGTTCATAGTCATGAAGAAATGCGAACTTTAGAGACTTAAAATTGTTGTGTAACCGTTTAGTTATTTAGTGATATTTTTGTCCTGAAACAATATATCACGTGACTAACCACAGGTCCGGGTAGTCCTGTTGGTACCCGGGTCCTACTCAGTACCCACCCGACCCGGGTACCCAAGTTACCCGTCCCAGCTCTAGTGTCTAGGATTGGTTAGTGAAAATTGTCGAGCTGGCCTGGTTGGCAAGTGTTGAAGAAATTATTGTACACATTGTCCCTGTGTAAAGGAGCAACGATATCATACCACGATACCATTGTCATGCCTTGTCAATACAGCTTACTACATATGCTATGGGGGGCACGGGTGGCCCAGTCGTCTTAGGCGCCGCGATTCGCTGTGCAAAGTGGCGTCCCTTGGGCACGCCAGAAACTTAGGATTGTGGGTTTGAATCCCGGTTCGCCCCGATTATGTTTCTAGGTTTGTCAGCACCTTACCCGTGCTTGTGGGTTTCACTGAAGTGGTAAACGTCTTGAGACCTGCATCACTTCAGGCTTTCCTCCCACATTAAGTTGACACGATAACTGGAATACTGTTAAAAGCGGCATTAAACCCAACTCACTCACTCACTCACTCACTCACTCACTCACTCACTCACTCACTCACTCACTCACTCAAAATGCCAAACTGTTGGCATTACATTTGTAAATTTATTTTGTAAGATGACATTTTCTGGATGTTTATGAAATTTCCGAATGAGGTGAGGTGAAATGGGGTTTAGCATACAGTAGAACATGGATATAACGAACTACAAGGGACCGGAGAAATCAGTTCGTTATATTCGTTGTTCGTTATATACGTTTTCGCTCAGAAACGTCCTCCATCTTGGCTTAAACAAAATACACATACACGTTTATACACGTTTCCTCCCGCAGTTAAAAAGTACCAACATTTTAATGCAATGGTCGGACGAAATTGTATCTGAAGTTATTATTTGATCAGAATTAAGATTAACATAATGCAAGTTCAACGAGGTTGAATCTTCACCAGTAATTGTGTTGATTCTCGTCTGATTGCGTACATCCAGTTGTCATTAACACTTGACACTGAGAGAGATTTCTCAGTCAGTAAATAATGGTAGATGTGCTTGTCGGTGATCAGATATCAGTTGGCTATATCCGTTAGTTCGCTGTAGAGGGTTCGTTATGTACGTAAATTTTATATGATAATATATAGGGGCTAAATCAGTTCGTTAACAGTTTGTTGAATCTGTTTGTTAACTCTATAAGAATATGTTTCAAAGCGTAGTCGCCAGTTTGAAACTAGTGTCGTAAAGCTCGAGAAAGCTGCCTTCTGACTGGCTAATGTCGATTTCTTGTCAATCATTTCATTGGTCGGTCATAATTCACGAAAGGTCGTTCTGACGTGACCATATGGGATGTCCTCAGATCTTTGTTAAGGGGTAGCGAAAACTAAGATCTGATTTTAATGAGATTGGTTGTTCTCTGGCCCCTCGGTTGATATCAGTTGTCATCCAATCCCGCGGGGTACATGGTGTGATGAATCCTGTGTGGGAGCCAGGTACCCAGCGTACTTCACACAATATGCCCGAGGGATTGGTTGACGACAACAGACACGAAATATATGTCCGCAGTTTCAAGGAAAACACTTTGATTCAGCCATTTTGACTGTTAGCAGATGACGCTGAGAACTTCCCTTTACCCAATGCACCGGATAAACATCGGTTCATATCAGCTCAGTGATACTTACGAGAGATAAGCAAGTTACCTGAGGTGTGCTCCGATTGATTTCTCTGTGGGGTATATTGAAAATAATTACCTGCTCCTTAACCAATCAGAAGCTAGTATTTTATTGTCAGGTGAGATAAGGGTGGATGTACCCTCTATGCTAGTTGGTGTTCCCCAGGCCCGAGCATAAACAACCATCAGCCCATGTCCTCCACGAGACCAGTGGACAACTTATGTCTTACTTCCAGTCCAGTAGTATTTTAGGTCTTCAGCAACCCATGCTTGCCGTTAAAGGTGACTATGCTTGTCGTAAGAGGCGACTATGCTTGTCGTAAAAGGCGACGAACGGGATCGGGTGGTCAGGCTTGCTGACTTGGTTGATGCATGTCATCGATCCCAATTGCGTGGATCGATGCTCACGATATCAATCATTGGATTGTCTGGTCCAGACTCGATTATTTACAGACCGCCGTCATATAGCTGGAATATTGCTGAGTGCGGCGTTAAACAACAAACCAACCAACGATAGTATTTTCTTGTCCTTGGGAGCAGAATTCCACATGCCATGCAAAGCTTTGATAAAAAATAAATAAAGACAATTTAACTTTTTTATTTATTTTTTTATCATAAAACAAGATAAATGATGTCAAAGTTCACTGCATAATCTTCCAATGATTGACAGTGACAACTAGCTGGTGAAAATAACAAACATGGCCCTTGTTTAAAAATGGTTAGACATGCCTGGGACATACTTGGTCCATAGCTGGGAAATATCTGACACATGTGAGGGATAGATCTCACATATGTCTCAGATACATGTGAGATATAAATGAGATATATATCTGAGAGATATGTCAGATATATATGACTGAGACACATGTCAGATATATATGAGACATGTGATAGATCTCACATACACATGTCTCAGATACATGTGGGATATAAATGAGATATATCTGAGACTTATGTGGGATATATACGAGATATATATGAGACATGTGAGATATATATCTTAGGTGCCATATCTAAGGTATATATAACACACATTTGAGAGATATATGGGGCATATAACTCATATCTGACAGATATGGCACATATCTGACACATGTGACACATATCTGAGAATATGACACATTTGACACATCTGGGACATGACACATCTGACATATCTGGGACAAATCAGACATATCTGGGACATATGACACATTTGACACATATCTGGAATACATATCAGACACATATCTGGGACATAACAGACACATATCTGGGACATATCTGGGACATATCTGACACACCTGGGACATATCAGACACATATCAGACACACCTGGGACATATCAGACACATATCAGACACACCTGGGACATATCAGACACATATCTGACACACCTGGGACATATCAGACACATATCAGACACACCTGGGACATATCAGACACATATCTGACACACCTGGGACATATCAGACACATATCAGACACACCTGGGACATATCAGACACATATCTGACACACCTGGGACATATCAGACACATATCAGACACACCTGGGACATATCAGACACATATCTGACACACCTGGGACATATCTGGGACATATCTGGGACATATCTGGGACATATCTGACACACCTGGGACATATCAGACACATATTATAACTAACACACATCCAAGACATATCTGGGCCATATACTACTGAAGAGAAGCTAACAAACACCCGATTTATTCACATAATTATAGTTAATCTGACATGACATGACAAATTAACTATGGTCACATGAAAAAACCCGGGTGTTCTTTAACTTCTTTTGAGTAGTATATATGTCCGAAACATGAGACACACATTTGACACATATATCAGACACATATATCAGACACATATCTGAGCCATCAGACACATATGTGACACATATCAGACACTCACACACACTGCATCCACCTCAAGGTGCCTGTGTTACAACACCCTGATCCTGTATACCGAGTTCCACACCCGTGAAGATCCGGGGTAGAATAGGTCTTCAGCAACCCATGCTTGCCGTCAAAGGTGACTATGCTTGTCGTAAGAGGCGACTAACGGGATCGGGTGGTCAGGCTCGCTGACTTGGTTGATGCATGTCATCGATCCCAATTGCGTGGATCGATGCTCATGATATCAATCACTGGATTGTCGAGTCCAGACTCGATTATTTACAGACCGCCATCATACAGCTGAAATATTGCTGAGTGCGGCGTTAAACAACAAACAAACAAACAAACTGAGATGCCAACCATTCAATTTTAGAAAAATCATTTCCATATTTTTTTAACCGATTTCGGGGCAGTGGGGTAGCCTAGTGGGTAAAGTTTTCACTTGTCATGCTGAAGGCCCAGGTTTGATTCCCTACATGGGTACGATGTGTGAAGCCCATTTCTGGTGTCCCCTGCCGTGATATTGCTGGAATATTGCTAAAAGTGGTTGTAAAATTCAACTTGCTCACTAAAATTTCTGACAGTATGAGGAAATGACATACCGTATTCGACGTAATAAGGGCCTGGGGCGTTCTCAAAATTAGAAATAGGGGGCTCTTATTAGAATATAATTTTGATGAGGAAAAACAGAGTTGAAAGATCGTAAATTTTGTAGTTTATGCTGACACCTGAAATGATACAAAAGAAACGTATGTGCGTATCATACACGACAGATATATTTTCCAGAATTAAATTGCCCATAATTAAGAGTGCATATAACACACGAGTGCGTATTTTACACGAATAAATAAGTCTTGTGTACATTGATCAATCGGAAGGGGTGCTAATTGGGATTGTTCACTAGCCAATATATCAGCAAATATCGCCGTGGGTGCTTATTAGAGCGGGGCGCTTAATACGTCGAATATGGTACTTCACAATAATAATACAATATGGTCCTTGCCAATAATTTAAAACTGGTTATTGACTTTGCTACAGACTCATATCCAACTAATTACTTGTCAAATAATAATCACTTAAAAACGATTTGAGCTGGGAATAATATACAATGTAAAAGATAATTTGATTTCATAAAAATTGAATAACTTGCAAGTGATTCAATGGCATTTGAGAGACTAATCAAACAACATTCATACCTCTATAACAAACATATCTGATTCAAGTCAATTCTTATTAATAAGGGTGGTCGGGTAGCCTAGTGGTTAAAGCGCTCGGTCATCACGCCAAAGACCTGGGTTCGTATCCCCACATAAGTACAATTTGTGAAGCCCATTTCTGGTGTCCCCGGTCGTGATATTTGCTGGAATATTGCTAAAAGCGGCGTAAAAATCCATACTCACTTACTCACTCAATCTCATTAAAATAAGATCTTAGTTCTCGCTTCCGCTAAACAAAGATCTGAGGACATCCCATTACGGGTCACGTCAGAACAACCTTTCATCTAACCAATCAGAGCTTCTCTTACCAGATCCCCGGAATGTGTTTTCTAATGATGCAACCACGATATATTTAACATGCGGTATTCAGAACGACAGTTACGGGTTTTATGATTATATCTATACAATCTAGGCCATCTGTAAGCCATTCCAGAATGTTGTTTTGGTCAGTTTTAAATTTTTTAAAAGTCAAAATCTGTTTCGAAGCGTAGTCGCCAGTTTGAAACTAGTGTATAAAGCTCGAGATAGCTGCCTTCTGATTGGCAAGTGTCGATTTCTTGTTAGTCATTTCAATGGTCGGTCAATGTTCTCAAAAGGTTGTTCTGACGTGACCCGTAATAGGATGTCCTCAGATCTTTGGTTAGTGGTAGCGAAAACTAAGATCTGATTTTAATGAGATTGAGTATTTTCATGAACCTATTTTTTTATTTGTCTGTGATATTTTGTGATAATAGGTGAGGTGAAATGGGGTTTAACATCGCGTCCAAGATTATTGCACTTATATAGTGACGTGCATGCACGTGTGTGTGTGTGTGGCTGCTTGTACTAGTACGGACTGATGCCGATTTATAGTGCTAGCTCACTGAGATACAATGCGACAGTTTAACATGAATACACCACTCAGACACAGTATACTGACTCCGAGCCGACCAGTCCTTGTTTTAGCCCCTTAATGCCGAGCGCCAGACAGGGTAACAACAAGTACCATCTTTAAACGTCTTTTGGTATGACGCGGCCGGAGATCGACCTCCAGACCTTCCGCTCTCCGGGCGGATGCTCTACCACTAGACCACAGAGGCAGTCGCTGTGTTTAATAAATCAATCAAGGGTAACTTCACACACTGCTTTTTTATGTGGTAAGAAGAGAGTTCAAACAACAATATGAAATCATTGACATCGTTCTCTGCAACAATGCAACAGAAGCCGACTCTATTATCAATTTCACGAACAGTAGTCAGCTCGGGCGTGGACTATATGTTTAGAGGATTATGGAAGCATAAATGTAAATATATTTTCTTGGTTAGCCAATGAAATGACAAGGAATCACTTGCAATTTATTTATTATTTTTATTAATTTTAGTACCCAATTCTTGTTTTCTGCATTCATAACCTTGACCTTGGCATCGGCTCAACCTTTGACCTCTTGGTTGGCATCTCTATATCTATATTGATACCGTATTCGACGTATTAAGCGCCCCGCTCTAATAAGCACCCACGCGATATTTGCTAATATACTGGCTAGTGAACAATCCTAATAAGCATCCCTTCCGATTGATCAATGTTCACAAGACTTACTTATTCGCGTATTATACGCACTCGAGTGTTATATGCACCCTTAATTATGGGCAATGAAATTCTGGAAAAATATATCTGTAGTATATAAACATTTCAGGCTGTCAGCATAAACCACAAAATTTATCTTTGAACTTTATCTTTTTTCACCAAAATAATATTCTAATAAGAGACCCCTATAATTTTGAAAGCGCCCTGGGTGTTTATTACGTCGAATACGGTAGTATTGAAGTCTGCAAGGTGGAATATACATGTCACAAACAGCAGCTCATTCAGGCTGCACCCTCCTCACCACAACACGTGCACAACTTGTGCACAACATGTGCACAACAGCATCCAGCAACACGCTCTCAAAAACTGGAAATACTTCTATAGAATTGTCACACACTGTTTCTACTGTCAAGATTGATGAGTATTTACACATGCAATGGCAGAGGTTTCAAAAGCGGTGGATGGGTCATCACAGTTGTGAAAATACCACCCTCAGTTGGGCCTTATCACTGTTATGAATAATACGACCTACAGTTAGGGGTGTGGATTGGGGGTAGTACGACCTACAGTTAGGGGTGTGGATTGGGGGTAGTACGACCTTCAGTTAGGGGTGTGGATTGGGGGTAGTATGACCTACAGTTAGGGGTGTGGATTGGGGGTAGTATGACCTACAGTTAGGGGTGTGGATTGGGGGTAGTACGACCCACAGTTAAGGGTGGGGATATGGGGTGAAGAGGGCTCACTTTTATGAACAATACGACCAGTTAGCCGGTAGTGGGGGGATAACATTTTGCAATTTCATTTTCAATCGGTTCGGGTGGGCGCACGACAAGCTGGGGTACTTGTGGAAGCTACATAAAAGGTTAGAGAAGTCATAAAGGGAGATCACTCTGGTGTACTACATAGTAACACGATGAGGTTCACAACTCACAGAAGCACATGTGAAGCACATGTGAAGCACATGTTACATGCAGGAGTTGATTGCTCAGAACAGATGAGATGAATACATGACCGATGCAAGTTGAGCAATGACAGAGTACAGGTGTCAATAGAGGGAGTATAGTTACATCTTCCCGAGTTAACTGACAATAAAAGTCCAGTTTCCACCCTTGCCGAACTAGGCTGGTATTATGGAGTTAGAATTTGGCTTTGACTAACGAGTCTATGCAAAGCCGAGTCAAAATCGCGCAATGAAATCGAAATCCGGTTTGTAAACTGTCATGCAGATTTTGGATATGCAGATTTGCAAAACATGTGCACAGCCAACTTGTTGTCAACAGTTATTTTCCATATCTTTTCTTGTTTTTAATCAAGGTGATTTGATGCACTTCGCGAAAGACCCGTTTCATCACATTATAGATCTTGATTATCGATCAGATCGTCTTGACAGGGCAGTGCCATTTTGTTTGAAGCAAATGCAAGTGACACTGTGAGATGGAATCTGATTGGTCCGTAGGAGAGGCATAGACTGGACATAACTCGTAATAACCACTGGTGGCACTATGATCGAGCCCAGGAATTCGATCCAGCCTAGTTCGGGCAAAGGTGGAAGCTAAGTTAACTCTCTTGCCTCGGGAAGATGGTATACTATATTCGACGTAGTAAGCGCCCAGGGAGCTCTCAAAATTAGAAATAGGGGGCTCTTTTTAGAATATTATTTTGGTGGAAAAAAAACAGTGTTGAAAGATAAATTTTGTGGTTTATGGTCCTGAAATGTTTATGTACGACAGATATATATTTCGAGAATTTAATTGCCCATAATTAAGGGTGCATATAACACACAAGTGCGTATTATACACGAATAAATAAGTCTTGTGTACATTGATCAATTGGAAGGGGTGCTAATTGGGATTGTTCACTAGCCAATATATTAACAAATATCGCCGTGGGCGCTTATTAGAGCGGGGCGCTTATTACGTCGAATACGGTAGTTCTAACCAACGAAACACAAAGGCTAGAGTGATGCACCATTTGGATCAATATGGTAATTGGGGATATATGTGATACAGGAAGCACCTCACTCAGCATCAGCTGTTTCGGGAGGCACTCTACTAAGGATGCAATCTCATTAAAATCAGATCTTAGTTTTCGCTACCGCTAAACAAAGATCTGAGGACATCCCATTACTGGTCACGTCAGAACGACCTTTCATCCAAACACAGGTGTGTCATACAAACATGGGTGTATCATACAAACACGGGTGTGTCATACAAACATGGGTGTATCATACAAACACAGGTGTATCATACAAACACAGGTGTATCATACAAACACGGTGGTATCATACAAACATGGGTGTATCATAACAAACATGGGTGTATCATACAAACATGGGTGTATCATACAAACACAGGTGTATCTTACAAACACAGGTGTATCATACAAACATGGGTGTATCATACAAACATGGGTGTATCATACAAACACAGGTGTATCATACAAACACGGTGGTATCATACAAACATGGGTGTATCATAACAAACATGGGTGTATCATACAAACATGGGTGTATCATACAAACACAGGTGTATCTTACAAACACAGGTGTATCATACAAACACGGGTGTGTCATACAAACATGGGTGTATCATACAAACACAGGTGTATCATACAAACACAGGTGTATCATACAAACACAGGTGTATCATACAAACATGGGTGTATCATACAAACACGGGTGTGTCATACAAACATGGGTGTATCATACAAACACAGGTGTATCATACAAACACAGGTGTATCATACAAACACGGTGGTATCATACAAACATGGGTGTATCATAACAAACATGGGTGTATCATACAAACACAGGTGTATCATACAAACACGGTGGTATCATACAAACACAGGTGTATCATACAAACATGGGTGTATCATACAAACACGGGTGTATCATACAAACACAGGTGTATCATACAACACAGTTGATCATACAAACGCAGGTGTATCATACAAACATGGGTGTATCATAATAACATGGGTGTATCATTACAGCCTTATAGAGTACACAGAGTAAAGCAAATAGCATAACAAATACTTCAACAGTCATATCACAATTGTATCGACAACATCACCATGGTTACAGTTATTGCCATAGAAACACACACTGTTGCTGTGGCAACACTATGTATCCGGGTAGGGCATGATTATATACAGTTGAGATGGGGAGATATTCGCCTGGGGGCACTTCCTCGTTGCCGCCCAGTATTCCTCCAGCAGTTCCGGGGGAACCTGGTGTGACGTCATCACACCGTTTCGGTAATGACAGGCGTCGAACTCTTGGAACATGTTGCTGAAACCCATGACGTTGATTGGCAGGATGCCATATTTCTGAAGACACAGCGCAACGTACACATCCTCCAAATGAAAAAACGGAACGTTCCGGGACGAGAACAGCATGGAACGCACAACATCGATACTCATGATGTACCCAGTTCCTGAACACATCGGCGGGAACTTAGGTTTATGGAAACTTTTAAATGAAACGAACCATTTGGACGAAGTGTCCCTGTTGGGGTTTGAAGTTCCCCAGCACGACCCCCCCATGAACTTCCTCTGGGGCGCTGCTTGCAGCATGACAGGGATGAGTTCGGTGTTAACGTACATGTCGTCGTCCGTCTTCATGATGTAGTTGGCGTTGTAGCAGTGTTTGGAAGCCCACTTTAGGGAGGACACTGTTTTGTAGGTCAGGTTCGAGTACGAGTCTTTGAACCCAATTTGTAATATATCTCGATGGTGGTCGTTTTCAAGTAGAATTTTGTTGTTGTCTTCGGCTGACGAGGCCCGGCCAACAACAAACAAGCACTTCATTGAATCCGATTCCCGGCACCTGGCGCCCCAGGTCTGGCGTATCGTTGTCCGGGCCTGGTAGTTTCCTGGCGCGGATGATATCAGCATCAATAGCTGCAGGTTTTGTGAGCGGCCAATATTTGATTTGCATAATCCCTCTTGGTTTATCAATATCGGGAAGTTGAAGTCGAAACATCCAGCACAGTAGTCCGGCCTCTGGGTCCCGTCGACTTCGGGGTCCAAATCCCCGTTATCTTGGAAGTTCATGGAAAACGTCGGATATTTCCGCTTCATTTCATCGAATAATGAAAGGTCATATTTTGTCCGACTCTTGGTAGCTTTCTGGGTCACTGTATTAGTAGGCGGTGATGAGATGGGTGCATTAAATTCGGACGTCTGTTCTTTATTACTTGTTAAATTTGCAGTTTTAGATTTACTCATTTCAAATCTTTCTTTAAGAAATAGCAAATATTTTTCTCTTTGTTTCCATTTCTGATCTGTTTTGTTACCAGGTGCTGTTTGTTGATCACCCCCCGAAATTCTTGACTCGGAAATTAAATTTTGATTTTCTTCACGGGCAACCTTGACCTTGTCATCAGTTCGACCTTTGACCTCTAAATTATTTCGTATACGATGTCTGTCAGTATTATCCTTGAGGCTCTCACTGGGTCTACTTCTTCCCTGTGTTGGCAAGTCAACGTGACCTGCAGACGAGGCTAGTAACGGCGTGGAATGCGGATTGTCGTGTGAGACATGAACATATTTGGTGATTTCATTTCTGCCCGTGTCTTTGCCAGGAGACAGAGGAGCAGCCCCATACCCTCTTGAAGTTTCTCTCTCTGATGCTTGCTGTCTCTCTGATGCCCTTTCTCTTTCCGAAGTCTGTTCTCTCTCTGATGCTTGCTGTCTCTCCGATGCCCTCTCTCTCTCCGATGCCCGCTCAATTTCCGATTCTCTCACACCAACCAGTGTCCTTTCACTCTTCCTTTCTAACATTTTAACTTCCGGGGACTTTGCCAATACCCTCAACTCTGAACTGTTTCTGAAGGAACCGCGATGATGTTGCCATGACAACAGCTTCTCCTGGACTTCTGAAGCCGACAATCCAAGTTCATGAATTTTCGACAAAATACTTCCGATTTCATCTTTTGTGAAGGGCTTACTTCCATTCTGACCTTTGTCCATGACGTCCAATGTGACCACTGGGCCCACCTTCACAACTGGTCTTGACCTGGTCAGATTTTGAGCAATTTCTTTGAATCGTCGTAGTGGCGTTTTGGAGGCGTACGGCTTGAGTCCGGAGGAGTCGTAAGTGTTGTAAAGTAGTCGCCAGGAGAACGTCAGCAGGAAGCCGCACATCAGTAGGCAGATGACCACAAAGTAGCCTTTGGTCCGCGTCAGCAGCGACATGGTCGGGCACCGGTCACTCTGAAACAAAGAATTCAAGGTTTAGATACTGACTCCACCCATGAAGATCCGGGGTAGAATAGGTCTTCAGCAACCCATACTTGTCGTAAAAGGCGGCTTACGGGAACAGGAGATAAGGCTAGCTGACTTGGTTGATGCATGTCATCGTATCCCAGTTGTCTGGATCGATGCTTATGATGTCAATCACTGATTTTTTGGTCCAGACATGATTATTTACAGACCGCTGTCATATAGCTGGAATATTGCTGAGTGTGGCGTTAAAATACAAACAAGCAAACAAGCATAACATCGGTGTTTTGATTGTATAGTGTTCACTTTGATTGGTCCTCTATTCTTCTTTATAGTGCACGATTCGCTGTGCAGAGTTACGTCCCTTGGGCACGCCAGAAACCTATGATTGTGGGTTCGAATCCCGGTTCGCTCCGATTATGTTTCTAGGTTTGTCAGCACCATACCTGTGCTCGTGGGTTTCACCGAAGTGGTAAACGTCTGAGACCTGCATCACTTCAGGCTTTCCTCCCACATTAAGCTGACACGCCGCAATAGCAGCATTAAACCCAACTCACTCACTCACTCTTCATAGTGCAATAATAAGAATCTCACTATGGAGTTCGGGTATTTGTTTCAAACTTTAAAAGTTTTTACCTTGTGAAATTGTTTGGCATGTAGGTAATGTAAAACAACATTTTGCATTTACATAAGTAAAAATATCAATACTAATACATCAGATGTACACACCACGCCAAGCTCAGCACAAACCAATTTCAACACTTTAAGGTGATTATAATGTAGATGCCACCGCCAGCACAATCACCTCTGTCCGCTAAGTGCATTAGACCATAATGTCTACCCACATACCATGCAACACGCCGGGAATAGTACCAGACGCCTCAATCACTTACTTGTCAATATCATTGCAAGAGTACGTATTCTACGTAATAAGCGCCCCGCTCTTGTAAGCGCCCACAGCGATATTTGCCAATATATCGGCTAGTGAACAATCCCAATTAGCATTCCAGCCTTCTTTCAGAGAAAACAATAGTATATCGTGAAGCACTGACTGAATTTTTTTATTTCCTGATCGCCTTTTTGTCTTGCCAATGGCTCCAATGCAATATTTCCTGGCCGTCTATTTAGCTGCCCATTCCACGAGAGACAAATTAAAAATTGATTTAATGCCAGGTTTTTAGACTGATGTTTCTCGGATAGCAGGGACATGTCACAACCTGTCAACTGTTATTCAGAAGGCGTCAGCTGAATTCAGAAAAATTATCGATTGAAATTGGAGGATTTGAAATACCTGTGGCCATCTGGGTTTTGTTATGAATCATTGCGACAAATGTACTGGTTACACACAACCAAATGTTTTCCCATAGATTTCTATAGTAACATTATATTTTTTTTAAATTTATTAAGCATTCAACAGCTATTACCTTTATGTGTGTGCACAGTTTGGCCTTAGAGCGTTTGTGTTAAGTAGTAAGTTGACTCAGTTAGGAAAATTAGATGGTATTTGGGATTCAGGGAGGGGTTTGACATCCTCAGGAAATGTCACTTGTCTTTCCTGACTTGGGGGCACGGGTGGCCCAGTCGTCTAAGGCGTCGCGATCGCTGTGCAGAGTTGTGTCCCTTGGGCATGCCAGAAACCTATGATTGTGGGTTCGAATCCCAGTTCGCCCCAATTCTGTTTCTAGGTTTGTCAGCACCATACCCGTGCTCGTGGGTTTCACCGAAGTGGTAAATGCCTAAGACCTGCATCACTTTGGGCTTTCCTCCCACATTAAGCTGACATGCTGTGATATACTTGTGATACTGTTAAAAGCGGGGCTAAACCAAAACTCACTCACTCACTCCTGACTTAGGTCTATTTTGAGGTTACACGCAACCAAATGTTTTCCCATAGATTTCTATAGTAATGTTATTTTTTTTTGAAAAATAACTAAGCATTTAACAGCTATTGCCTGTACATGTGTGCACAGTTTGGCCTTAAAGCAGCAATAAAAACATGGGTATGGTGCTGATAAACCTAGAAACATAATCGGGGCGAACCGGGGTTCGAACCCTTTCGAAGTTTCTGGCATTCCCAAGGAATGCAACTCTGCGGTGCAATTTGCGGCGCCTTGACGACTGCACCATCCCTGCACCCCCTGCACCCCTCAGAGTAGCACATGATCCATCCCTGAGCCAGGCTTCATCCACATGCAAGTGTTGACAAGCTGTTTTATAGATTTCACTCCATTATATTCTTTTTGTTTGTCGGGGCGGTCAGGTAGCCTAGTGGTTAAAGCGTTAGCTCGTCACGCCGAAGACCCGGGTTCGATTCCCGACATGGGTACAATGTGTGAAGCCCATTTCTGGTGTCCCCCGCCGTGATATTGTTGGAATATTGCTAAAAGCGGCGTAAAACCAAACTCACTCACTCACTCACTCACTTTTTGTTTGTCACGACCCCTTGATCATGCTACGCGCAGCATGGTGTCAGAACTAACGTTGGCTTGTTGAGGAAGTTAAGCTCTTCCACTGACACCGATCTCAATGTTAACTTTATGGACCAGGTTTTGTTTTTTCATTTAAATGGCAGTCTTTAATTTAAATCCAGGTAGAATATAGAAAAGATGTTTTGGTTTTATTTCTTTTTAAGACATGTTAGATAAACTGTCGCCAGTCCTGGGTTTTTTTTCTTACTGTTCAGTGTTGGAGGGTTCTGGAATAGTCCTAGTATTAACATGTGGAACATATTTGAGTATCTCCACCAAGACTTTGCAGTTGTGTAAATTACAAAGTTTTAAGCCATTGAAGTTTCTTGTTATACCCCCTTGCCAAAAGCATTGTAAACCCTCACTCACTCACTCACTCACTCACTCACTCACTCACTCACTCACCTCTCACTCACTCACTCACTCAACCACCCACGCACTCACCCACCCACCCACTCACTCACTCACTCACTCACTCACTCACTCACTCACACACACACTCAACTCTCACCCACCCACCCACCCACCCGCTCACTCACTCTTGGTCTGGTGGATAGAGGGTCAGAGGTTCGATCCTTGCCGCATGACAGCAAGACGTTAAGCGATGGTACTTGTTGTACCTGCCTCACCCACTCACTCGCTCTTGGTCTGGTGGATAGAGGGTCAGAGGTTCGATCCTTGCCGCATGACAGCAAGACGTTAAGCGATGGTACTTGTTGTACCTGCCTCACCCACTCACTCGCTCTTGGTCTGGTGGATAGAGGGTCAGAGGTTCGATCCTTGCCACATCACAGCAAGACGTTAAGCGATGGTACTTGTTGTACCTGCCTCACCCACTCACTCGCTCTTGGTCTGGTGGATAGAGGGTCAGAGGTTCGATCCTTGCCACATCACAGCAAGACGTTAAGCGATGGTACTTGTTGTACCTGCCTCACCCACTCACTCGCTCTTGGTCTGGTGGATAGAGGGTCAGAGGTTCGATCCTTGCCACATCACAGCAAGACGTTAAGCGATGGTACTTGTTGTACCTGCCTCACCCACTCACTCGCTCTTGGTCTGGTGGATAGAGGGTCAGAGGTTCGATCCTTGCCACATCACAGCAAGACGTTAAGCGATGGTACTTGTTGTACCTGCCTGACAATCACAACATTATGGGATACACAAGGACTGGTTGGCGCGCTGTTTACCCGCTGCAGGATGTACCATCATCACAACCAGCCTCACAAGTCTAAGACTTTGAACGTTATGTCAACAACAATTTCACCATTTGTCACTGGGTTGCAGAAAGACGGATACAAAATTTCATGCCATGTATTTCTATGTAAGATAAAACACGTCAGAGATCTAAAGCCCGGATCCAAGCGGGGTCAGCCCTGGCGTTTTATCCCAAGGATAAGGGTTTTAGATCTCATACAAAAACAAGGGGAAGTATTTTATCTAACATACAAACCGAAAAATTGAAACTTACAACATTTATAAACATTTTTATGTTTCGAACACACTTTCAATGAACCTTAGGAAAAGGGCATAAAATATCTGTAGCTGTTGTACGGTACTTGAGAAAGACATTCCAAATAGCATTGTGATTTATCAGCGCCTCTGTAGCCTAGTGGTACACTCACTGGGCTACAGACAAGAAATTGCGTGTTCGATCTTTGGGAATATGAAGAAAACGTTTGTCATTTGATTTTCTATTTCATTACACTGTGTTCAAATGCAAAATAAGTTCTACTGAGAGACATTCCTATGCTACAATGTAAACAGAATTTTTATTGATATAATTCTGGGATATTAAATATAAAATCTCAGGAATATTATATAAAATCCCATGGTATATTATATAAAATCCCATGGAATATTATATAAAATCCCATGGAATATTATATAAAATCCCATGGAATATTATAAAAAATCCCATGGAATATTATATAAAATCTCGGGAATATTATAAAAACCCATGGAATATTATATAATTACCATGGAATATTATATAAAATCCCATGGAATATTATATAAAATCTCGTGAATATTATATAAACCCATGGAATATTATATAATTACCATGGAATATTATATAAAATCCCATGGAATATTATATAAAATCCCATGGAATATTATATAAAATCCCATGGAATATTATATTAATTGCCTGGAATATCATATAGAATCCCATGAAATATTATATAAATTCCCGTGGAATATTATATAATTACCATGGAATATAATATAAAATGGAATATTATATAAAATCCCATTGAATATCATATTAATTCCCTAGAATATTATATAAATTCCCAGGAATATTATATTAAACCCTGGGGTCATTGCAACATGCCTGTTTATGATATTCAACTCCACTGGAGAACAATAGGATGACGTCACTGGACGTTTATAAAGTTGAGAAGAAATCAATGCACACCTAACAGTATCTCAAGCACCGCTACGACGACCAGTACATCTTTCCACATTTTATGACCGTTATTAAAACTCCTCTGTATTTGTCCTGTGACGAAGCAAATGTGT